GTCGAAATATCCGCTTGTTTTGTAACTGGTCTGTGAAAGAAATCGCGTAAAGGTTACAATTCTGGTTTCCTGTGAAACGTAGTCAACATTTATCGTTTTTTTCTGCACTATATCAGGTTTCTTGTAAGGAACAATCTCACTGAGTATCACTGAGTAATAATGGTTTGGGTATTTGAATTCACTGAATTGCCGTACTTGCAAAAGATTGGTTTCCCTGCATGAACAGTTGTTGCGGATCACACATGCAAACGATGCAGTTTTGTGTGCAGTCTAGATGATGAAGGCGTGACACACGGCGCGCGCGCGCTGAGCACGCCTTGAATGATGAATTTGAAGACTAAATTATCATGTAGCGCAGCGTGCGTGATTCGGAATTGTCGAAAGTGATCCGCAACTGTCGGGTTCAGTCCTGTACAAAAGCCTTGATTTATTCCCTTTAAGTTGAGTATGGGTGGAAATATTGGGTTTTAACTTGAAGAGGAGGAATTTTACTACGCAATGATGTCACTCGGACCACGAAAGTCCAAACATTTGCGCTTGTCCAGCAGTTTGTATAGAAAGTGATCCGGAACGGTCGCAGTGATATTATTATAACGACCGTTTATAATTGACGTTGCCACGACAACAATGTAACATTTACTGTTTGTTAGTTGTTTGTTGTGGAGACCTGTATGAAGGGATGGGCATTGGTATTTCCCTGATATCATTCTAAAAAAAACCAAAGTCAACCGTAGAATCCTACAAGTGTGTGATGGTTAAAAGTCTGTCGTCGTTACCATGGACGGGGAGTTCTGCCGCGGGTGGTACCGGGTGCGCAGGGTTGCATATATGCGCCTCAGTGAGCCGTGCACTCTCAATTGTCTCACAATTGTCCTCTTTTCTTCCTCTATTTTCAAAGCAGAAACAAAAGCTTAAAGGTAGAGAATATCATTTGTCATTTGCGCATTTTTTTGGAAGAAACAAAAGTGCTCAAAATAAAAAAAGGGGGTATAGCAGCTAACCTGATGAATTTTTAGCTCAGTGTATGCTGAATATTCCGATACCACAATATTCTAGGAACTCGATTTCAATTCAAAAGTTGCCGAGTTTTGAAATGTGCCCGAAATCACTGAGCCGACGAAATACAGCAACAGCGCGCGCGCGGCGCGCACCCATTCACGGTTTCCCCGAAGGAAAAAGGAACTACTAACGGAACTTTCCAATATCTTTGGAAATGTCCTTCTTTTAGCGTTTTCTTCAAAATGGCAGCATGTGAGAAAGAATAATTTCACAGGGAGTTTAGTGCCATTACTATCTTTAAACCAAGTACACTTTTCAACAATAATTTTGTCAGTTACTTTTTGGATAGCCGCAAATGATATACTCTGCCTTGAAAGAAAGAAAGAAAGAAAGAAAGAAGCCACAATGAGGAATATTTAATTGATATAGAAAAAAAAAGTCTTATTGTGAAAACATGGGACCTTTTCAGTTTTAGTTCCAGTAGAGATGCAGTGTTTGTGTTTTTTGCTTTTCTTTCTGTGGTTCCGTTTAATCAAATAAAGGTTTGTAATTTCTCAGTTTTATCCTAGAAAATGATGTTAAAGTGAGGGACGCATTGGCTTGGGTTGTCTTCTTCATCAGTGTTTGGTTTTAACTGTAATTAATGTTTCGGTTTTAGTTATTTCATGTGTGAAAGAAATGCTCAAATTGTTTTGGTCTCATGGGTGATTTTTACCCTCACAGTGAAAAACTGCAAATTGTTTCTGTATCCGAAAATCAAAGACAGGGAAGAAAAATCCATGAAATTGTATGAATAGGAGCGCTCGCGGCAACAAAAAAAGAATGAGACAGAGCACAAGGCACATTACGTATTCTGTAGTCCAGAAACCAAAAATTCCAAAACTAATTAAATTTAATTTACTTATTGTAAATTCCAAACAGAAATTCGTCTGATAAAGGAAGCATGTTCCAGACATGCACGAAGAGTGAACAAAATAAAAATGTTTTTTGTTTGTTATTCAATTCGCATAAGAACTCGTTTGTGCTTTACGCCTTGTTGTCGCTCTGTTGTGGGTTCGTCATGGCAACCGGTCCTTAGCGATTAATGTTTTGGCCACAACACCATTTGTGTTTGAATCCGTTGCGATTAACCTGCCTTTTATTCCCTCAACCTCGTGCCCAAGGAACCTGTATTGTGCATCTGTCAATCCGGGCCATCTGTCAATCCTGGGGTGAGCCGGGGTTTCACAAGGTGGACGTGTTCATTCATTGGTTTGGGGAGTAAACCTGTGAAAAGGTAATAGCAACGCGCCCCAAACATAACGACGGAATTGGGATTGTGTTGAATGCACACATTCGCGATGATTTCATGTTTGATATGTAATACGACTCGAATCTCAAAGAGCGTTGTGAACCATGTGTATTGTGTTGAGTGAGGCCTTGAGCGTGTTTCCGCACTATTTGGCATGACTAGTCGTGATAACCCACTTTATATACAAGTCGATTGAACGCTCATTTTTGTAACATTGCAAAACAAAACTGTCGGTTGGTAAAAGGCTTGTAGGATCATTAAATTCTGTTCGTTTGCAATTGATAACACAACTCAAAATCCAAGGAAGAATATTAAAACCTAACCGGTTGAATTTTCAGCTCAGTGGATATTACACTTGTTGGGAAAACAGTAAAAGAAAAACATGCACAACCTTTTGACCACAATACACGATTTCACTCATAGCACTCTTTACTTAAAAAACAACAACCAATAAGTCAATTGACTGATCGTTGGAAAGGTCCTACATTTATTGGTTTCTTCTTAATGACGGCAAGCCAGACGGAATAATTTCAAGGGGTGTTTAAAGTACTAGTGTTTGTAGTACGATCTTTAATCTAAGTAAGCTAGGTCTATATGCCTGTAAGGGGGAAAAACACATGAAGTAGTTGTTTTACAAAATGCATAAAGACTCCTATAGTCTATGGAATATCTTCTTGCACAGCAAGAGTCTAAGATGTGCGAGCAGATGCGGCGATTGCTTATGCAAAACAAGACTGCGTCTTGACCTGCGTCTTGAGACTGCGCAAGTCTATTTACCCTTCACCGGCAGTCTTTGTAAAGTGCCTGGTTTGGTTATCGCTTATAGGACTGTGTTATCGATGAGTAAAACACCTGTATTGGTGTAATTTGACTAACTGTTTCCTGAAGAAGTTACCTGGTTCTTCATAATGATTACCTCTTTGTGATGTTACGAGGATGTAACTTCAGCATTTGTGATTATAGGATATCTGGTTTCAAGAATAAGTAGCCTACTTCCCCGTAAAGCACGGCAATCAGCTAAATCTTCATCAAATATTATCAAATCTCCTGAGTTTTAAAACACAAATTGGTTCTTGTCTCCGACCTTGTTGGACCCACATTAGACACGGGAACTGCCGATTTCAGATGACCACCACCACGTTATGGGGAACTTAATGATGGACAATTTCCATGCCTGTTTGTTAGAATCCTCACTCACAAAACCCAGACATTTCGCAAGTCTACTCTCCAATGAACGCAAGCCAAATCCCAGGATTCGCGAAAAAAAGTGCCCCACTTTTGACGGAATATTTTATGGCAGGCCTCCACTGGCGGAAGGTTAGGGGAATTATGAGTACTATTATGACGTCAGTTTAATACTGTACAAGAAACTTCACAGAGTGCATACTGCCAGGGAGTTGAATTATCGACTACAAAGTCGGCCAGGACAGTGCTCAGTCAAATAGAAAACGCCATATAATTACACAGGGTGCTGGGCTGGCTCACTCCTTTGGTATGGCGGCTGTTTGATGACATATCAATTGCGTGAGCTAGCCCACGCCTTTGATGTTTCATGCATCAGTCGCCGGATGGCCCGGTCAGCCAGTCAACAAATCACGCTTGCGCACATCCTTCTCACCTGAACGATGATTGTAACACCTCGGCCACCACATCCCCACCTTTGGCTAGATTGGCTTCACAGAGAGGCAGAACCGGCACGCTGCGGCTACTCCAGCAGGTTTCTCATAATAGCTTTAGCAACCTTCATGGTGGAGTCTTTGTTTCTCAAGTACAGCCTCGATTCGCTCAGACATGTGGTGCTTCTGTGAAAAGAGCTCATTGCTGAAACTGAGCGGCTTTTCGAAACCCCGGCTTCGTTACGGTTTAGGTTCCATCTTTGACATCAAAGTCCTTTTTCAGGCCTCTGGCCCTATGACCAAATGGGTGTACGTACTTGGCACTTTGAACTCAGTAAATCATACTGGATCATACTGAATCAGAACTTGGACCTATATATTGAGCAAGAGTACCCAAGTCAGAGGACTACAAATCTCGTGAATCGAAGAGAGCTATAGGGTTTCGAAAAAATCCTTTGAGCCATAACTTCTCTTTGTGCTAGGTCACTTGTTGCTGTAGTTCATAATCTTTCTCACAGTCAAGGGCAGTAGAACTACAGAATTGGCAGCCGCTCTCTCAATTTCTGGGCGCATGATCTTGCTGCATGCAAACCAATGTTTTTTTCGTTTAACACGTATAGGCCTATACATTATTGCTTTCTATTCTGGGAGTCCCGTCGTTGGAACCAGTTTTATGCACGGGTATGCCAGTGCCCGCACTTTGGTGATAGCGCCCTCACACGGTTCGATACGCGACAGGCCCCATTCGCTCGTACCCCCCGCCCTGCAAACAGGGCGCTGGTAAGGGCTGATGAGCTTCACAGAATCTTGTGAAGGAAGTACAGATTGACCTTCGCATGCAGCTAGCGCGCGCTACGCATGATGGGCACGGGAAGCTACGTTCTGCGTCACAGGTCACGCAAATCTATCCAATGAGAGCTCAATGACGTCAGCCCTTACCAGCGTCCTGTTTGCAAGGCGGGGGGTACGAGCGAACAGGCCCCAGCGCACACCGTGCACTTCAGATGTATTTTTTTTATTTTCAAGTTTAAATTATTTAACAGCTTTCCCATGCGAAATTAACATAACAAACTCAGTTTCGTTTATTTCTTCAGGTCTTCCATTTGAGCGAGCACCGTTCCAGACCGGCTTTTCACCATGGGAAAGAGCGCCCTCGTTTTCATCCTCGTTGCGGTATTTCTCGTACCGGGTGAGTGACATTTTCAAACTGTTTTAGTTTGTATTTCGGTATCTCGCCAAAAAATTTTGTATAGGTATGTGGACTAGTTGGGCTTACCCCTGACCAAAAATTCCAAACATTAGGAAGGCAGTCTCATTTGCAGGCCCGACATTTTTCGACGGTCCTCTGGCTAAACTTGTTCGTGCGTGACTTATTTTTTCAACCTTTCTATGTTGATATTCACACCGGTTTAAAGCGAGGACAGGTTTTGACCTCCGAGGACGCACATCGGGTCCGAGGACGTACCGTTATGTAAATTATTTATTTTGAGTCCTCAGTGTAAACCATTAGTTATCCTGCAGATCCGGAGGCAGCCGCTTCACTCTAATGACCGCTGCCAAAGAACATTAATAAATACGTGTTTATTCCGCCCAACTGACAAAGAGGTTTGTATCGTTTTTAGATATAATTGCACAGCCCCCAACGGTAGACCCAACAAGTTTATCGCCCACTACAGCCCTTGGTAGCAGTTTAACGCCCACTACAGCCCTTGGTAGCACGACAGCAGAACCAACGACACCAGGGACAGATGGTAGCTCGGTCACCACAGGTGTTGATGACATAACCACAGGCACCACAGGTAGTGTTGCCTCTACAAGCGGTGGTCCTACTACAGGCGCCACAACCTCATACACGGCTACGGTTCCTAGTGTTGGAACCTCAGGTGGCACTTCAGTTTCTGGTACATCTACAGGTGGCGCTACAAATTCTGAAACACCTGAAGGTAGCACTGCAGAATCTGTTGCACCTACAGGTAGCACTACAGATTCTGGTACACCTACAGATGGCACTACAGATTCTGGTACACCTACTACGAATGCAGGTGGGACGACAGCTGGCTACACAGTTTCTGGCTCCAGTGCTAATGAAACAGCTGAAAATGTCACCACGTCTGATACAAATTCAACGACAGCAGACGCAGGTGAATCCCGATTGGCAGAAGCTGCAATTTTTTTAGATACAGAAGAAAAAAATAATTAATTGAAACACATACAATATAGACAATCTTGCGAAAAAAATAGTAATCATAGAACCGAATATTTTAATTTTAAATAAAAGATTGCCCTATACGATTCATGCAGGTGACAGTCAGAGCATAGTCAGTAAACCGAAAGTCGACATTTACGTGGCTCTGTTCTTTTTTTCAGTTCCAAAAGTATCGTTCAGAGTTTAGTCATCTCATCATTCACGTTTAGATTTCCATGATTTCATCAGTCTGATTTCAAAAACCAATTAATCGAGTTCGGAAAATTGCTCTATTTTATTTACTCTCCAAAAATGACAACCGTGTTTTTTGTTGGCCCTCATCACGTCAGTAAAATGTCAGCAATATTTCTAGGATGAATACCTTTCATTTTAAATTGGTCAATATTGTCTTGATACTTCTAAATAGATCTTTACATTTATTTCTCTAATTGTAGGATCTGGGGAGACGACTCAAGGTAAGTTGGAAAGAAAACTATTGATTTTATTTAAAAAAAAAATAAAAAAAATAATTGATTTGTAAATCATGACAGATTCATCATGATTTTATTTTTTTTTCTCTTGATAATTTGAATCGTGAAGGATAGGATTAAATATAAGGACAATAATAGCTCAGTTTTTTTCATTAATTTACTTCATTTCCTTTTTTGCTGATTCTATGGGTTCCTCAAGGTGTAGATGCATTTTAGCTTGGAAGCCTGCAGAAATCTGAAAGAAGAATTGACGACGAAGAAATGTTCATTTTTTTAAGGGCGGGGGAAGAGGGAGGGAGGGGGGAAGAATACCCCGAAATGATGTTCCGGGGAAACCCACGGAATCAGACAACCGAAAACCGAATCCAAATGGGTAGATTCAAACTTGGGCCACAGAGGTCGTAGCCTAGAGGAAAGCACCACTGCACCAACCCGACTCCACGTATTTGTACTGAAAAATCAAAACATTTATGGTGATTTTTTTTGTTCCGTTTGACTCCAGAACCAGCACAACCTGAGCCGCCAACCACTCTGTCCCCTGGCGTGATTGCTGGCATCGCGGTGGGTGCCACTGTGGTTCTGGTCGTTATCATTGTGGGAATTGTCCTAATCGTCAAGTGCAAGTGTGGTAAAGACTCCGCCGTTGCAGCTCAAGTCGAAGCTTAACCCCAACATCCTGAGACTTTTGTTCTTCTTAGGTACCTCCCTGGCCTGAATCCTCCAAACTCCTCCGAATGGTGCAGTGCCCCGCCCACTGTGCACGTGGCCATGGGGGAGCTAACACGTGCACCTACCTCTCCATTGCTTCACTGCATGCTCCAGCCGTGCGCGTCATAATTATACGCGCGTGCACGCCTGTCGCACATGAGTTCGGATCATTTGGATGGTTCGGAAGCATATGGCCATCCGTGTTACTGCGTTACTGAGAAAAAATATCTTGGAAACATGGAATTCCCTGAAAGGCTATCGTGGAAATGTGGGATACTGTGTTAGTCTATCACAGAAATGTGGAATTCCGTGAAAGGCTATCGTGGAAACGTGGAATACATGTACCGTGATAGCTTATCACGGAAACGTGGAATATCGTTATAGCCTATTGTGGAAACGTGGAATACTGTGATAGCTTATCGCGGAAACGTGGAATATCATTATAGCCTATCACAGAAACATAGAATTCGGTGATAGGCATCATCGTTAAAGCGTGTAATTCCGTGATGAGCTATCGTGGAAACGTGGAATTTTGTGATAGGCTAACGATATCATGGCATTTCGCTTTGCCACGATAAAACATCACGAAATTCCATGTTGCTGAGATACCCTATCGCGGTAGTCCACGTTTTCGTGATAGGCTATCACAGTATTCCGCGTTTCAACGATAGCATATCACGGAATTCCTCGTGCTTGTCGAATCAAAAGAATCGCAAGTAGGAAATCTAAGTAATGAACCTTTTTTGAGCGGAGGACCACAAAATGGCGTGTGGATTTATTTTCGTGATTAAAGCGAAGCTGTTTCGAAACCGAAATTTGAGAAACATTAAAGGGAATATACATCATTTGCTTTTGCTGTAATTTTCAGAAATAGATGGAATTGGGGGGTTGGAAATATATAGCAAATATAGTTACACCGACTTTTTTGAGGTTTTGGGTTCGAAAATGCTATAAAAACCAAGAAAAACAATCATTTTCCTGTAGTCTGGTTCCCTGACTCCATTTAAGAAGAAACAGAGCAGTTTACATACATTGGGGAATTATAAGATCAAGGAACCAGTCTAGCTGGCTTGTACCCGTTCATAGGTGTGTAATCGATTGCAAACAAGTGCGATGGTCAACTGGGGCCAGTATTTGAAAAAAAAGCCACTTTTTTCCAACGCTGATCGGCCGATCAGCGTTGGAAATTGATACAAAAATACCACTTTTCTTGAAAATGACAGTATACCATGTGCCATGATTTTACAGGATGCTTTACACTGTCATTCACTAACAGTTCAGCAAGGTATTTCAAAATGATTTGGTAGTTTTATTTTTTGATGTTTGCAAATGTTGTATTTTCCCTTTAATAGTCCTATATCTTTTTTTATACGAGGTCGGATGGAGAGTTTTCACGAGATACCGTGTTGAAGGATTAATCTGCGTTTTCACACCATACATTATAGATAATGAAAATGATAATGAAAATGATAATGAAAATGCGCATTATAACATAAATTCACGTAAAAACTCTTTGTAATTATAAATAAATAAAGCCTTAATGGTTCTTTTTATGCTGTAATATGGAAAGTATGATTTTGAAATTTTGACGCCACCTTGAAAGACCTCACTTTTTCCTCATGCAACTGAACCGTCTTTGCAGATTTCGCAGATTTTTTTTAAACTTTAAACAATGCAGAGACGTGCAATGCAGAGACGTATGCAATGTATTGCAGATTATTACAATGTGTATGTGTTCATTATGCCTTCATGAATAAAATGTGGCAAGCAGCAAAGTCTGAGAGGTTTTTTTTGGTGGGGAAAGGGTTTGAACATTTAAATCATGCTGCTTAGGTTACGTATTTTTATTCACCTCATTAATTTTTTTCTCGAGTTGTGTGGTTTGATGTGTTATGATGCGTATGATAAAGTATGTTTGATCTTGTGAACTATATAGCTATGATTGTATACTAGTCACCTAAAATATTACATAATTATAAACAGGGTTGGCGGAACCGGGGAGTGGGGGTGCGGGCACTTGTCCCATTAGACTTACCCAAGTGCCCCTCTTGCGGACATAAATATACCCCCTCGAGATGAAAACAAAACTTGCCATTGGCACTTGCCGGCGCGGTGTCGACATTTCAGTACGGATGTGCCAAAAAAAAGAGCTAAAAACGCTGCTGCCCGGACCGTGACGGAAGATGCCTTTTACCGAGCAAGTACCCCTTTTTGGTGATGCCTCCCAGTTTGAAAACCGTTCCGCCGCCGCTGATTATAATTATTCATACATATTTTTCAATATTCATATCAGTGTTGATCCCTCTCATTATTCATACCATAATTGTAAATTATAAATAGGACTAAATTTCATCTTCCCTGTCCATTACCTGGATGGTTGCATGACGTCACTTGTTATTGATTATCCATCCACTAATTGATCTTAAATTAAATTGGCAAATAGTATCAATGCAAACATTTAAATCGCACCTCCTTCATGCTGTGCTCTTTCCTATAAACCAACAAACCTTTAGATTGTGAAAAGCTTTCGGATTCCAAAAAAGTTTTTTTAATTATTTGCAAGAAAAATATGTTTTTGTTAACAAAAATCTGTACAGAATAAATTTTGTTCACGTGCTAAAAGTGAAAGTGATTCTCATAAAACTTTTTTGTTATTTGAATAATTTTTTTTTTAAATTTCCTGAGTGTAAATATTATCAACTAAAATTGACAGGGGTGTGAGGAGAAAACATGGATACTCAGAATAACAAAAGTAATTGTCGAGTTTTTATTTAGTGTTTAAGTGGTGATATTCTTCAAACAAATTGAGCAATTTCAGTACTTTTTCCACCTAAACGTCGCAAATATGAAATTGGCTTTCAAGTCATTTTTATTTTTGGTGTTATTTTTTTTTTAATATTAAATATACTTTTGGGGTTTGGGCTCTGCGTTTTAAACTCACCCTGTACCTTCGCTTCTCATTACCGATCTGGTGGGGTATCCCTTATGGCTTTTACTAGTCCAGACACGAATAGTGAGTCGGTGTGATATGAAAATCAGACTCCTAGGCTTTTCCCCTTTATTGGTTAAACCCTCTCACGCGACAGGGGCGTAGCACGGTCATTTTTATTGGGGGGGGTAAATTTTTCTGAAAAGGGCACTTGCACATCCGTTGTGAAATGTAGACAGGTTTTTTTTTCTCCGGACACTTGGCCTCCGGGAGGGGGAGGGGGGGGGGGTGCTCGTTCCATCTGTCGATGAGGGCACTGTTCAAAACCGACAATTATGCACACAAAGGGCCAATATATGGTGCTTTTCAGGGCGATACAAGTGCGAAATTCTTAAAAAGGCACCCAAAACGGCAAATGCCACAAAAAAGGGCACCACTTCTTTTTTGAAAAGGGTACTTGTTCAGAAAAAAATGGGCACTTTGTCAAAAAAGGCACTCTTTACAAATTATTGGGGGGGGGGTAAGCCCGTTGAAAAAGGGGATTTAAATGGAAAAGGGCAGTCTTTACAAACTATTGGGGGGTGGTGGTAAATACCCCCCTTATCCCCCCGCTGGCTACGCCTATGCGTGACTGGCCCCTCTCCTAATTTTCTATGCGTGAGCATGTGCAATACCACCAATGAGTCTGTATTTCATAAAACCTAAGTTCGGTTCAGTTCAGTTCATTTATTTTCACTTATTCACTTCATAGGAAATAACAGCACATGCACCTGCACTTATGAAACTTTGATTGAACAAAAGTGGAGGAGGTCGCCAAAACAGCAGAGCTTGTAAACCGGAGATCCGCGGGTCACGCGATAAAAAGTTTCAAATTTTGCTCAAAACCGACTAGATCAAACTGAGATATACTTGCTTATTCCATCTGTACGGTGTACATGCAAACAATTACTGCAATCAACGGGTACTGACAACTCTGTCCATGAACCCGGATTTGAAACTAGATTAGACCCAGACAGATTTATTTATTGAATTTTTTTAGGGGTATCAATCATAACAGAGCCCGTCTTCGGAGATGACAGTCAGTAACAAAATGAACCCTTGACACCAGACATTTTGACAGTTCGTGATGGATTGTCGCCATTATTCACTCACAAAGACGGGCAGCTTAGCTTTTATTGTTCGGCATTCAGAGCAAGGCTTACGACGGATATGACGCTGTCTGGCGCGCGTGGGTTATGTGAGGAGTGAACTTTTGGCATCAGTCGTTCACGCATGTCGATTGACCCAGTTCATGGGCTGGGGACAGCCTCGACAAATCAAGGTAGGCACGGGGAGAGGACAGACCAGGGTGAAGGAAAATACAAACGAGGAAAAATTGAATTGGAATCAGCATTCTGTGAATTAAGTTTGCTATTCTGTCTGAGTCTTGCTGGGTGAGGGGGGGGGGGGGTGGAGGGGACCAGTCTCCATGAATTTATGTCCACTTCAGCAACGTTCAATATTTTACAAGCTAGACGTAATTGGAGCCAATAGACCATTATCATGTTGCGGCCACCTTGATGTTTTCTATTCAAATCAACGTAACCAAAGCGAGGCTGGAAGGAAAATAGTCTGGTTCCCTTTTTGCACAAAAAGTATTATCATTCAGTACTGTTATTGGATACAGGGAACTTGACTGAAATGGTGGCAGCGTGATAAGGTCTATAGGTTCACCCAATAGCTCACATTGTCAAGCAGCAGCAGCGAGACATTAAATTTGCGCGTTATAAAATACATATTTGTTTTCTTACAAAGTATTCATCACCAATGTGAATAATAACTTTAAACTTTATCCAGTTATTGATGACATTATATCTCTTGGTGAGGTACTGATCTCTATTTCCTGTAAATTGGTAAATTTGTGAGGAAATCTGCATAGGCTTACATACAAATATATAAAGGATAACCATTGATGTGTCAACAACAACACCACCACTTTTTAATCTTTTTTTTTTTTTTATAAATTTGATTAGTGCAGTTGGCTTGAAACATCGCACAAGCTATTTCGAACAAGTCATGTTCGATTTTAAAAAAAAATCCCTTCTAATTAGAAAAAAAAAACCTTCAACTTTTTCCCCATGAAACTACTATACCAGTAACGGTTTTGGACAAAGATTGATGAACTAGGTCAACACATTGTCTTGATTCGAGGCTGAATTACCGAGATATTCTCTTAAAATGGCGACAAGAGCAAGGCTAAAACGCCACGTAGAATATAATCATTGTTGGCTGCTGACAGAAAGAGTGAGCGGGAGTTTTTGTTCCCTGAACAAGTAGTGCATGTCGGATGACCGCGTGACTTGCTAGATATGTAAGGGAACAGACATGAACTTGTTTTGAAGTTCAGTCAGGTTTGGGCTGGGTGCAGTTAGGTATAGTTGGAAGCTACGGTGAGTGTTCCACGCTTATAGCTTTTCCCTAATCAGCCATGGAGACACCTACCGGTGTCATCACTGTCTTGGTGGTATCATTGCTGATGAGTAACCATGGTAAGATTGTATATTCCTTTCTTCTAAAATTAATCCCCCACCACAATAAGAAGCCAATCATGAGGCGGCTGACGCTCGCGCGCAGATCATAGCGTGTGCACTCATTGCTCCGAGTTTGTACGCTTGCTAAAATGCGCGTGCACCTTAAACGATAATGGACCCCGTTTGCTAAAACTGTTTTGGCCGATTACAACTAATCTGAAACAGGTTATTTATAAACTAACCTGTCGAAAGTTCAGCTCAGTGGGTATACTGTTTGGGAAAACTGTGAAAATGCATCATCATGTTTTTCTCAATGCAAAGCATATACATGTATAGTTTCGGTTGAACGGTCTTTGGTTTGGTCCTAAACCATCGTGAAAAAAACTGGTAACTCCTCTTTTCTCGAAAATGGCCGCATATCAGGTGCATCGATTTTATAGGATGCTTGACCTTATTATTTACCTACAATCAGGTAGGATATTTTCATGATTTCGTCGTGCCGTGCCAAGCACAAGGACGTTAGCAGCCCGGGCACGCAACAACACTTTGGAGATAATCGATTTGAAAGGTTTTGTGCTCCCGTAGCCCCTTGAGACAAGATGTATATCAAATGAAAGATATATCCGTGCCCTATCGATAACCCAACAAATTCGAATTTGACCTTACGACCCCCTGTTTTGCCCTAACGAACTTCTTCCACGCGCCATTAATATATTGACATTTTCTCTTTTGAATGTTTGCAAATGTTGTCCATCTCAATTCTGGCCCCTCATTGTGGTGGCCAGATTACACCCTCAAATTAAAATATTAAGTACTTTGTATTTAGTAAAGATACAAAATTTACATTGCGATACAAAATACAAAATTTACATTACGATGCTTCCTTCTTTTTTTGTAAGCCTTTAAACTGTTAAAATATACATGTAGACGTTTAACAGGTGTCCAATTAATTATGTAAATTTACATCGTACACGGTGTGCTAGAACCTCTCAGACTTTTTCAACTTCGGTCTTACTAAGAGAAACAGGAGCCTACGGATCGTTTTTCATACCTGCAGATTAGGATAATACACGCCAACTACATGTACATTACACGACAGGATATATAACGACTGTCTAGCATAATGAACACCATAGTCAGAGAGCGTGACGACCATGCCTTAAAATAGCCAGAGATATATTGTGCCAAGCACTTCACAGTGATATTTTCAACAACATATTGCCTGCAAATATTATTCTACTGTGTAGGTCCTACTCTCTTTTATTTCCGTTTCGGGCCGAATCGCGGTGCCGGTGCTGAATCGTGCCGGGCAGAAACGCGGGCTAAATCACGGGCTGCGCCGGCGCAACGACGTCACGGCACAGACCGTGATCAAGCCCGCGGTTCAGCTCGGCGCGAACCACGATTCGGCCCGAAAAGTGGTTGTTGGTATGAAAAAAAATATTCTTTTCACGGGTGAAAAGAGGAACACTGCCAGCTGATTTCCTTAGACCTCGTGCGCACGGGACGAAAGCTACTTTTTTCGGTCTTTAATTTGTGCCCCCCAAAAAACCTTGTTTCAGTCTTTATTTTGTTCCCCCCCCCCAAAAAAAAATAACCCAGTAGGCCAGAGAGTAATGTCCATGACGATTTAAGGGGATTTTCTAAAGAATAAAGCGACAAATCCTGGACAAATTGAGAGAAAATGACCCGAGTGTTTGTAGCCTTGTACATATTCGCATTTGGCCACCAGGCCCATTTATGCGCATGCGTGTATAATTATGTATTTATTAATAAAAAGGTCCATTGTAACAATCATGGCTGAAAATTCCAGAAATTCCTCCACGCAGTTTAGAATTCCCATTGTACACGGAGATACCAGCTACTATAGGCTGGGTGCATTAGCGCTCGCGCACAATCAATCATTTTCCTTCAACAAAATAGGCCAAATGTGTCCCATTTGCACTTTTCAACCCAGTCCTCAACTCCTCGAGCGATTCCCATATGCAGTAAACTGTTTGTTGGCGCTACATACAAAGAGCACATTCAACACAAGGTCAGACTGAAATGAAGTTAATTTTAACACTGGTAGACCAATTTGTCTTGATATGGTCTCGTCATCAACAGCCCTGGGGCACTTTTTTTCAGAGCAAAAAATACTGACATTTTTAAGACGTCAAAAACTGACGTGGGGCTGTTGACTGTAATAAGGATATCTTAAATGGCGTGCTTTAGTAAGTTCCAAACGGGTATAGTGTGGGTCCATGTAGGTCTGTATGTCCATGATTAAAATGTGATTGACTTCTTGTTATTTCTGTCCCATTTACGATATATTGCAAGGCAATATGTCACGAAGCATTTGTATTTCTCAGCAACAACAGGAACTGCAAGCTGTAGATTAAATTGCAAAATTATAGACATGTGTTTCTCAGGCCCGAATTTACTTGTTAAGGATAAAATTAACCCAACTATGTGGTGCCTTATCTTACAGGTGTTTTGTCAACGGAACACGGAAAACATGTAAACAACCACCATCATCGTAACCATAGCCATCTCACTCCGAGTACTTCGTCTCCCAGAGTCAGCGAAGACGTTCTCTTCTCGGGCATTCCAGTGAAGACTGCCCTGCCAGATTCTGTGGAAACAGAGGATGCCCTTGTTAACAATAATGGCATGCACCAAGTACGTGGTGACGAGGCAAACCCGGGAAAAGACGCTGATGAAGACGAAACCAGAGAGGAACTCCATCATCACCACCATCATCGTCCCCACCACCACCAGCCCCAGGGAGATATTGCTTCGCAACAAAATGACACCATCTTCCTTCCAAAGAATCGTATGAAGAATCATCCGGAGACCGTTGTCATGGAATCCCACGGCACTATGGCAACGGAGGCAACCATCACCAACCCTCCCGGAACACGTAAAGCAGTTAGAAACAGAGAGGAACATCCTAACCATCTTCGAAGCAATTCTTCACAAACACACCAGGCGAGTACCTCCCCAGTTTCCATGCCAACGGAAATCTTTAGTGATGACATGCATGCAGTGCACAAAGAAAACCACCATCCTAAACTTGCCAGCAATTCGTCTTCAAGACCTGATGATAGTATCCTCCCTGAGATTCGTTTGGCAAGTGGCTCCACTTACCCTGCGGCAATCGAGGATGGGCCTAACAAAGACGAAGCTAAAGAAGTGGGCGGTCATCATCATCTTCCCACAGACAGTCCTCCGAGACCTAATGATGCTAGCCTAACCCATGCTCAATCAATGACTGTATTCCCTCATATGACTCTTAGTGAGGACGAAATAAAAGAAGACAACGTGCAGAAAACCAGAACCATCCTCCCTACAAACAAGCAAGAACCTAAAGAGAAAGAAGGTACCAGTACAGTCAAGACTGTGCTTCGCAAGCAATACACTGTTTCACCAACTGCCACACCGGACTCAACTTCCAGAGATTCTTCTCAAATTTTTGAGGCTTCTCTTCAAAAAGACGACACCCATAACGCCAAGATTGAAAGTTCAGTTCCATCGAGCCTAACCGACGCTCCTGATGCCAAACCAGGCGATGTTCTCTCCTTCCAAGGAGCAGAGGACATTCTTGTTGGTATAAAAAGAATGATGTCTCCAGAGCAACATCCAACAGCACCAGCTGATGAAGATGAAACAAAGACTGCAATACTCCCGCAGATGCATCCAACACCCCCATCATCAGATTCCATGGCAACAGAAGCCGGCATTGACCAAATCCGTGGGGAAATGAAGCAGAAGCATCATCATCATCACCACCAGCAACGTGTCTCCAATAATTCATCTTTGGGACCAGATTATGCAATCCTGCCCGAGACCCATATTCAGACAACACCACCTGATTCCTTGGAAATTGAGTCCGACATTGGAAGTGGCAAATTTCCATCAAGCCAAACCGATGCCCCTGGTGCCAAAGCAGGCGATATCCTCTCTTTTCAAGGAGCAGTAGATATCCTTGTTGGTATAAAAAGAATGTCACCAGGGAAACATCCAACCACACCGGCTACTATAGATGATACCAAAGGTGCTACACTGCCTCTGATCCACCCAACATCTGCGTCATCAGATTCTATTGCAATTGAAACCAACAATGACAAAAATCATGAGACAAACAAAGACACAAGACAGGAGAATCACCACCACCTCCCAAGCAATTCACCTTCCACACCAGATTATGGCAAACTCCCCGAGACCCAACCCTCAACATTTCCGGATTCCATGGCAACAGAAAACAAAGAAGCAAACAATGACAAAGAGCATGAGACAAACGAGGAAAAGCAACACAAGCATCACCATCAACATCGCCATAATCACCATCCGATTCTCCCCAATACTTCATCTCCGACACCAGATGATGCAGTCCTCTCCGAGTCCTATCCTATGACGACACACCATGAATCCATGGTATCAGAGTCAAACATCAAGAGCCAAACCGAGGCTCCTGGGCCAGAAAGAGGAGATAGTCTGTCCTTCCAAGGAGCAGTGGATATCTTGGTTGGTATAAAAAGAATGATGTCACCACAGCAACTCACAACCTTGCCGGGTAACGCAGAAACTCCAAGCTCCAAGATACCAGTGACTAATTCTGCTGATTCTTTACCTTACAAAAATGGCGAGGAAAAATTACCTGCATTCAAAGAATCAACCACAAATCCGTTTCCCATCAAAGATACCAACACAGTTACAAGTACCTTCTCTCCAAAGCCTTCTCAAGCTTTCATGAGGAGCACAGGGTATAACGAGCTTCCTGAAGCCGTCAACTCTCCAACTTCTACTTCACAACAAGACCACTTCACCGACGAAAGTCAAGTTAAGATCACTAAGGGCAAGTTAGTGACCCAAGCCGGTGCTTTGACTGACAAGGTTTCAACATCAGTGACACCCCAACCTGTGAATAACGACTCAGACCCGCAGCTTGTTTTCTGGGAAGTGGAGTTTGTTGAAGAGCATGAAGTGGGAGATGCTCCATTTTCTCGTGCCTCCACAACTTCGAGCCCACTACAAGACACAGATTCTTCGACTGAAAGTAGTTCTTTTATAGATCGGACCACAGAAATCGAAGAAAGTGAATCAGCTTTACATGTTTCTGGCAGTGAAAGTGTCTCCCAGCGCAAACCTTCATCCGAAAAACCAGTCGAAAGACCCGTTACTAGCGAGGGAGCAATCCAGGCACAAGATAAAATGACTACTGCTGTTCATCGGCCAGCAGAAAGAGTTAACCAAGAGATACATATCCAGGGAAGTGACAATCCCTTACCTCGAGAGTCCAAATATTCAAATGCTCCAACACCAACTAAAGTTGGCAGCACTGATACACCATCAACCAGAGCAAGTTTACAGTTGGAAACCGAGGAAGTGAATGCATTGCCAACCACAGAGGGGGCACTTAAAACACCCACCTCAAAATCAAAGCCTGGCATTTCTCAGCCGCATCTCTTTCTCTGGGAAGTCGAATTGATTGAGGAGCACACAGTCATACCCCTGGCTGATTTGAGTGCAACCCCCGCTACCGAAGGAACTGAAAAATTGGGAGACAAAGGTGTACCAATAAAAGTTGATGAGAAACAGACCACAGAATATCCAATGCCTGTCACTGAAATCAGCGACAAAAATTACCATATCAGAGAAAATTCATTATTCAAGGAACTGGAAGACACCTCAGAACATGCGCACACAGTTCAACCTTCTGAACAATTTTCAACAAGTTCCTCAATCATAATCGAAGAAGAATCCGAACATAAGCCGAAGCCGGAATTAAAGGCCGAATCGATCCAGTCAACTGTGATCTCCAGTGTAACACAAACCGAGCAAAAACCACAGACAGAATCAGTTCTTTCTGTGACCTCTCGGAGTTTCACTGAAGGGGAACATCAGCCAAAATCTGCATTAGAACCAGAACCAGAACCAGAACCACGTACTACACCTAAATTTCGAGCACCAGATATGCTCTCTTCGCTTACAACCCCAATTCCCGAGCAAAATCCAGGAATTGACAAAGGTGCTGTAGTGACGGAACATTTCAACAGGTAGGATCGTCTACTTCACCTAAACCAGAACCAACATTCACAACCCACGTTCGTCTGGAATCAGGGTCGACCGACGAAGTTCTGTCGTCTCCAACGACCTCACTGCAGCGGTCAACGATGAGGTCAGGGGTCATAATTGACGGTCAGATTCCAATCAATCAGCAAGCTCATTCACCAAGGCAAAATTTGAATCCGACAGCCGAGTCAGAACCAAGTCCGTATCCATCGCCGACTCAATCTGTGGTAGAAGACAATTTTCAGACAACATCCCGTGACACTGATATGGTGGGCGTGATCTTTGTTGACCCTGAGGCTGGAACCCCAGCAGAAGCACTGTTACCACAAAGCACCGCAGCTAGACCTTCCTTGGATGAAGTCACAATGTATCAGTCCACGCTTGGGAGGTCAGATTCTCGACCCAATCCTTTACCAGAGCTCACATCACATGGAAGCATTCCACAAACTGCTTCTCCAACTTTGAAAACGAATGACCGCGTATTATTCGAGGACAGCCAACGGACAACTGTCTCAGCCGTGGCTGAACCTGAACCAGAGCCGATACCCGAACACGTACCACTGCCCAATTACGACCAGCAATTTCACACAACCGCATCATCTGAGCCGCGGCAATCGAGCGGCAGTACAGTGTTCCAGTTGACAACAGAGAATCTCCCAGTAGACATTGTTGTGGGAGAAGTAAAAGAGCCCGCTTCGCCCGATCCCGAACCAGAGCCCAGTCCGGAACCGGTGGAACCCAGTCCGGAACCGATGGAATCCAGTCCGGAACCGGTGGAACCCAGTCCGGAACCGGTGGAACCCAGTCCGGAACCTGTTGAACCCAGTCCGGAACCGGTGGAACCCAGTCCGGAACCTGTTGAACCCAGTCCGGAACCGGTGGAACCCAGTTCGGAACCTTTGGAACCCAGTCCGGAACCGGTGGAACCCAGTCCAGAACTGGTGGAACCCAGTCCAGAACCGGTGGAACCCAGTCCGGAACCGGTGGAACCCAGTCCGGAACCGGTGGAACTGTCTACAGTGTCAGATCAGCGGACAACTGTAGCGTATCGGGCATCAGGATCCAACGGCGACTTGGCGACTGGAGAAGGAGACCAAGCTGCAGGCGACGATGACCCAAAAGAAGGAAGTTTGACAACGCTTGCGACCAAGTCAGGTTGGTTTACAATGATTCCGTCAAGTCATCTTATGAAAACATGATTGCATTTAGGATGCCGGGAAGTGGGAAGATTTAGACAAAAAAACGACTTGTTCCAAAAAAACATAACAAAAAAAGAGAGGGAAAACCAAAATTGTAAGGAAAGTTTTCTTCTGGATTGAAATGAATACCTATTATTCGGCGTCTTGGGTGCATGCGTTTGGTGTAGCCAATAACTGACCATTAATTTACAACAGGTGCTTAAGATTGTGCCTAAATTATTCACCACTAAGCGATTGTTGTCCTTAGTTTAAGAGAAAAAAAATTATTAAAATGTTATTGATTGTTAGCTGCAGGTGAAGCCAATCCCCATCACTTTGAGGGCCAGTTTACGATTCTGACAATGGATGGCTACGAGGTCACGTACTCCAGTCAACTTGAAGACAGAAACACCGCCCTCTATAAGGAGTACAGTCATGCAGTCTGCAATGCGGTGAGTAGTCAAAGGTGTTCTTTTTTATCTTTGTGCACAAGTACTCCCTCAACGGTGAGAATGACGTAGAGCGCTGATATTGAAGAGTATTATTATGAGTCTCATCGACGATTATGCACCCGTGTTTATCAGGTGCGTTCGTCTGGCGCGCTGACGCTGCGGGTTTTCGTGCTGGCCCCAGAGGGCTATAGGCTACAGTCCTGTTTCCATCTCACTGACTGACTCACTGACTGACTCATTGTTACTTGTAAATTAGACTTGCTTAAGTTTCACCTTTGCCCAAAGGTTTGAATTGAATGACTAAGGAAACCGCTTTGACAAAATGGTTGGTGACCAGTTTTGCTTGATTTGGTTAGTCTTGTCTTTTAATATCACAGCTGAAACTTTGCTACCGCAAATTTTTGCTCTGTACGTATGTGCAAAATGGTTGCATTGTGTCCTTCTTTGGCGCATGGTTCTTGTGAAAAGGCCCAAGGATAAATGCCTGCATTTGTTCTGTGACATGGGCGTTTAAGAGCCTTAATTTTCCTTCCGGAAGCTGAACAACCGTCTTTGTTTCATAATTCTTGTTAGGTTATTGATATTCTCAGCCAAGCGTACAGCAGCAATCCCAGCCACTGTCAAACAACTGGATTTCGATCGGGGAGTGTGGTCGCTGTGTTTGAGGTTGGAACGAAGGGCGCCCTCAATGCCGATGACATCCGTTCACACCTGGCGGCGGCTTTCGGGTCCGGCGACCGAGCGGTGGCTGGATTACAGGTTGATGGATCATCGGTGTCCGTTCGAAGAATCGAAGAATCGACGCTTCTGGGATTCGATCATGGGACGCAGGCTTCAATGGCCACCGCGATTTCCTCCGATGTGGCATCGATAACACAGGGAGGCACTCATTCGGTTGCAGTATCGACTCCTGGCAGAACGAAACCTGCTATCCCCGGCGGAACAAGTATCGTGTCATTGGTACCCGAAGTCGCAGTGTCTCAGGAGTATTCGGGACGATTCCGAATACTTAGTATCGATGGGCAGGAGGCGGTATTTACATCGGATTTAGAGGATCGCAACTCGGAGAAGTTCAAAGTTTACAGTGGCATAGTTTGCTCTGAGGTGAGTTCTCACGTGACTGTGATTACTTTAAAAACGTTAAAGCAAACGATTTGAAACATCAAGTTGACTTCTCATAGATAAATACACCGACTTCTCAACCCCTTCCTTGTCAAATGTCCATCTTGAAATTTCTGATCTTTTTGTCACAAGGTGTTTGGAATCATTTTGAAGGAACAAAATATCCCGAAAGTATTGAGAAAAAAATATCTTCGTTTCAAGAGAGATAAACTCTTAAAAGCCGTGCCAGTAAGTTTCAAAAAGTCATGTTCTATTAGAGTGTAAGCTAGTTAATAACTCAAATGTTGGATTACTTGTACACCGTTATGACGGCCACGCCTTCACTGTCTCCTCAAACTGAAGCACTGAAAATGAATTTAATATCTCAATATATGCATGAATGGTTTCCCCCTTGATTTTTTGCTAAACGATAGATTCTGACAGGTTTATCCGACGTCTACCCCGATGATCTTAGTAGCTGCTTCGTGGCGTCATTTCGCCGGGGAAGCATCATCGCTGACTTCAAGGTCCGATTCAAAGGCGGGAGCTTGGTCACGGAAGACGGCATACGCTCACAGCTGATCCGGGCATTCACTAGCTCAGAGAGCCCTGTAGTCAGTCGGCTAGGGGTCGACAAGGAATCCTTCCAAGTCACAAGTAAGCTTACGTCTCAAATTTCTGGACGGGGTTTCAAAATAGACCCGTCCGCGGAAGTTTAATGTTTGCTCACGAGTAAGCCACAACTAAACATCGATTTTAGGGATTATTCGACATAATTATATGAATGATTGCAAACGTAAACTTGAATTGTGTTAAAAAAAAATCAGGTTAGAAAGCAAAGAGAAATGTCGGACTCTTTTTTAACTATGTAAAAGTAATTTTAACCATTTGTTTGAGGTTTGAGCAAGACAATGTTGAGTAGTGAGCAGTGGAAAAATGAATTAACTTTCTTGTCTATATTTCTTCCCAGAAATCGAAATAGACAAGCATCTTCCCCCAAACTTTAGTGGTAAGTCACACTTTTTTGCCTAAAAGGACAAATGTTTTCAGTATAATTATTTGAAAATAGCGGACTGCAATAACTCAATTATCTGTTTAATCGTGTTAAAAATGCATACCATAGGTCTTATTTTCGAAATTAATTTAAATCGGAATCGGAATTGTTCTTATTTCTCCAATTACAGGTGTTTCTCGAGACGGTTCTAAAGACGAGGGTGGTCTTGGTGGAGGTGCAGTAGCGGCCATCATACTTTGCTGCTCGTTGCTGGTGCTTCTGTTGGTCGCTGTCATCGTCTACGTGGAGTATCGAGACTACCGTAGATACAAAGTCGTCAAAATGTCAACGGGATGGCGGCGCGTCAACGTCGGTGATGCACCAACTGGTTCGCCAGTCTGAGTGACGTAATAAGTTATGACTATGCAATAAGCGAGTTCGGTACTCCAACTGCGCATGTGCACATCAAGATTTGCTGATTTGTCTTTCGGGATAACAGTCATCGTATGCGTGCAAGAGCATAACGGGGTACCAGCAAAATTGAAGAGATCATCGTGTTCTGAAGTATAACATTTTGCAAAAAAAACTTTGGACAGCGAAGTGTTTTAAGGTGTCTTGTGCGTCAAAACTTTTGTGAGAACGAAAGTTCCATCGCGTTTCGATTGCACATATTAAAAATGCAGATTTGGTTACCACGTCCCCCATAGCCTTGGGTGCATTTGCTGTGCACCAGACTATTTTGGAATACCGAACTGGCTTATTGACCCATTGCTTAACGCGCCCTCACTGTACTCTCAGTGTTACTGCAAGTTCAAAACTTGTCTTATGTGAGGGCGCTCTAAGCAAGGGCTCTATAATTATAATACATAAGTTTACGGTGACTATTGAGGGAAATTAGTGGTTTTCTTTACACAGAACAGTTTTTATACGACTTGTGTATGTTTGCCATCGATATAATACTGAAGATACATTAAAGGCATATAGAATCACTTCAATTATCCCCAAGATATCCTAACGAGTTCTTATTAAAATGCTTACTTGGACTAAAGATCGTACTGGCACTTAAGAGTGCCGTGAGATTATTCCGTCTGGCTTGCTGTCATTTACAGGAAATCAAGAAATGTAGGTGGTTTCCAACGATCCGTCATTTACTAGATATTTTTTTAATAAAGAGAGCCATAGACGAAATCGTGTTTCGTGATCAAAAGATTGTGCAAGGTTTTTCACTGTTTTCTCGAAAAGTGTAATATCCACTGAGCTGAAACTTTAACAGTTTAAGTTTTGAACATTCTTCTTTGGATTTTGAGTGGTGTTTTTATTGGAAACGAAACAAAAAGTATGAAAAGCAAATGATCCTCTAGGCCTTTAATTATATTTGAACTTTTAATCATCAGAAGGAACAATATATGGGGGGCAACGGTAACTTCAAGAAATGTCTAATAATTCCAAACAAAGTATTATTGTTGGATGTTTTATTTGATTTGCGCAAGTCGAAATTATATATACTGATGATCAATACACAGAGCATTTTGAATTCTTACTTCAACGAATTTAATCAGATGAAAGTCGAAGTAGATAAGTGATCTACGATGTATTTTTTTTTTAATTATGAAATATCGATTAAAGAACCTTATACAAAGTAAAGCTGCAGTAGTGGTTTTTTTTCTTCAGTAGTGCTAATTTTACAAATCTTTAAAATAAACAGCCCGTACATTGCCATTATTATTATGCATTGAATCAAATTTTTTTTTCTTCAAATTTCAAGCATCTTCTCCGTAGGTATGTTTCGCAGATACTGTGGGGTTGAGGTTGTATAAATAATTTACTTTCCTTTGTGCACCTTGCTTTTGTCCGCTTTGTAGTTAAATAGTTCACGAAAGAGTGTAAATCGTTTCAACTTGTTTCTTTGCGCGTGAAAAAAAAATCGTGTTCAATGTTTAATAAAGTTATATTCGAACGCATGAGTTGTTTTCATGTTCTGCCTCTGTTTCGCTTTGTGTTGGTTTGGATTCAAGGGCTGGTATGATTCCGGATATAACGAGGAAGTTTTACAGCAAAAAGGAGATGTTTACAAGTTATTAGCGTGCTCTTTTTGGTTACTTAAATATTTTTAAAAAGTAAATATACTCACCTTTTCTATCGAGTTTGGTTTTGGCGTTTCAAAGCTTGGATCGGCCTGTAACTAACTACCATGGTGTGTTCTGTTCCAAATACAAAACATATTAATATTTCTTAGGAATTAATGTTTTCACGTGACTTTTCATATAGGCCTACGGCAGTCTTTTTTTATCGACTAAATTTAACTGGACTCCCAAAAGGTGTTAATCCCTATGGACATACATCTTCAACTCCCATGAAACCTTTCCAGATGTTAAGTGCGGGTAGGTTTTCCCCCAAAGGTTTCTTATTAAAATAAAAAAAAAGTAATTAAAAAAAATAGTTTTGCGAATTGATTGGGACTTCACCGTCTGCTAGAAAATAATGGTCGCGTCCGAATTACTTGTGGCTATACGGCCGGCAATAACACACACGTGTCTATGAGAAGTGGCTCCGGCCAGTTGCTCCCCATAGATAACGCGTAATTGTAAGCCATAGCCGTGTCTAAGCCAAAATGTCGCAAAGACGAAAGGGGCAAGTTGCCAGGCTGGATGCGCCGCTGGTTTACTCCAATTCAAGGAAAACCAATTATAACTGTTGTCTTGTCTGCTGCCGTGCACGGCCAATTACGCAGACACACGACGACAAACAAATCACACGTGGCTCGTATCCATAACAAACAGCCATTATAACAACCCGCTGCTAAACGTTACCTTGAGCTGTTACCTTGCCTCAGGTAAAAGTAACCTCAGGTAAAAGAAATATGGGTCACTCAGGGGAGGAGGTATTAGACAATAAATAACGCATTATACGAAATATTATCTTTTCACTTCAGATACAGATTTTAGTTTTTCAACTTTCATCCCTCAACATTGATTGTTGAATGAATATTTTGTTTCTTGTATAACAAAGCTTATTTACTTCTGATTGAGACATCGAACAAAGAAAGAACGTCTATGTTTAGTTGAGAAATAATGCATGTACAATATCGAATTGTTTATGGCCCGAAAATAATTCAGGCGGATACTTTGTTCGTCAGAAAAAAACCCAGAAACGACCAAAACTAAAAGCCCTTTTTTTCAGAGCGTTGCAAACGCCTAAAATACAAAACAAAGTGGACTTTTTTTTCGAAGTAAAATATTACGAATGAAATTCTGTTAATAGGAGAAGAAAAGCACGGAGAAAGGAGCTTTGAAATGTATTTGAAATCAATGAAAATCAGTTGAAAATTCCTCAAGTATCCCAAACCAAAACGCTCGCGGTATACCGCCATTCCGGATCCGTGTTTCACTTGAGAAAAAGGACTCTTGGCCTATAAATTGATTAAGAATAATTGAAAAAAAAAAACAATTCGATTCATAAAATCATATACATGTATGTTGTCATTTTCTCAGTCTAACCTGGTTCGACCAACAGCGTGCACGATGTCCCCGCGTACACCGGTCTCATAAGGGTGCACACCTGTATAAATAGACCAAAAATCCGTCCGCCGAGCTCATGAATAAAAGTCGTAGAGAGTTATAACAAAATATTATATATTAGAGAGTTCTGATTGCCATGGATTGGTTAATTGAAGATATGTGGCACAGAACCTCTGGCCTGGATTTGCAGCTTCCATTTCTGGGCATTTTGGATTCAATCGGGCCCGAAAGTGACGCTATTTAGCCATGTTGTGGAGGGATTCTTTTTCAAAATGGCTCAGTTTGGGAAACATTGTTCGTTTTAGGGGTGTTCTTCTTTAGGTGAGAATATCTCAAAAAGTCAATGGTCAACCCACCCAAAAATTTTAAAAAAAATGAAAGACTACATGTTGGTTATCATTTTTCTGTGGATCCTGATCACCTGTGAGAGTTCTGAGTATTTTCAAAAGAATCGTGAGATGTGGCCATTTATCATTGGTGTCTATTTGAATTTTAATACAGGGCTGCACCATAAGCTTCGGTTTTTAGGGAACCTCAGGCAGAACCACAATCCTTGCTATGGTAATCTGACAATCTTCATTATTAACCAATGGCAGTGCAGGTAGTACACACGTCACGGACTATGGGGTACCAAGAGTCAACGTGAGCCGGACACGTGCTCTCATGAAGTGATGGTTTAAAATCTACCAAGTTGATGACACACAGAAAAGTACTCAATCGAAAAAAAGCCAAACATTGGGATTTCAAGGGGATTGTGAAGTTGCTGACGTAAAACGGATGAGCGGATTAGAGACGTACATAGAGTGGTGCGTTGGGGTAGAATTTCAACACTGAACAACCCACATGCGGGGGCTCTAATGTTCATTTTCAAAGTACACGTAGTGCATTTCTCCTTTCTTTCAAAGTTTCACGCCAGTAAAGTTTTATTTCCTGCATTCACCAAAAAAATCCAACAGTCGTTTTAATGCCATTTACTTAGCAAAGTGGTAGTCTGGGTTATAACGTGCAACATTATCGGGACGATATTATGGTCTTGTCGAACAAGTTATTACCAGAAGTACCTGTTAATCGAGGCGACAGCTTTTTGACTAAACATCAATTTGTTTTCACAAGAGCGTAACTCATGCAACTAAGATGCCCTAAAATGTCAAAACAGACCAGTTGCATAAAAATGCGACGAAAGTCATCTGTTTGCCTGATTCTGAGATGTTCACCACATGCATATGGGTATCTCTGATCACTAAGCCATCAATGAAAAGATTCTTACGCCAATGACATAGAAACAACAAAAACTTGTCATAATATTTGGTTCAGTCTGTCCGGTATCCATAACAAACACACGAACATCCTAAACAAACCTCTGGTTTATAGCAACCGTTATTATGTCTTCTTCACACTCACTGGACAAGCCTCAGCCGGACAAAGGCTTCCTTCTGCAGAATCACCGGCCATAAAATCCCGTCTCATGGGCCTCAAGGATGAGCGTTTTCATTCATAAGCTCTCCGTGGGGTGAAATACTACGTAATCAGGAAAGAATAAAAAAAAAGTTTTGAAATACAATACCATTTCTCATCACTAAGCGAATGTTTGATGACAAATCAGTATTAAGACGTTTTTGGTTTTCAATTATAAATGAAGCGTTCTCAAATTTACTCGAAAAATGTTTCTAATCCTATATGTTGACGGATGACAAAGATTAATCTATTTGTCCTTTCTTTATAAATCAGATATAAATTGCGGGTCATTATATTCGAGGTCATGAATTAAAGAAAATTCATATTGCTCTAGGAAATTTCTAGGAGTAGTGCAGAAAGTAGTATATTTTGTTGCTAATACTTTCAAAGGTGAAATAATACGTTTTCTGCGATCATAAAATGGCATGCAAATAACGGAATCGGACAACGTGTCTGTGTCAATCACGCACGCGGCAACTTCCTGGAAGTTCCGCTATGAATTTTCTCTTCAGACTCAACACCAGGCGTGGTGCCTGATTCCGTTAGGCATGGGACATTAAAGTTGCGTTGTGCCCTATAAGGATTTTTTTGGGTAGACTTTTACCATTGTTATTCATCAGCACCATTACGTTATCTAAGGCATAATAGAAGACCTTCAATTCTCAGTCTCTGGTGGGCTTGGTACGACAAAGAGGATTGACACAAACCTGCCATAAACACGCCCGCGCGAGAGAAAGACTGAATAGGCACTGGTTGAGTGAATCACTGTCTGGTTGCTTAAGTATGCGAGGCCTAAGGCGCGCTTTCTTTCTTTCTTTTTGTCCCGTAGTCTAGGCTGCTTGTCTTCTTATGTACCGTTTCCATGTCGACGTCGCCTTAGTTACGTACACACAGAAGTTGACTTCCCGGGGAGGAGTATACTCCGGTATTACAACACGACGCGGCTCATCACTTAAGTTAGAGACACCGCGCACGGTTGACTCGGTAGCCCTCTCTAGGAAGTGCTTGACTTAGTAACAGTGGAGTAATAAGAAGCTTGGACACTAAACGGAAATAGAGAACAACTGAGACTCTTGGATAAAAGTGCAAGTTGGTGAGTTGATCCTTGATTTTATTTCACAAATTTCGTTGAAGAGATTTCCGTTATTTTAGGCTATTTTAAAGTAATTTTCGGTACATCGATAATGTTACCAAGCAACGCGTTCATCGTGCAACAAGACCGGATGAAATGTAAGCCAACACACCCACAGCGCGTGCGAAGATAGTGTTGTGCCAAAGTTTAAAGATCAATTTTTTTGTTCTAATATTTACTGTACATAAAGTTGTGTGTTTCTTCCCCGTGCTTTTTTTGGGCGTCATTCTGGAAAGAGTGCAAAATACCGTTTTACAAGTCCACCAAAAAAAAAAATGGCCATAACCAGATTTTTTCCCCAAAGGGTAATGAGCGTTTTGTGGTTCATTGATATTTACAGTTAAATAGTAGGCCCTAACTGTTTTAATCTGAGATAGATTTCAATATGTATTGTAAAAAATAAAAGTGTGGCTTCTTCCTTCACCAAAACTTTGAATTGTGTTGTGCCCGTGTTTACTCATACACAGGTATAGTTTTGGTACACGTGGCATCATTACATACCTTTAATTGACATAAGGATCTCTATCAATACTTTAGTCAAAGAAAATCTCCTGGGAAAAACGCAGATATATACCAATCGTGAATCGACAACCAAAGATCTTAAAAATATCTTATTTTTACAAAGCACAGTCGCCATATGTGCTCGCCGACAACATTTTTCTTAAATGAATCTTCGCATGGAGTGGATTGTACAAGAACTTAACTGATGCGGATCTACTTTATTTGGGAACCGTCGTCACAAATTTTATTTTGTCTTCTTTGTTTCACCTCGACTGCCTTGACAACTGATTCTAATACAAATCCCATGTGGAGGAGACTCTGAGTTATTAATTCACGCTCTTTTGTATAAATTCTGAAAAAGAAGAAGGAATACTCTACAACATCTCGGTATTAGAAAATGCCAAGAGTTGGGAAGAAAGTTAAAACAAAAATGCTTTCAGTGTTTCTCTTGCAGTGTTTGTTATTAGTTGTTTTGGCAATAGTTCTTCTGTAGCCATGAGAACAGACCACAGGTGGTATCCTTGTATCCACTGATTGCTGTCTCATTGTCATTGCGCACAATGGCCTGTTTCCTTGGACGAGGAGGTCTTTTATTCGCCTTAACTGGCCATTACGTCCTGATCGTACATTGAATCGTACCTAATGAAAGCCACGGATTCTTTAGATATTAAGAGTGCAGAGCCTTTACGCAAGGCCCTACGCCAGGCTGTGGAAGCCACAATGCCAAGACAAAGACGGAGAAGACAAGCTTTAAGCCTAAGCTCGTGGTTAGTCAAGTTGAAAGAGGCGTATGAATGGATGAAGTGGAACAAAAGCCGGAGTTGGTTGCTAGCCAGGCCTAGGACGACCGAACTTAAACCAGCTTCTTAAGGACGCCATAGTAGCAATCATATGTAAAAGTATTCGAAACGGGGGGGGGGGGGGGGACTCGCTAATTTAGTGTAAAGTCTTGTCGAGCACTTTTTGCAGATTGATAGAAGTCTTGAACATAATTATGCCTTTTCAATGACTACTTTATTGTTAATTAATTGTTACCTTCTGTCTAGATTTGGTCTCGTCTCGATAATTTCCTTTCAAAAAGCGTTTCACTGCGAGTGAAATATATACATGTTACTCTTATTTCAATCTCGTTCTTCAATTTGAATTCCATCTTCTCGTATTTATTCAAACGTCAACCCCGATACCCTGCGTTTGTGGGGGTTAATCTCTCCTTTGTCCAAACACGGTTGATTGAATGACTTTCCTTTGGTTTCTCAAACCACGAAAAGACTTCTTTCACACCTGAATGCTTACGGCTTTTCTGGTATCTAAGTACATGTACATGTATCAGTATGTTCACATTATGCACGTCTCACGGTAACCTTTCCGCTGTTAGTTAAGGACGAGATAGTGGTATTCGTGTGATATATGTAGGACACAAGTGTTTTGGGATGGTAAGAAGTTAGTATGGTAGCTTAATTTCGGTTATTTTCACTACTTCATCAGTCACGGAAGGTATACGTGTGCTACATTGATTACTCTTCTTGATCACAACCAGTTAATTCAAAACTTCAGTGAGTGAAGTTTATTACATGTACATGTATTCGATTAAAATGTGTGCATGTACATGCTTATTTTGCATACAGTATGTTTCTGCTGAATTTTGAATAGAACCCGGGAAAAGAATGTTGCAACCTGACGCTACTTCAGCGGTTGTGTACAAAGTCTATGGAGAGTCAAGAAAATTTCTAGTATTTCCTTACAAAATTGGAACCGTTTCTCAGTCCCAGATTCATGTCTAATCATCATTTTTGCAATAACTGACCTTTATTGAGATGATCTATGAAGAAAAAGGCAGCGTCAGGTTGCAACATTCTTTTCAGACCCCGCACTACGGGTCTAAGATTAACACACCACAACTGTTCCATTTGTTTCTCTCAATCTGAAGCAGTTTCGCTGAGGTTTGTGTCCTCACATTTGTTTCCATTTCAGCCCCATTTTAGTGGAAATCAAATGAAATATTCCAGGTCTTCAAGAAACGGCTCGTGCCTTCAACCTAAACTAATTCCAACTTGTTCTATATCTTTCCGAAGTTTTTCACGCAGGGCATTCATATCGTTACCATGGAGTTGGGACATCTTATCCTGATATGTGCAAGTATCCTCTTGGGTAAGTGACAGAAAACATATCGTTGTCAAGTGTTTTAGTGATTGATGTTTATTTGTTTATGTTCTTACCTATTTTTATTATTTTACAAGAAAATGTCTAAAGAAAAGGTTTTTTTGGACATTCAAATGGTAGCATCGGAATAGAATATGATGGCTGAAAGAAGAATAAATATATATTAGTCTGAATTTTTTTTAATTGTTAGGCACAACTCTTTCTAGGCTACATGTACAGTATTATGGTTTCGAAAAATGTCCACATGGTAAGCAAATTTAAATAAAGTATTCTAGATGAGGCTGTAAGTAATAAGCCATTGAAGATAATCAGGGGCCATTTTATTTCCCTTGACGCCTTCGCGGTTGTTTAGTACAGCCACAATGTAAATAGTTTGTGTGCTGTGGTGCTAAGATTTCGCACAGTGCTTTCATCCAGGCCTAGTGGCGTAACTCGTTCAAATTTAAAGGTGCTTCTTGCCTGGAAAGGGTGAAACTAAAAAAAAAAGACCCCTCCAAAAAAAACCCACCAAAAACACACAATTGCGCCCTAGTTTAGATTGCAAATGCATAACTTTACAATGTATTTATGTATCTTTTTGTTGGACCAGTAGGTGTTCATGGGCAGACCACTGAGCTCTACCAGACGACGGAAGATACGACGACACTTTTCGAAACAACGGCTGAGGCGGCAGCGACCGAATTCCAGACAACGATCGAAACCACCACCGATGACACGACTGACCCTGTAGTTACCGAATCGGCGGCAGGTAATTCAAAATGCTGATGGATATCAAATAAGTCTATACCCCAAAATATATCTGTAGCGCAATCCTTCCTACCGTATGCACAATCCACCTTGGTTTTTTGGGGGATTCAAGAAGAATCGAGGACATATGATACTCGATGTTTTTGCAGTGGAAAACATTTTCAGATTCAGGTTTTTTTCGTGCAAAGACGATACCTATAGGGATTAAGGTTACCCCAAGACTCAAATGTTATCTGAACAAGTCATGCCTTTGCATTCTGCGCATATTAAGACGCTGTATGTCGTTATTATAATGTTCCAGTATTATTTTGTTAATTTACCGTTCTCAATTTCCATTTTAATTCTGACCTCTTTTGATTAATAAGGAGCTACCCGTACATGTAGTCATGACAACGCCCAAGTCAACTACTCCTGAAGTCAAACTTCTGTTGCACAGTAATTTTCTAAGATTCCGGTTTTTAAAACAAACTCAAAAGGTGTCGTACAACTTAACAACCACTTTGAGGGTTCACAAGAAAAGCTTTTTCGCCTCAGCACTAAGAATACAGGCAACATTGTGTGAAACAGAGACCGCAAACAGATACATGCACTTTTTTTTCAATAGCTACAAATCACTGATACTTTTAGATAAGCTTTACGATCCAGGAATTGTTCGATGTTGTTCCATCAACCAGATTTCTGTCATTTCTCCCTACTAACAGATATCGACGAGTGTACCACTTTCCAATTGGAGAACAGACACAACTGTGACGACTTGGCAACTTGCTCCAATCTCGATGGTTCCTACACGTGTACCTGCAATTCTGGTTACTCAGGCAACGGACTGGATGGACAATGTCAAAGTGAGGATTTGTTGCTGAAGTTGCCGGAAAAATTTCCATATACTGTACGAAGTTCACTCAACACCCTGTGTACAAACCCTATGACTTTGATGACATGAAATTGCTATCTGGGGGCTTGTTAGTCAATACAGAGGAAAATTAGTGAACTTCGCATATGGTAATCTTGCCAAGTTGCTTTGGTTTGCATCCAAAGCCGAAGCCCGTCATTATTTTGCCATCTTTAATTGCTGAACTATAGTTTGTGGAAATTAGTCATTTGTTTTTGCAAGGATTAAAGAAATTGTACCTTTGTAATTTGAACAGCATGTCATACCCAACCATACATCGCTTTCGTGTACAGAGAACAGAGCTAAAATACATGTAATGTGATGACGATGTGAAACAATATGTCCGAAAACTATAGACAGATTTCAAGAATACATCTCTGAGCTACTTTTGTGAAACTCAAATTTTGTTTCGCAAAGATGACACTTAATGACACTTGGATGACTAATGCCAACAACAGTGACGATAATAACCGTGACGATCCTCATTCGTGTCTTTTTTCTGGTTATCCTACAGACATCGACGAGTGTGTGAATGGCACTGATTCATGTGACACCAATGCGGCCTGCACGGATACTGCCGGATCCTACACGTGCACATGCGATGCAGGATACACTGGGAATGGGATGACGTGTGCCGGTAAGATAACCAAACAGTGGCAATGGTGGAGCAGTGTTTTAGTCATTTCTTATCACGTTCACATAATCGGGCATGTTATAATGGTCACAGTTGGCAGGCAAGGAACGAAATACAGTCGAACACCTTTATAACAAGGTCCTTGGAACTTGACCAATTACCTCGTTTAACAGGTACCTTATATTAACAGTATGGGAAAACAAAGAAAACGAAAGACTTGGGACCTTACATTTTGTTTGTTATAAGCATGACGTTGTATCAACTGTGCTCTTCTTATCAGGGTTCGACTGTTAATGACAAACAAGTTGTGCCCCATCTACAATGTAATTCCCCGTTTCAAGGTTTGGCAAAACATAAATCTTGAAATATTGACCTTTTGTTTATCTTTCACTCTTACAGATGCTGACGAGTGTTTTGTCAAGTCCGATAACTGCACAGACAATGAGAAATGCATCAACAATGTTGGCGGATTCACGTGCGGCTGCCAGACAAACTTCTTCCGGGTTGACGGGGTCTGCACAGGTACGGTACTTACCTGTAAATTGTCAGCCTGTTTGTTCCCACTATGTTTTCCTGTATCTGCGTTTTATACTCTGTACATGTACATGTATTTGACTCTTCAATCATTTCTCTTTCAGGATCGGTTTCGCTTAATCTGGTGGTAGTCTTCTCCCAGATCCTGGGCATGTCAGCCGTCGATAACCTGACCGCAGTGGACACGGCAGCGAACCGCATTGAACTGGCAGATGACGTAAGTAAAACGGCTGATAACTTAGACTACACGTCTCTCTTGCACATGACACACATTGATTGAATATAAAAGTCAGAACAATTGAGAGGAATTAAGACGAATAATGGAAAACGTCAATCAAACTTTACATTCTTCTTTGGACGTTCAATTATCAACATTATTGTGTTGTCAGGGTCTCATTAGGTATACAAATCTCAAGCTCATCAAGTCAAACAATGAATCCCGTGTCGATCTATACCTGCATAAATCTAGCAGCCTTAAAGCAAACAGTGATATACAAGTCATGAATTTGTGCCTCCATTTCTGACACAATTTCAGGTGTTTTCAGTCCTCAACTCGTCCTCCACTGTCGGTCCCGACCTGTTGGGTGTAGCAATCACCGACATGACAAATGTCACCAACGGAACCTCTGTCACCTTCCTGGTGGATCTTGACGCCGCCACGACCCTGACTGAAGCTCAAGTGTCGCAGGCGTTCGTCGACGGACTCACGGGCGCGGCGAATGACACCGTGGCACCGGATAGCTTGATCGAGAGTGGATCGACGCCGACTGTGGCAGTGCCTGGTAGGTTACAGATCAAGAATAGCCAAGACACTAAACGGCAAAACATCTTTTTGAGAACCACACATATTTTAAAGCTCTGGCACGAGCTTCTACATGTCACTTGGTAGTCGGTCTGTCTGTCTGTTTGTCTGTTCGAGAAAATTGACAAAAACATTTAACCAAATGCCATTCCGTGGTTATATAAATGCACTCCTGCCAAAAAGTTTCGAAAGACCGACTTCGTTCCGATCGATGCGCATGTTTTGCACTCGTGCTTGTAAAAGAGCAAGCACCTGTATAGACCTCAGTTTCAACCAGCCAGCCGACCCGGGCAAGCTCGGTGGTTGAGTGGTAAGACATCTGCAAAAACCACCATCAAACAAATTAGCTGTGGCAGTAACCAACCAACTAGCTCTTCAGGATGAAGGCCAAATACATGTAGGCCTACATATTTTGACTTTTCTTTCCCAGACATGATTTAAAGACCAAAAAAAATATTCATATTCCTTCTTGGTGTATTTCAGATATCAACCCATGCGAGGAGGGAACGGACAATTGTTACGCCCTCAACTACCAGCAGTGCGTCTACGAAAGCAGCAACGTGTTCAGCTGTATGACGTGTTTGTCGGGTTATGCGGCGCCCTCTGTTGTCGGCGAGGCCTGCACGGGTATGTCAATATTTTTTTTTACCCCAAGTTCCGAATCTTTGTTTTTTGCTACCAAACTACCTGAATTCATCGAGATCACACACTGTTATGGAAACAATGATTCATTCTTTGCAACAGTATGGACTGTGTGTTCCTCAGCCCAGTAAATAAAAATTATGTCCAAAATCTGGCGATGGATTTTGAAGGAATTTAGAGGGTTTAGGTTATTTTTCTACTTGTATGTAAGAGTTTCAAAATTGCAAATGCCGGATCACACATTTGTGAATGAATAGTTTGTTTTAAATTGTTAGTTGGGTGGGTAGTTCAGCTTTTTACTGTTGAGCATGATTCACACTGAACAAAACACACACACTTAGTTTTTTCCTAAATTTCTTTTTATAGAAAGAAAGATATGCTTAGACATTTGTTTTCGCAAACTTCATCTTTTTATTATAAGTTTCAAGATCAAAACACATTGAGTAATTAAAAGAAAATTAATCCATGGACAGAACATAAGCCATTTTAAAGAAATCTCTACCTCTACCTGTTGAATTACTTGATATACATGTACATGTAGTACAAACTGTTTTCAATGTTTGTACTTTTCCCCCTCGTTTATAGAAATCTTTCCCTGTGACAACAGCACCGTGTCCCAAGCGTGTGCCGATCAAGGCTTTGTGGACTGTGTACACGACGGGCCCGGCGAGTCACACTGCGAAAACTGTCTGCCTGGCTGGACGATGGTGGGAAGCCAGTGCGAAAGTACGTATAATGCCGCCATGCACCACATTTTCACTCATCAATTCGCCCGAAAAAGCCCCTTAACAAACTTAAGTATATTTCCTTCTTTATGTCAACATATACTTAGAAGTTTTGTTTGGCTTTTCATTTATTTGCCCAAGTCTCGATTTGTGTGAAACGTTAGGTTGCAGTATGAAAACTATCAGCGTGATATGAAGTGAATTTCAGAAACCTGATTTCATGGTTGAATAGACAAATTTTGATTGCTACATGTATTTTCCCCAATGAAAAATTCATGATTTTGTTCATGAGCATGTTTATTCTTTAGTCTGTTGTCCAAATTTCCGACCCCTTTAACTCGTTTAAACAATTACATGCAATGGGTGAGCTGTTGCTGTTTGACTTGTTCTTTAAATAAGTTCTAAGCCAGAAGTCTCTCTATATTTATTAATTAGGGAATAAATGTGTGCTCCGCCAGTTTTAAAACCCTTTTTTCTAAGGCTGGTTTTAAAAACTCTGCTAAGACCTGTTGGAGTCTGGATGCTGATAATTTGTCGAGAGCCATGTGACGGGATCTTGACCAATAGGAATGTGTAAACTGTCTTGGGTATTTACGAATGAAGTTTAATTTGGACAAACAATTCTTTCCTTTCCTTGTACAGGGCTGCAGAAATTCCAAGGCAGCGCCAGGCTTGAAGACTACGGTGGCATGACGGCGGAGTTTACAGAGGATCTGACCAACAGTTCATCATCGGCCTACATTGCACTGGCAGACGATATCTGCACCGTGAGTTATCCTTTTATTAATTTATTTATTATCCACATCCAACAGCAAAAAAAACCGCCAATTACAGGACTGGGTCCTATTCATTCCCTTCTGGGTTCCCGTTTTTCTATTTGTATTACAATTTAAAATACTGGACAAAAAAAAGAGACACGGTGTGATTGTATATAATTATTATTATTTATTTAACATGTATTATTTTAACCGCAGATTCGCAAAATGTCATTTCTGTGCTTGCGGTATGTTTAATTTCCCTTTATTGTCCAAACTGGCAGTAAAGGTAATCCTGCCCTCAGTGTTGAACCGAAAAACGGATATTACCCCAAACCTTCTCATATAAAAGATGAAAAAACTCTTTGAAATTTAAGAAGCTTTCTAAGTTGGGAGTTGAGTTGAGGATTGCATCGGAGTCAATCGTGTCTTCCTCTGACGTGAAATTAATTCCCATCTCCTCTCATTTTGTTTCTCATTTTCTTTTGTTTCCATGAAGTTCCTGACAGCGGCCACCGGTTCGTCCATCTGTCAGATTCTAGGTTTCAGTAATGGCAGCATTATCATCGACTACATCTTGCTCTTCCCTGAGGCGGACAACTCCACCGCATCAGACCTGTCTGCCTCTATCCTCAGTGCTGACACCGCTACGGGCTCCCTGGCGCTGACTCCAAGCTCTGTTAGTTTAGTCGGTGAGTTTGCCATTCGCTCATTTCATGTCAAGTGATGAGCAACCCTGTTGGTCAAACCAAAACACAATAAAAGTGAGATAGCACTTTAATGAGTGACAAGAATACAAGCGTGCATAAACGTTCGCAGCAACAACTCATTCTTAGATTGGACTGTGTTAAAAGAGGGCTAAATAGGGCTGGTGCAGGTTATTTGTCACACTATACACTACTGACTAATCAACACCTGACATTGCACGATGATGACCCGCTTCACTGCATCTGATAAGTAGTTGTAGCAACGAAAGCTTATGCAAACTTCAATTCGTGTTAGTCATTTCAGTTCTGTACACATTAATTTTCAGTTCATGTTGTGACTGTTGCCTATAGACCTTTATCATGCTGTCACCATTTCAGTCATGTTCCCTGTATCCAATAGCAGTACTGAATGATAACATGTTTAAAAACAAAACAAGAACCAGACTGTTTTCCCTTCCAGCCCCGCTTTGGTTACGTTGATTTGAATGAGAAAAAAATCATGATGGCCACAACATGAAAATGGTCTATTACGTATGGGCTCTCCAGGCAGAACGAATTTATTTAAAACCTTACATGTAGGCCTATACATGTACATGTACATATTTTTGAATGAAATCTTCCAAGTTCAACAACGCTATGTGTAATCGCCGTGTCCTTATCTCCTGGTCCTTATTTTTCGTTTTCTCTCCAGACATCAGCGCCTTCTGTGAGTTCAGTTCCTGTTTGAATGGTGCCACCTGTTCTATTGATAGCAACCAGATAGTATGCGCGTAAGTTAATTAACTTAGATTCTTGTCGATGCAAGGGCGGATGCAGGTTTGAAGGGGAGTAGCTGCTAAGAGGGGGTATAGCAGGCATATGCTGTGTTTTCCTACATGATTTTCCTACTTGTTTGGCGGCCAAAAGGAGGGAGGGGGGGGGGTAGACCCCTAACTTCCAGCAGATCCGTCACTGCAATAATTGCTTTTAATACTCTATGAAGTACCAGTACTACAAGTTGTTTTCACTTAAATTGAAAAACTTAATATGAGAAATCCCTTATTGATTGTTTTTTTTTTTTTACATTTACAGGTGCACAACAGGTTACACAGGGAGCGACTGTGGCACAGGTAAGACAAACTCGATGTAAATGTCTATTAACTAAAATGATTACAATTCTTAACCTTGCAAAACTGACACCGAGACATACCTAAATCGAAACAATGCATATTTTTTTTTTTAATAAAATGTTCAATCAAGGGTGCGGAATCCTGGTTGTTTATTTATTAATTAATTTTTGTTCTGCTCGGGACATGAAATGCTTTGAGGATTCTATCACAGCTGAGACCCAAGCCTTCGTCAAAACTAAATCCAACACTTCTGATTACATACAATCTTGTTACTGATTTGTTTGGACATCACACACACCCGAAGATAGGTCAAAATATCCATGGAACATACATTGTGGACATACAAAAGTCTCCAAAGCTCCAAAATTTATCTTTAAAAAAATGAAAATCATCTTCCCCGTCAGAGCCTAATCCAATCCTTAACAGCGAATCCTATCTTAAAAGGCCATTTCCCTATCCCACTTTTTCTTGTTCAATTTGAAGCAAATTTGACTGAAATTGTTTGGTTTTGTTTGATTATAGCTGTGACAACCCCTGAAGTCGTCACGCCGATCGCCGTGACCGCCGCACCCGACGGCCTCAGTACCGGAGCGATCGTCGGTATCGCGGTGGGCTGTGTGGTCGCTGCCATAATCATCGTGGTCGTTCTGGTAGTAGTAATCATGAAATGCACCGGCAAGTCTAAAGTTGGCATTCGGGAACAGGAACCAGACGAAATACCACTCGCTGATCAACATCAACACTGATGGGGTGTTGCACATGGTTTTAACTTCATTCCCTGGTAGCCGGACACGGGGTTGGCACCAGCGAAGATTCTGTTGGTTTTGCATTCCTGTAAAGCATCTCCTGCTCATCTTGAGTGTTTTGAAATGAATATGAACGCATTGAGGTGCTCTAAAGAACCCTGTGACTCCGTATGCTGTATATTGTGTTTTATTTTTTTTTTCCATATTTTGTTTTCATGTAAAAGGCTAGCATGGAGTTTGCCTTTGTTGTGTTGGATATTCGTTGTAATTAACTTGTAAATAATTCTTTCTTTTTTTAAATGCATGAGAGAAACATATTTTATAAAGGGTGCAATATTGAAATTATGAATATCGCACCATTTTAAACAATATTGTTCTCTCATTCATAATTCAGAGTTTGTCATAATACAGAAAAGGGATAAACACCTTTTTTATTTGCATGTATATATTGATGTAAGTATATTTTTTTTTAAGGACGGAAGGGGATTTTATCTTCTTTTTTATTTAAAGTTTTACACAGGTTTTGAAGATTTGAACTTACTCTTTAAAGTGATGGATTGTTACTACGTGTACTGAAATACGAAACCTTACGCTTGCTAACATGCATTTCGCATCCAAAAGAAAAGACCACAATTTCACCATTTTGGGTTATTAATGAATTTATGTATACGCAGTAATTGTTACATTGAAGCAGCTGAACTGCAGCTTTTGGTAAAAATAAATCAACAATGCACTGTACATGTATTTTTATCTTTGATTTTCGTTAAAGTGAATCAAAAATATTACTCTTTTTTTAAACAATGGATTCTTGTACAATGTAAATAAAAGGTTGTGTGCATTTTAACATCTAGTGGTTTAGATAATTGGAAACTTTGCAGTCCTGTTTTAAATAATTCATGGTGTGAAGTTTAATAAAGCTTAAATGATAAATTGTTTTGAAAAAAAGTCATTGATTAGTGCTATCAATTTGACAAGTTTAAACTTCACAAGTTTATTGAATATTTGTATAACTTGACTTGATCAATAAATGAGAACATAAATCTATGTGGTTTCAAAGTGTAAATAGTCATGTACATGAATGCTTGTAATTATGATCTGTTACACGGTACCCTGTGGAGACATGGGTATGATAGGGAACAAAAGATTGAATAAGTCTCCTCGGGGCCATTTCTATAGGTGAATACGTCTCCACAAGGTTATCACGAAATAGATTTTACGATATGGATTTTACTCCAAAACTAGGAATTTCCAAGGTGTGTTGATTGGTCGCAAATTGAAGTATTTTATGTAATGGATATTAAGTCCGAATTCCAGCCCAGGAAATTAATTCTGGTTAAAATAGGACCATTTTGAATCTACACTTTCAAACTCGAAAACTTTAGTCCACGGGAACAAAAAAATTCCTCCACAAGGATAAAAATCAAGTATTTGTCTGTATATGTGTGTGTGAAACTAGTCGGAATTAAAACAAACAAATCGAAAACGAAAAAAATATATATACATTTTGAGACTCAGAGAACATTTGTATTTTCTTCAATGTTGAAATGAAAAGTAAATGCTGAAATGAGCAGCAAAGGATCACTACAAATGAATACATGTACATGTTTTGAACTTTTCAGAACGTGCCGATTCGGTATTATGACCTATTTTGCAACCGCGTCGCTCAGATACTTCATTAATTTTTCACGCACTTTATGTTATGATCTTATTCCCGCAATGTGGCGACTGGAATCCCCAGCAACAGATTGCTGATGATTCATTATAATGACAGCACGTGACCAGATGCTACACGAGAAAAATGAAGCCGTGGCTATTGAATAAATAATGAGTACATGTACATGTACAATTGTTGAATGAAACTTTGATGTGATGCTAATAATTCAGTTTTGCTCGGTGACATTGTTATTAAGCAGTTGACGAGAATAATGCAAATTGCCAATTGTGTATTCCACTGGCCACGTATTTACTCACTTGCCCCTTGGTAACAAACGTGCATGTACTGTGTGCATGCTTAAATATCCGAACAATCGAAATCATTTTAAAAATGAAGGGAAAAAAGACGGAAAATTAATCATTCAATATTAGGTTTTGCCCTTCACCTACGTATAAACACTATATGTACAGTACTCAGTCAGGCGCGGAACCACGGGAATTTGACACAAATAATGTGACCCCCCCCCCCGGTCCGATACCCAAAAACATTTTACTAGTACATTTTTGTAATTATGTCCGCTTAATTGTGCACAAATTGGGACAGAGCCAGCTGGGTTACGGGTGTTATTGTATACAGTCGACTTTCATTATAAAGAGCACTTTTATAAAGAGGTTCTGCTTATAAAGAGCAAATTCTGAGGTCCCAAATCTCAGGTTCTCTTTGTTTTCGCTTTGTTTCGCTGTCCTTTTATAACAACATTCCTGTTATAAAGAGGTAATTTGGCTAGTCCCATCGACCTTGTTATAATGAGAGTCGACGTAATATTTTGTAATATAGTGTTAAATTAATGATGGTCGGATTTCAACAGCGCCCCATTTAAAGTATGGTACGACCCGCCCCCCCCCCCCCCGGCGGAGGCCAAGTGCCTAGAGAAAAAAACCCTGTCTACATTTCAGCATTGATTTGCTAATGAACCCCCCACCCGCAAAAATTCTTGGATCCGCCCCTGCTCAGTGTGTTTCCCCCAAGTGAAAGTGAAAACAAGTGTGCTTGAAAACTTTCAAACAGTCACAAGTGACAAGAAATATGCATGTTCATGTACACCAAGGGCGGATCCAGGGGGGGGCCAAAGGGGGCCATGGCCCCCCCCAAAACGAAACCAATTTTTTTTTTTTTTTATGTGACAATGCAATAAAGGCAGGCAATGAGTACACCACCATCTTTTCCTCAAAAAACATTGGTTAAAGTGGTCAGAAATTGCCTCAGATTGCACCACAGAGCATCTAGAATCCAAAAATTTTTCGGGGCCCTTAAGCGGGCCCCGAACCCCACGCCGTAATTTTTTCACCCACTTTTTGGGGGGACCAAAATTTTTTTTGGCCCCCCCCAAAATTGTGTTCTGGATCCGCCCTTGATGTACACGTATGCCGCTGAACTTCTTTCTCATTATCGATCTGATCCAGTGGTTTTGAGGAAACCGTCCTCACGGTTCAAGTTTACACACAGTTTTGGAATATTACGGTGCATGGGAATGCATGGCAACCCAGCTGTGTCCATGGCGACGTTTACCATAGTAACCATGCGAAGCCAGATGATGCTGCATCCGTGCAGTTGCTCCTGTCATATCGGTGTACGTTCTGACGAAGATGATGACCGTCCTGCCGTCTCGGACTGGACACACCTCGACCCGTTGATGAATCTGATGGGCGCTTCGGACTGTTGGTTAAAAGCGATGAAAGTGAGTCCTACCTAAGTGCAGGTATGTTTTTTGTTCCGGTGCTGCCGGTTTTCAAGGCAGGTTTTTCCACCCAAATCGGATAACAGGCTATACAGAGCGTCCCAAATTACACCTAACATTTTTTTTGCGAGGATCTAGCGTCGCCGCGGAAACACTAAACGCCATTATTTTGATATCCTTTTGAAGCTTGGAATCTTAACTTTATCTTTGGCAAGTATTGGTTTGATTTTCAAAAGGGATTTAAAATGATTCGTGGTCACATAAAGGCATGTCAAAAACAAACTCAACCAATTTCAAGGAAAATCAATCACTTGCATTCTTTTCTAATGTGGAAATGGTTCATCATATTCATGATGTGACGATCTGGTTGCCTTTTACATTAATTTCTGTGTTTCCTATTCTTTTAGATCCACGTAGACAACACCTTAAATGAATTCACAATATTGTTCTTCGCTTTTAAAGTTCAATTTTTGAAATTCACGTAAAAGTATGTACAATGTACGTATTCAAAAAACGCGCTCAAAGTGTGGCTCTAGTTTGCATCTGATGTACCGCAGCATCGATTTTCCTTCAAATCGGTTCAATTTGTTTTCAACATGCCTTTATTTGAACACAAATAATTTTAAAACTCTTTTAAACATGAAACCAATACTCGTAGTTGGGAACTATACAACAGGGTCCTCTGAAACTGTTTCAAGATGCAGTTTATATCTCTAAGACCGAAGAGGGCGTTAATATGATATGCAACGATATAGGGATTTTTTTTAAGGAACTGTAGGTTTGCAAGTTGTAAAGGTACAATCGATGATGCAAAAGGTTTTCTTTGGGGGGGGGGAGAAGTGTGTCCTATACTACTAGATCCTACTTGATTTGAGGCAATATCCGTTTGTAATTTGTTGTTAATACATGTAGTTAACATTCTCCAGAAATGAGCCATTTTTCTGGGGACTTTGGGGAAATTTTGTTGTCTATCAATGTACATGTACTTATTAAAGTGAGTGGTCGTCTGGTGTTAAGCGATATTTACCCAGAGAGATTATGGAAATATGGCCGTTTCTTCTGCTAGAAGTTGTCGATTGCCCCAATCCCACTTGGACATTTTAAATATTCCTTTACGATCCAAACGAACCAAATACTGGATCCTGAATAGCTGGAATTGGCTTCCCTCCGTTCCAAAAAAGGGAAGGGAAAAAACCCAATGTGTTGGCATACGTTTACTCAAGGGGAAATGAACGAAATGTATTGTACAATAGGGGAAACTATGAATATTCATAGTTACAAGCTTGAACGGGCAAATATTATATTAACGGCCTTATGCAGACCCAAAGCTATCGTACTGCCACTCTGTCACGACGATACCGACGGAAAATAGATCATCTTCCAACCAGAACCACAAACGACCAGACTTTGGAAGAATGCAAACACTCCGTTGTCATATTTCCTTTTGAATGGTTGTCATGGTCACGCTCTCCCATAATTGCCCAAATAATCACTCGGTGTGGCAGCTAATGCATTGCCCTTCGTTCTGCAGTATTTTGCAACGCCATCGCAACTCATGCGTCGCAAATTCTGTTATCAATTGCCTTCCTGCTTAGCCTAATTTATCTCCAGGGCTAAAACAATCATGGAATTTTCGTCGCTCTATTTTCTTTTATATTTCCGTGATTACTGGCTCCGTTTGGTAAAATTTATGGCAAGAAATGACCCTGTATACATGCAAATAAAGAAAGACCCAGTAGTAGTAGACATCTTAGTGAAACGTGAAACATATTTAAAGATGTATTCCACGTACTGTATTCGAGTTTACCTCGACAAATAGATTTGTTTTGTTTTTTCAATTGCCATTTTCCTAGTAATGTAAAAGTTTAACTTTCATTGTTGAATGAAACATCGAATGAAAAAAAATCCATCAACGTTTAGTTTATCCTTCACAAAATGGAATTATTGGCTGCCAGACAATATTTTGGCTCTTGCCGGGCGGTTTATTTGTGCGCAGTTGAAAGCCCTCTTTCAGAAAGTTGTAGACGCCTAAATTTGGAATACATGTACATGTACAGTAGAGTTTTTCGTGACAACAAAACACACACAGTGAAAACTCGTCAGGAGAAAAAAAAACATTTCTGAAAAGCAAATGTTGTAAATTGGCCTATGTTGATTAATATGCATTAAAATCACCAGATACCTTAAAACTACAAATAAGGATCAGAAATACATCAAAAGACACCATTAAAATTAGTGTTGCATGCAAGTTAAGTTCATTAAAAATACTTACAATAAAATAGATTACAAATCAAAAGCATGTTGGAAACGATTAATTTCCAGCAGCGTCTTAAAACGGTTTAAGCTGGTGGCATTTCTCACTAAACTGATTCCTTGTTTTCACAGAACACACCAACATGTTGTAAGATTTTAACAACCATTGGTTTTCTTTTTACCTCGTTCAGACTTCCCTGACGGTTGAAATGAAGATGTTAGAGATTCTGATCTTGATACTTGCTAATACCCTGCCAGGTATATATAGATGTACAGATTTTTTGTCTACCTCTATCTATCCTTATATTTTAAGCAAATTTGACGGCATCATTATGCTGTGAGCACACGTTTAACAAAACAAATGTCCTTGGAAAATTGATTGAAGCACGGCACTTCAAACTTCAGTATTTCTTTCTTTTTTTTCATCATAATCTGAATGTTTTTTTTTTCGTTTTAGCTCTGCTTATTACCTCACCTCCGCAGACTACACCCACCGAAGACTCCGAGAGGCTGAGCCTAGCGGCCGTCATCGGTATAGTGACGGGTGCCGGCCTGGCATGCCTGATCGTAACCATCGCCATGATCCTCGTGGTGTTCAAATCACTTACCAGGACACCGACAGGCGCATTGGTGACACGGGAACATACGCGGTCATCGGGGGAACGGTGGGCCACGATGCGGGAACCGCCTACCCTGGAGAGCGGCGTTTAGATTTGTGGAGAGGACCATACTCCATATGCCGAAACAAACAAATGGCTACAGACCAACATGGGGGCCACCTTTTCGGAAAATTCACCCATTTTGCCACCCTCAGACTTCAAACTTTGGAAGCCAATGGTGAAGCTTTTTCCAAAGTGCAGTTTTCAAGTGGTATATCTGTGTCGGGTACTAAAAGCCCCTAGGTGCGCCGAAGGCGTCTGGGCAGTGTTGCAGTCGAGTCCATCACAAGTCGATCACAAGTCAATCACAAGTCAATCACAAGTCAATCACAAGTCAATCACAAGTCAATCACAAGCCAATCACAAGTCAATCACAAGTCAATCACAAGTCGATCACAAGCCAATCACAAGCCAATCACAAGTCAATCACAAGTCAATCACAAGCCAATCACAAGTCAATCACAAGTCAATCACAAGTCAATCACAAGTCAATCACAAGCCAATCACAAGTCACTCACAAGTCAATCACAAGTTAATCACAAGTCACTCACAAGTCAATCACAAGTTAATCGCAAGTCACTCACAAGTCACTCACAAGCCAATCACAAGTTAATCACAAAGTCAATCACAAGTCAATCACAAGTCAATCTAAAGTCAATCTAAAGTCAATCGCCAGTCAATTGCAAGTCAATCGCCAGTCAATCACAAGTCAATCGCAAGTCAATCAGTCCAAAGTCATGTCGCAAAGCTTTTCAAATGATCTGCGATAAAGGCATTCCTTTGCTAATTCGCACCTCTGTTACTTGTGACTGGATTTGTGATTTACTTGTGAACGGATTTGCGACGGACTTGCGATTTACTTCCGACTTGACATCGTGGACTCGACGACATCGCCGGTTTGGGGCAGGAAAATGTTGAAATGTGAATTCCTTATCTTGCACGGGACATTGTTTTAAAGTATGTGTTAATTACAAATACAATGAGAGGGACAATATTAAAAAAAAAAATTATGAAGACATTTTATTAATGTCCTAAATTTCTATTTTCGGAAGTGTTTTATCAATGAAGCATTTGTGAAACTTGAAATCTCAACAAAAAGAGAAGGGAGATTTGATTTCAAGGGAACGTTTGTTAGACCGATGGAGAGTTTGCACTTCAAACGTTTCTAAAGCTACAAGAAAATTACAGTAAATATTAGCAAGAGATGATTGTTTGTCACCTAAGCAATGGTTGGCTGTTTTATGTTTTGAGTTTATTTTGGTTACCGATTGTATAGGGTTTGTACTTGTTTTTTTTTTCTCTCTCGCTTGAACTAAAAGTTAAATTGAATGAAAGTGGTGTTTGCATGTGGTACCCCCGGCGTGCGCTTTCGATTTTGAAGCGGCAATAACCCTCATTGTTCGAGGGCTGCAGGTGTATGGGCAGCAGGTCACCCCACCCCGTCCAAACATTTTAAAAATGAGTAACCTGTGAATTCTCAAGTACTTGAGTATTCAGTGGAATTCTCCCCTTGAAGGGAAAACGAGTTTCCAAAATGATATCGTTGATTTTCGCGGGTTTTTTTTTTTTGGGGGGGGGGTGGGAGGTGTGCCGGTGTGCGTGATCTAATCGTACATATAATGGACCTGCGAATAAAAGAGGTCCACATTGTCCCAAATCATCATTCCTTTGTTTGTGCTCTAACTTTTAATCAACAGCTCTCATTGGTTTTGTACAAGAATTTCAATCGTGGACGTTTGGTCAATCGTGGACGTATTGTTCGTGCCCTAACCCTTTTGTTCTAGGTCTACGGTTGCCGTTGTTTACATACTCAAGATTTCCTCTTCTCTGAGAAACGAGCTTTGAGACATTTTGGGGTTTATTTGTTGCAAAATGAAGAGGAAGACTCAAGGGAATCTCGATAAAAAAAAATGGGTTGAAATGGGTTGAGTGTTCACAGTGGGAGTAAAATGATTTTTTTCTCCAGGGAGAAATTCGACAGTAGGTAAGGTATTACTGTGTGTGTTATGATGGGGGGGGGGGGCACCGTTAATAATAGTAGCACCCGCAAAAAAACCCCAAAACGATAGCCCAACATGCCTCTCCTTCAAACTACAAAGAAATTGTCTGTGTTTATTTTTCGAAGAGAGTTTTTAAAAAGTATCCAATGATGAAATCCATTGCATTTTTGTGTGTGCTTAAGCCTAACCCCTGGGATGACGAACAAAACTATTCCCGAAAAAAAAGACTTTACCATGGGCGATATTTGTATAATTTAGAAACTTTCACGAAGTCAATGTCACGGATTCAATCTATAGTCTCATACACCATGAACAGGTACTATTGGTGTCGTGGAACAATAATAACTCTGAAAATGGCTTATAAACTTTGGATACTTTCGCAGTGAAGCGAAACTGTTAGAATTAGGGCCGGTTCATGCTCCTTAAAAGTTAAAAGAATTAATTACTTTCCCTTTGCACCAAAAAACCTTACTTTTGTCCTCTGACTATATCTTTTGGGGAAAAAACAGCAATACATCTTTCCAGGGACCGTTCTTGATCAATTTTCAAATCAAGTTGATAAACCAAAAAAAATTTGCACAACATGTATGTGGTGACAGTAGAAAAGACGGTTACAACTTATTGTTGCATGAAGATTGCGTGAGGCCCAGCTTTAATTGGAAAACTTGAATACCATTCACGAGAAAGCAAACTTTCTGTGGAATCAATACAACCCAATTTTGTGCGGTATTCGAAACCGTCTGGCCATGAACGTGGTGTATAGGCCTAGGCCTAGGCCATATCGTAATGATGAAATACTTCACTTGAATGCCCTTTATCTATTCATCGCGCGTTGAGTGACTTCGCACTTAACAATGAATCGGCCTCAGCCTTTTCAGTCAAGTTCGCCCCGGCAAAAAAGAGCTACAATCACGATCTAAGGCAGCTCTAAAAATCTTTTGTTGAAAATGAAAGTTTGACCGCGGAATTCCAGAAAAAAAAAAGTGAAGTAGTTTAGTTCATATCCGGCCAGGGGTGCCATGGCGGTTTATTTAGCGTTTCCATGTCGACGTTCACCGTGGCAACGTAAACTGAGGAGTAACCAGGCGGTGAACAGCCAGGGTTCCCAGATACAGAGATACTGGTACCGAGTCCACCCATAGACTTGAACCACCACGGTGATATTCGCATGCGGGTTTTTTTTAATCATCGGATAGCTGATAAATTTCAATCCTTGCCTTGACTGTGTGCTAACTCCTTCACTGGATACCTGGATTGTTGGATTTAAGAAGATCAGGCGTTGGGTAAGTATTTGTATTCTGTTGTTATTTATTTGTATTTTTGCAAACATATGCGTATTATATTATGTATGAACTTAAAGGCCTGTAGAAGCATTTGCATTTTGTTTCTGCCAATATGTACACCGCTCAAAATCCAAAGACAACTGTTCAAAACCTAACCTTCTGAAGTTTCAGCTCAGTGGATAATACACTTTTTGAGGAAACAGTGAAAAACCATGCACAACCTTTCGATCAGTAAACCCGATTTCGTCCATAGCATTCTTAATTTCCAAAAATCAGTCAATTGACTGACCATTGGGAATCACCTAACATTTGTTGGTTTCTTCTAAATGACAGCAAGCCAGACGAAATAATTTCACGAGTTGCTTTGGTCCCTGTACGATCTTTAATCCAAGTAAGATTTGTGATTCCGTAGGTTACTTTCTGGATGAATGCAGATGATCCTGTATGAATTTAAAGGTCAAATAGTTAGTGTAACCCCTAGGTAATCCTTAGCGGATTTGTTACGATCACATTATGAAGGTAATTCTATTATGTTATAACATAATAGAATTACCTTCATAATGTGATCGTTAAAAATCTACCTAGGGGTTACACTAACTATTTGACCTTTAAATTCATACAGGATCATCTGCATTCATCCAGAAATGTAAACGTCCAATTGTGAAAAAAACTCACTCTTCAAAAGAGTGAATCTCTTATGAAACCACTCAAAAAGAGTGAATCTCACTCCAAAAAGAGTGAAAATTTCACTCCAAAGGAGTGAAATTTTTACTCTTTCGAGGAACCATATCAGGAACCACTCTTTTTAGACTTGTCCCTTATATGGCTCCTCGAAAGAGTGGACATTCCACTCTTTTGGAGTGATTTTCACACTTTTGGAGTGGTTTTTATAAGAGATTCACTATTTTGGAGAGTGAGTTTTTTTATTCTTTTGGTTCGTGTTTTATGATTTAATATCTTTATGCAGTTATTAAATGAAATGATTATTTTTTTTCAACTTATCGTACTTGTGAAATCATGCAGGTTGATTTGTCAAGGTATTTGAAAAATGTGGGGTTTATGAGATAAAGATGAAAAGATTCGACCGTTAACTCACAGTATCTTGAAACAGTTCGACTTCACTTGAAAATTTATCCTGCCCTTCAATTTTCCCGTTTGACAAACATACATTCTGATTCTTATACAGACTAGGCTTATGTCCAACAAGCTTTCTTTTATGTACAAATTGTTTCTTTTTTTCTCGAAAATAAAATGTTGTGATTCTGTTTCTAAGGTACGTTGCACGCATTTCTGTAGTCGACTCCTCTTCGCAGTCTTAGATAATGACAGTTTAAAGTAGAAATGACTTGAAGCTTATGTTGGTTTAAAGTTTTCAAAGAAAGTACATAGTTTGAAATCTTGAGGCCTATTGATAATGGACACAGCATTCTTTTCTTGGTCTTAAACTTCAACTTTTAACTTTCAATCGGCAAGTCGATAAAAAAACAAACTTCATATTAAACATGTATGGTGGATTCCAGGCTCAACGAGGGGCGGATCCAGAGAATTAGATTTTTTTTTTGGGGGGGGGGGCTGAATTCTCAATTACAGCAGTTCAAGACATTAAGCCTTGTGGCTGTGGGTTGGTCAAGAGGCAAATCAGGAAGCCCCCCCCCCCCCCACCCATCCTCTACTGGATGGACTATAGGGTCAAAAGGAAAGTACAGACATAAGCCTTTTGTCTACGTTTTAATTAAGCCAACTTTTACCTGTTTTTCTTGAACTCAAACGATACTGTCGGCAACACTTTAGTGTATTAAAATAAACAATTCATTTTCATAAATTAAGCTATACTGAAAATATTTTCTCTGAAAGTACTTCCAATTTGCGATGAACTTTTTGGCTCGTATTGAAACCATTAATTATACTAAAAATGCGATAAATCATACTGCTGATCTATAATAATGCTGTTTCGACTTTTGACGTCACAGTGTGCTCAACTTCATTTCGAACGTTTGAACTTTCCTTTCCAAATTCGGGGTTCTAAAATTTAATTTGAATTACAGTATTATACAAGCTGATCTTTGAACTTGATGGAGCCTCTAAAACTGAAAGTTGGTCCATGGCAACGACCTAACGTTTGGGTTGTTTAACAGTTGTTTTGGTAACTTTTCTTCAGTGGTCTTGGATACATACCCCCACGGAGATAATATTGGTATTGTTCGCCCACAATAGCGGGATTTGGGGGTTCGCTGAATTATCGGACAATTTGCCGGAGGCTGTCAGTTTAACTCGTTTGCCCTTTGTTGTAAGTCGTACACGTACACCTGAACTTGTGTTTCCTCACGAACACCGTGGTTTATAGACAGCTTTATTTTGCAACTCAACCGTGACGCTATATTTACAGGCAACAGCGGTGCACAATTGTGTCTGTATTTGTATGGATTTTTTTTCAACCGATGGTTGTCAGGGACGCATGCTTTTATTGACTAATTGAGGTATCAGTCGAGTCTCGTTAATACAAACTCGTTCGGACCAAGCCAAATTGTTTGTTATATCAGAATTTTGTATTAAGAGGAACATCAGTCCCATTCACTGTGCACATAAATGCACAGTCGGGACCAAGGCTTTATGTTTGTTATAACCAGAATTTTGTATTAACAGAGTTTGTACTAACGAGATTCGACTGTATGCTGAATCGGTTAAAATATGAATTAACTGAAGTTGTTTTAGATAAACTTGTTTCCCCTTAAATAGCCGACTATTTTACAGTTATACAGTGCTCTTCACCACGTTTTATTGTTGTTCTGTTAAATTCTTTTTAATTTGTTCTTTTTTGTTTAAACAGAAAAATCTAATTATTTGTGGGTTTTTTTTTACGTTTTCAACCCTCTGATAAAACGCTTTTATTTAGGGTTTTCTGGCGCCCGTGATTTGCATTATTGTCGGGCCGCAAACTTGAGAAGTTTATATTTCAAAACCAAACGTCAGAAATGTTTTTTGTTCGATGACGCATTCACTATTGAATAATTTTTATAGAATAAATAAAAAAAATTGGGTTGAAACTCGAAAAGAGCACCGGGGGGGATAACTTTAAACAAGAAATCCATGTAAGAGAATCAGAAGTTTTTCATTTTAAGATTTCCTTGCGTCTTTCTTTGACATTTTTTATTAATATTTTGGCTCTGTTTAACCACGTGCATGGCGGTGGGGTTTTTTTTTTGGGGGGGGGGGGTGTCTGATAAGCCCAGGCCCTGAAACCTTAGCAAGGCCTTTTCGTCATCAAGTCATATTATTTGAACCACTTTTTGATCATAGCTCACCAGGTCTTGTTTGTACGGTTTGTTTTTCTTCAGGATTATCCTGCCGTCACGATGAAGGCGGAATTTCTGTTCTTGGTTCTAACTGGAGCACTGATAGCACAGCTAGGTACATAAATGTAGAATTGTAAATCGATCAGTTGGCTATTTAACTTCAAATTGATATTCTTGAATTAATACCTATTACCTCATACCATTTCAGTGTGTTACTCTCTAAATTCCAAAGAGTGAAAATTCACTCCATTCGAGTGAAGATTCACTCCCACAGTCGGAAACTAGGGACTGGACGTTTTAGATTGAAATTCCTAAAGATCGAGTTTTCACTCGAGCTTCGACTGAAGTGGTTCTTTTTTCAGACTATTTTAATCGAAAATGAGAGTGATTTTCACTCTAAAACGTCTAGTCCCTAATTTCACTCTTTGGAATTTAGAGAGTATCGTTCAAATGCTTGACATGTGTACTGAGCTTCTTCGACTTCAAATCTTGGACTCAACATCGCTCCATTCTGTCAATTAGAATGAAAACTGGGTTTGTGAGGTAAAATCATCTCAAAAACAACAAGTTTCCACCTAAATTTTCAGATCTCAACTGATCTAACTATCATAAAATAGAAAATGTATAACCACATCTTCACTCCTGCTTGAAATGTTGGCCCAACGTCATGGCGCTAATGAGCACAGACTTTCCTGCCAAAAGAACCTTTGTTTGTTGATTTCAAGGAGACCGCGGTAAAATAAGGAGCGATCAACTTCGAATGCAACATGGAAATAATATACATTATATTTTTCACTGTGAAAAACACATAACGTTGTGACCTGTAAATGATTATTTTTTTACCTTGAAAACTTTACAACTTTCCTAGGTCTTATTACCGAAGCCGCTGCAACTACCGAAGCCGTTACAACAGGTGAGTACAACAGAAGACAACAGAAAAAGGACTTTTCCTAGATCGACGAATTCATTTAAAGTGGTGTATACGTGCTTTTTGGGTGTGACACCTTGAAAAATAGATTTTCAAATTGAATTGATACTTTTCAAGCATTACATTAGTCATGAGCTTTTCAATGAAACGTCGCGTGAAAAAAAATCGGCCTACGACAAGTAATCAGTTTATTAATTTCAACGTTTGAATTAAGAGCGGGACGATCCTTATTCGTTCTGAATAGTGTGCGCAATTTCTGAACTAGAGCGCACCATTTAAAACCACTTTTTAAAAATGCCCGCAAAAGCAAACAAGCAACATTTGTTTGTTATAGGACATTATATTCCTTTACATTTCTTTCGGAAAAGAAAATCGAAATTTTGAAAAAAGCACGCATAGGCCTTTACCATTTTAAAGAATTATTCTTGAACCGTATATACCCTGCTTCCGTTGAACATCTCTAGAGCCACGAGTCACCGAGAAGATGTAGATTAGTTTTAGTCACTTTTCAGCAGCAAAATGTGTTTTTTATAATCATTCTCGTTTTTTTCTTGCAATTTGTTTAATATTAATTTCAATATCAAAGTTTTCCCATTACTGAAAGATGACAAATGTAATTTAAAACACCTTTAGTGAACCCTTGCAATATAAGTACACGAATTGTGAGGTAAAATCTCAAAAACTGCAAATTTGCTCCACAAGTGTCAGATCTCAACTGATGAAACCATCAATGGCACTTCAGGCATTAGATATGACAGTCCATTCAGAAAAGTGACAAAAAACAACTGGCTCCTTGAAGTGCGACTATTTCTTCCGTTTCCTATTCAGCGAATCATGTCTGCATATTCTTCCCTATCAAAGTATTTAATAAATTATCATTGATGCTTCTTTCTCTTAACAGCAGACAGATTTAAACACGAGGTTCAATTTTTATATTTGCCGAGGTTTTAGTGCGCACGACAAACGTTGTTTTACATTATATTTTTCCAACCAATTTTCCATTCCAACATATTTATATCAATATCAAAGTCTTCCCATTACTGAAAGGTGACAAATGTAATTAAAAACACCTTTAGTGAACCCTTGCAATGTATAGGCAGATTCTCTTAAAGAAAACAAAACACTTTGATTTATTTTTAAAAAACATAAATTTCACTTCATTGAAAAATATAACTCTTACTATCGCAATTGTGGATTTACAAAATGAATGCGTTTGGGTTTTTTTTGTTAAATAGTAGGTTTTCTTTTCAAATTAAATTACCACAGTGTACAAAGAGACTGCATGATAATTTTTAAAGTATTTTGATCAAAAATCTATTCAGAGAGATCCACGTAAAAGATCGATTGTTAGATTGCGATTTCCTAAATGTCCAGTTTATTTTCATTTCATTCATTTGAATATTTTTTATTTCAGAAAATGCAACAGAATACACTAATTTTGCTGATGCCACTACCGAGGAACTGAGCACTGCAACTGATACATCAGGTAAAAGCCCAAAATACCGTTTCAGTTGTATTAAAATAATGCTTGACATGTCTACTTAGCTTCTTCGACTTCAAATCTTGAACCCAACCATCGCTCCATTCTGTTGATTAGAATAAAACTGGTTTTTTTTTTCTCAAAGTACAAAAATTGTGAGGTAAAATTTCAAAAACTACAAATTTGCTCCACAAGTGTCAGATCTCAACTGATCAAACCATCATAAAATAGAAAATGTGTAACCACCTTGAAAAATAGATTTTAAATCTTCACTCCCGCTTGAATCTTAGCCCAACTTCATGGCGCTTCTAAGCACCTACTTTCCTGACAAAAGAAGCTTTTGTTGATTCATTTCAAGGAGACCGCTGCAAAATTAAAGGAAGGAGCAACTTCAAATGCAACATGGAAATAATATACATAATATTGGTGAATCCAGGTTTTAGGGTCATTGCGTTTATGATGGTGATAGCCTATTCTTTGAACGGATTGAGCAATTTCAGTAATTTTTTCATCTAAGTTTATGAAATTGGCTCTCCAGTCATTATTATTTTGGTGCTACATATTTTTTTTAAATATGAAATATATTTTTTGGAGTTTGGGTTCCGCTTTTTTTTTACTCCACCTGTATTTCAGACGTTAGATACGACATTCAGAAAAGTGACAAACAGCAACTGGTCCTTGGTTTATTATCGTGGACCGGTCTTGCTCTGAACAGCAGTGCCAAACAAAATTACGCGTTTCAATTTTTTAGATTTGCCGAGGTATTAGTTTGCACGACAAACGTTGTTTAGCATTTTATATTTTTTTCAGGCCATGCATTGCTGAGAATAATATGTTGCTTGTAGCCTACGATGATTATCAAGATGAAATATCTATTGTCATAATTTCACAACTAAACTGATGATTTGATGTTGTCTTTTCAACAGAGAGTGGCTGCTCCCCCACAGCAACAGGTATACGCTTGTAATATGTTTTATAATTTACATCATTTCGGAAACAAAAATACACACATCACTTAAAACTTGAACGCCATTAGTTTGAAAAAGCGTACTTATGCAATCTCCAAGCATTCTGGATCTTGATCTGTGCATAGAAACTGAACAAAACGATGACCTTTTTTATATTGATTTTAACCAAGGTCAAGTAATTTTGCTTCTTGTTTTTTTTTCAGGTTATGTTTTAAATGCTTGGGTGAAATAGGAATAGGAACAAAAGTACATGACAAAAAGTGTGACCACAAATTTGTATCCTTGTGGAGACACGCACACAATAGGGAACAAAACATTGTAAAGGTCTCCACAGGGCAATTTCTATAGATGAATAGGTCTCCACAAGGTTTTCACGAAATAGATATATGGGTTTTACTCAAAAACTAGGAATTTCCAAGGTGGGTTGATTCGTCGCAAATGGAAGAGTTTTAGAAAAGGGATATCAAGTCCAAATTTCAGCCAAGGAAACTAATTCTGGTTAAAATAAGAGCATTTTGAAATTTCACTTTCAAATTTGAACACTTTACTACACGAGAACAAAGAAATGTCTCCACAAGGATACAAATTTTAGAATGTGTGGCCGATAGCGTGAAGGGGGAATAATTTCATGGAGTATTTGGTACCACCCTTTTCTTCACTTTTACCAAGGTTTTTGTCATTAGACTGGTAGGTACTTTTCCCGGTAATTATCAGTCCTAGGTATCTTCATAGTATCCCCTTTCTATCAAGAACTTACTTTTTTTCTGCTTTTAGTTGAGACCCATTTCGTCGGGGAGTTCTCCATAACCTTCATGGATATGACGGCTGCTGAGTTTGACCTTGCATACTTGGATGCGTCAAGCGAAGAATACAGAAATCTGAGCTCGGCGATCTGTGAAGTGGTAACTTCAATTTTTGATACCTTTCAGAAAGTCATTCGGCAAAACTGCCCCGCTCAACCTTCAAAATATTCGACATAATAAAAGATACTAATAAATTTATGAAGCTCTGATATAAGAGACAAAACCACAGCGCTGTATAATCTGAGCAAAATGAATGATAAGCTTGTATTAATGCGTGAACGAAGAGTCGAGTCTTGATGGAACCAGAGAGCAAGCCTGTTGTGTTCTCTTTGCGCATCAATAACAGACTCGTTGGCTGACTGACTGGCTGTCAAATGTGCCTTTGACTGATCGTGGGCTGGTGAAGAGAACCGAGCAGTGCAGTCGTATAGCATTAACCCATTACACCGATGAATGGGCTAACTCTTGTCCATTGTGTGGACCAGATGCTTGAAAAGACTCCCGGTGCATGAATAGTCATTCTGAATCAATTAAATAAACCAATTATGAGCTCCAGGGCACGCTTCGCGAGGATTGCCTGGTGTTGTTGAATGAATGTTGAACGAGCAAACATCAGGTTGTGTTCTTATATTAAGTCAATGAACCTTGAACGACATGTCTCTTCTATTTGTCAGTCCTCTTACATGCATCTACGACGTAAAGCAGCAGTAAGAAACACACTTACATCCTCTGCTGCAGAACAGCTCATGCATGCTTTCGTATCATCCAGATTAGATTTTTGCAATAGCCTACTTGTAGGTCTACCACAACATACGATAAAACGACTCCAACTTGTCCAGAACTCTGCCGCTTGCACACTCACAAGAACGAAATCATCTTCCCACATAACACCCATCTTGCGCAAACTTCATTGGCTGCCGATCTTTTATTTTTTCCTGCCGTTGTAGTTCGCTGAGGCTATCACCGACTTTGGCAGTACAGCACTTGATTGTAACGTTACTGAGATCAGTAATACAACCGATGAAACGAACACCACCTCAATCGGCCTGGAAGTTGATGCTTCCTTTCAATCTACCACCTTCGTCCCTGAGAGTACGACGGTTGCATTACTTGTCGAGGCGTTCCAGAACTCCACGTTCACCATATTTGGTGACGTCATTAACACTATTGTGTACGGTATGTAGTTTACAACTTTATCATTTAAGTTACCTTAATTTACCTACTTGATCTTTCTTCGGCCCTTTTTTTTCTAGTGAAGATGGTTCCACCCAATCGGGAACGCCCTCTTGTGAGTTATGAATTAATGAACATGTAAAAAAAAAGAAACCAATTGCAAATATTTAAACATTGAGTTGTCATGAACATAAAGGACCTTTCGTTTCGATCCTAAACAGGATGCTCCCCAAAGCAAACGGGCCTCAAATTGGGGGATAGGTCACTGCATGAGAAGAGTTGTAATGCCTAAACTATTTGCCTGGCATAGCTTTTTATGGGTCAGTTGGCGAGTGTCATTCACATAAAACCGCGGACTTACAAACGCTCGATCGATATGAGAGCTGTGCATGTGGCCTCGTGGTCTAGGCATTGAACTCGTGGTCTGTGGGTAGTTCTGTCGGTTGTGGGTTCGAGTCCAGCCTGGGGTTGTGGTGCGTGTGCCCTTGGGCAAGGCACTTTGTCACTCATCGCTTCTCCCAAGCCAGGAGTGCATGTAAATTGGGTGCCTGTGAGGGCAGAGGTGGTAATTGTGATTGATTCTAGCTGCCTTGCGCAGAAATGGCTGTATCGAGCTGTATATTACCTAAGGAGCCGAGACTGTATTTGCAAAGTTTCATTGGCGGCCCAATGATCAGGGGTATTAATAATACAGGCATGCAACTTTTCCTCGGATCTGCTGATTTCCTCGTTTTTTACTTTTGATGAATGCCATTACAAATTGAACAACACTGTACAAAGTCTTGTGTGGTTTGGAATTTCCTCGTTTCCCCCCTAAATTCCCAGTTGCATGCCTGATAATAATCAAGGGCGGATCCGGGGGGGGGGGGCAACGGGGGCCATGCCCCCCTCCTCCCCCCCCCCCCAAAAAAAAACCACCGAGAACCCTTTTTTTAAGTGAAGCCGCAATTGAGGTAGGCACTGCGTACACCACCATCTTTTCCTTCAAAAATGGTTAAAATGGTCAGAAATTGCCTCAGATTGCACCACAGAGCATCTAGAATCCAAAAACTGTTCGGGGCCCTTAAGCGGGCCCCCAACCCCACGCCGTAATTTTTGGGACCCACTTTTTGGGGAACCCAAATTTATTCTGCCCCCCCCCCCCAAAAAAAAATTACAGATAAAGTTACATGGCTGCTCTTACCTTCCATTCAGACAGATCCACGTAAAAGATCGATTGTTAGATTGCGACTTCCTTTTGTCCGGTTTATTTTCATTTCATTTATTTTATTATTTTTTTTCTTTCAGAAAACACAACAGAATACACTAATTGTCCTGATTCCACTACCGAGGAACTGAGCACTGCAACTGATACATCAGGTAGAAGTCCAAAACACGATGTCTCTACGCTTTGAAATTTCTCTGAAGTAAAATATTCATGTTGTGGGAAAGACCTGTTTTAAACCTTTCACTCGTTCTTTCTAAACTCTCGAACGGACACTTTCAGTATGCAATTCAGGCATTAGATATGACAGTCCATTCAGAAAAGTGACAAAAAGCAACTGGCTCCTTGAAGTGCGACTATTTCTTCCGTTTCCTATTCAGCGAATCCTGTCTGCATATTCTTCCCAATCAAAGTATTTAATAAATTATCATTGATGCTTCTTTCTCTGAACAGCAGACAGATTTAAACACGAGTTTCAATTTTTATATTTGCCGAGGTTTTTGTGCGCACGACAAACGTTGTTTTACATTATATTTTTCAAACTAATCATTACAAGATCTGACAAGACGCTGTTATATTGATCGCACTTAGTCAAAATGACAAAACGACTGGGGTATTAATCTGCAAAACTAGAAAATAAATATTCAAAGTAACTAAAATACCTTTTTTCCCATTTATTTATAAGATGGGACCGAAACCACAGTACTGAGTAGCACCATGGAAGCAGATGGAAGTACAGTCGAGAGTGGCACCACGGAGCAGAGCATTACCATAATGGCAGATGCAACCATGACCGAGAGTATCACTGTGGCTGGTGGTGGTAGTGCAACCACAGTGGCACAACCCGCAACCATGACCGAGAGTATCACTGTGGCTGATGGTGGAAGTGCCACCACAGTGGCACAACCCGCAACCATGACCGAGAGTATCACTGTGGCTGGTGGTGGTAGTGCAACCACAGTGGCACAACCCGCAACCATGACCGAGAGTATCACTGTGGCTGATGGTGGAAGTGCCACCACAGTGGCACAACCCGCAACCATGACCGAGAGTATCACTGTGGCTGATGGTGGTAGTGCCACCACAGTGGCACAACCCGCAACCATGACCGAGAGTATCACTGTGGCTGGTGGTGGTAGTGCCACCACAGTGGCACCAGCCGCAACCATGACCGAGAGTATCACTGTGGCTGGTGGTGGTAGTGCCACCACAGTGGCACCTGCCGCAACCATGACCGAGAGTATCACAGTGGCACCAGCCGCAACCATGACCGAGAGTATCACTGTGGCCGGTGGTGGTAGTGCCACCACAGTGGCACCTGCCGCAACCATGACCGAGAGTATCACTGTGGCTGGTGGTGGTAGTGCCACAACAGTGGCACCAGCTGCAACCATGACCGAGAGTATCACTGTGGCCGGTGGTGGTAGTGCCACCACAGTTGCACCTGCCGCAACCATGACCGAGAGTATCACTGTGGCCGGTGGTGGTAGTGCCACCACAGTGGCACCAGCCGCAACCATGACCGAGAGTATCACTGTGGCTGGTGGTGGAAGTGCCACCACAGTGGCACCTGCCGCAACCATGACCGAGAGTATCACTGTGGCTGGTGGCGGTAGTGCCACCACAGTGGCACCTGCCGCAACCATGACCGAGAGTATCACTGTGGCTGATGGTGGTAGTGCCACCACAGTGGCACCTGCCGCAACCATAACTGAGAGTATCACAATGGCACCAGCCGCAACCATGACCGAGAGTAGCACTGTGGCTGGTGGTGGTAGTGCCACCACAGTGGCACAACCCGCAACCATGACCGAGAGTATCACAGTGGCACCAGCCGCAACCATGACCGAGAGTATCACTGTGGCTGGTGGTGGTAGTGCAACCACAGTGGCACCAGCCGCAACCATGACCGAGAGTATCACAGTGGCACCAGCCGCAACCATGACCGAGAGTAGCACTGTGATTGGTGGTGGTAGTGCCACCACAGTGGCATCAGCCGCAGCCACTACCGGTACTGCAATGATGACAGAAGTAGTTGAATCTACGACAGTGGTGGAAAGTGGCACTTCGACCTTGGGTGGCAGTGACACCACAGCACAGAGTGGCCAGGTTACGACGGAAAGTCCATCTACAGAAGCACCCACTACTCCAACTCGTAAGTATCACATCAGTGACTGTCATTCTCAGGGTGATCTCCATCCCCACGGAGAAAAATAAATCGTAAGGTACATAGCCAACACATGCAGCGGAAAAAAATGTGATTGACAGATTTTGTTGACAGGTGGTAAATCATCCAACATTGGTATTGCAGCAACTCCAGACAACCACATGGCAATTTCTTTGAATAATCCTCGAATACCATTCCTTTGTTTTTTTTTTTTACAGTTGTGGATGAATGTACCGCTGGCACAGATGCATGCGGACCTCACAGCACATGCATCGACACCCAGGACTCGTACACTTGTCAGTGTGATAATGGCTATGTCAGCTCCGGCCTTACTCAGTGCGTTGGTGAGTACTCGATTCAAACTGTCATCCGATATCATGCAAAGCAGATGCTCGTCTTATTAAGACTCATTTTCTTGACAAGTGTATCGGGCTATAATGTACCAAAAATATGATTGCCATTAAGAAAGCACCAAATTCGACGGGAACATTTTCTCACAGAATACCAGATAACTCGGAAATGTTTTGAATATGCTAACGTATTTTCAGATTTGAAGACAAAATCTGAGATCGAAGTAGAAGAAAAGTTAATTTTTTTCATTGGACTCGTTTGCCTTCCCTGACTCGAAACAAAGAAACATGTGTGTTTTGGTGACCAAATGGATGACAAAAATGTTTTCTCCGGCATGCTGCCAAACACTATATCAACACCTGTTATTTGCCTCTTCACAGACGTCAACGAATGTCTAGGCGGTCCCTGCCATTCCAATGCAAATTGTACCAACACGGACGGCTCATACACCTGCGCTTGCAAGTCAGGATTCATTGGAGATGGAACAACCTGTGATGGTATGTCAATTCACTATGGACATAATAGATTACCTTATCAGTATCTTGACCATTTAATTAGGGGCGCTGGGTAGGCCCCTGTTTGCGAAATAAAATAAAATACCTGAACTTAGAATTTCCATTCTGCAAGTAGTTAAAGTGTTAAAAATCAACAACGTTCAGGAAGTGAAAAAAAAACACTGACAAATTTCAATGTTGAGAATCTCGTCTGCCCTTGAAAATTTATTTATTTTCGAAAATGAACTGTCCCTCGAGCAACAGAAATTGAAATATTGGGCCCTATTTATAATGGTAACAAACTCCACTGATTGGTTTACTGTGAATGTCTTAATTAAAAGTCAATGGAATCCAAGGGAAAGCGTTTTATTAAATCACCAAGACCTGGTTATACTGACATGCATCCGTTCTGCAAAATCATGGGTCATTAAACATTTTTTTTCAAAGTCTCGTATCTGCTTGACAATTACTACACAGATGTCATCGAGTGTGACAACCCAAGCCTGTTCACTTGCCCAAGTGACAGTTCTTGTGTCAACACCATGGGGTCGTATGAATGTCAGTGTGACACAGGTTACACGGACAGTGGCAACGGCACATGTGTGGACGCAGACGAATGCAGCGACGGCTCAGATGACTGCGACGCGAATGCAGCTTGTGCAAACACTGTTAGTAGTTTTACCTGCACTTGCAACACGGGCTATGCGGGGACCGGTGATAGTTGTGTCGGTAAGTTTTCGTTTGTTTGCTTGTCTGTTGGGTTGTTTGTTTGTTTGTTGGGGGTGTTGGGGTGTTTGTTTGTTTGTTTGTTTGTTTGTTTGTTTGTTTGTTTGTTGTGCACTAAAGCACAAAGCAAGTCCAAAGATATATCATTTGAGCAAGGTTTGTAGGGCATTCCAGTCCAAATACCCATTTGCACAGTTTAGTTGAAAGAGCAGCAGCTTAGCAACTAGCAGATGCAAAAGTTACTTTTTAAGTATTGTTTTGCTCCGACAAGGGCGGATCCGGGGGAGGGCCAAAAAAAAGAAGCGAAACCAATTGTTTTAATGTGACGTCGCAATAAAGGCAGGCAATGAGTACACCACCATCTTTTCCTCAAAAAACATTGGTTAAAGTGGTCAGAAATTGCCTCAGATCGCACCACAGAGCATCAAGAATCAAAAAAGTTTCGGGGCCCTTAAGCGGACCCGAACCCCTCGCCGTAATCTTTTTTTTACCCACTTTTTGGGGGACCAAAATTTGTTTGCCCCCCAAAAAAATTGTGTTCTGGATCCGCCCTTGTGCTTCGGTCGGTAATTTGGTGTTTTTTTTAGGTTCTATGAGCAGACTGATTTGTCGAATGCTGTGTAGGGAAATAGCAGCAAGTTCACTGTGGGCAATAAGAATGTGGCTAGGGTGTCACTATACAGTCAGACTAAGTCATCACGAGTCTTCAAAAGTCGAAACATTTCATCACAAGTCACTCTGAAGTTATCACAGGTGATGACGTGATGTGACAAGACTTGAATTTAATTTAGGCTTGTGAGTTGTGATTTGACGTGGTGTTCTTTGACAAGCCCTTCCAAAAAAAAAATAAGATATTTTTCCTGCCGAGGACCCTTTTGCCCTATTTCAACATCAATCTGTTTTCCAATGATACGGTTTTTGATCCAAAATTGTGAATGTTTTTCCAAATTTGGCAGTACATTTTTAATATCTTTGTATTTTTTTTGCAGATAAGAATGAATGCACCAATGGGGACGCATCGTGTACCGCATCATCGCACTGTGTCAATACTCCGGGTAGCTATCAGTGCGACTGCAATCAAGGCTACGAAAAAGATTCTTCTGACATGTGCGTTGGTACGTAGATAATTAGTAGTATGATTTTTATTTTAAAAAAATTGATTAGCAGAAATACTACTTTTGATTTACGTCTTAGCAATAACAGCTGAGGGCCAGAAAATTCAACACACATCTCATGAGATGAAAACAAAACGTTTCGGTGATCAACATTTTTATGCTCAGTGAGATTCTTCCCTGCTTTGCATCCTTGACCCAATTTTTGATTCCAGAATTTAAATTCCCAGAGGTTAGTTAAGACAAGGAACACAGCTGTATTTACTATTTCTCTGATTAAAAGCTACGGGCCTATTGGTAACATTTCTTATTATATTATATACTTATTTTTTCTGTTGCAGACGTAAATGAATGCCTTAATGCCGCCAGCTGCCCTGCCAATTCTACGTGCGACAACAACGCTGGTTCGTTCGTCTGTATCTGCGACAGCGGTTTTACTCAGAACGGAGACGAGTGCTCTGGTAAATAGACTGAGTCACTGAAAGAGAGGCTACCATAGAATACTTCAATGGGCCCCTATGTAATAGCTCAGCCAGCTACATAGTAACGATGCGTTGTGGAAGCACAGCCTCGTTTTGGATCTAGTTTAGCGTGTCCATACTTTCTCAGCATTCGCCCTTTGCAATAGACATGTTCCCTGTATCCAATAAAAGTACTAAATGATAATGTTTTTGTGCATGCAAAGAGGATAATGATAACGGTCATGATAATGGTCTATAGGGGTCTTTCACACAACCACAAGTAGGGTGACTTCCTCAATTTAAACAAGTAAAGGACGTATTTTGTTAATTTGCCATATAAAAATCAATGCAGTCAACTTAAAACCAACAGTATTTTACAATCCTGATACAGACTCCTTATGTAACGCATTATTCCTTTCAAACTGTCTCTCAAACTTCAGGATACTAAATGCACCGCTCATAAAGCACTAAAAATTAACCTCTTCCTGGATCTAAGTAGGCCTAGTTCCTCTCTTTCTACGACAGTCTTAAAAATAATCCGAATTGATTTTATGAAGCAGTAGGTTCAACAGAGATGTGATTCATTTTGTTGTGGTTGCAGACATCGAAGAGTGCAGTCTATCTACCGACGACTGTTCCCAGAATTGCATGAATACCGTGGGTGGATACACTTGTAGTTGCGATGACGGCTTTACATTGGCCGAGAACGGAATGGACTGCGAGGGTAAGACAATTAACTCAAAGAACCCTTTAAAACCCTTCTGAGACCAACTCAAGTGTTCCTCTGTTCAGACTTCAAACTGTCACACCTAGCCTGTTATTATTGAAGGTCGCTCCATCTTTTTAAGTTTTGCGTTAACTGATTTGTTTTCAAGTTCCAAAATGCCAATCTTGATCATACTTAAGCTGAAAGCTCACAAGATGAAAGCTCAGTAACAGACTGAGTTTACAGTGTTCAAACGTCGGTGAACGGCAAAACCTAATTTGATTTATATCATCCCGACGCAAAATTCCATCTTATAATGAAAGCTCTTATCAGAAGCACTGAATCTGTGGAAATATTCAAAGGCTGCAGACTACATGAAACAGTTAAATTTCCATTTTACTGTTTGACAGCTAAATCATTAAAACAATGAAGTTTTGAGTCCTTATATACCTGAATGCAAACTTCAAGCCTAAATATGGGGCAGCAAACAATCCAGACAATTTTAAACCAAAAACAATTTCCTGAAATAATTTTATTTCTAGCCTCAAGCAACTGTACAGACACCGACTACTGCGGGGCCAATGCCATTTGCTTCTTGAACTCAACATCCAACGCTGACACTTGCAGATGTGACAGTGGATTTCAAGCAATAAACGCCACTCACTGCGAAGGTAAACTGCCTCAAGACAAAAAAAGACAAGACATCCCCTGGATCCTTATGATATTGCCCTTGTCAGGAGTCGCCCCAACTTGACTTGAAAAAAAAGCACAATTCATGTAGAGACCAGTCCAACTCATTGGCCCCACTTGAGAAGGAACAAACTTGAACATTGTCTTTTCTGATTCCGCTTCGATAAAACGAAAAGGGATGCTTGCCACGCCACGAGTATTCCGTAAAAACGTCCCTATACGCAAGTTCCCTTGTCCTCTATGGAGGGGAATACCAAATCGACCCATATTGTGCCACATGGAAAAAACAACAACTGGGCATTACTAAGACAGTTGCAGCACAAAACCCAAAGTCACAACCACCGCTTTGAATGATGTAGAATAATGTTCGCCTATGGTGTTGGTGATAACCCTGGTGAGGGCGACATTAATGACTAAGTCTTGTACTTTGTGGAGTCTTTATTTCATGTCTAATGTGTAATTTCATGTTCCAGATATTAACGAATGTACGGAGTCAAGTGACGATTGTGATGATGGGCATGGAACCTGCGCCAATATTCCTGGCGGTTACACCTGTTCATGTACATCAGGCTACGAACTCGCCAGCGATATGAGGAGCTGCCTTGGTAATATTTCCCTTTCTATTTCGTTGCACCACATAATGCTAAACATTTTGACAAGGGTTAAACTGTTTGATACATCGCAAAATTGGCTGATACAAATCATTGAATGGATTACGCGCCGAGTGTGTTATTCGCCTCTCGTGTGTCAAGAACGCTACATGCCACATCACATTAATCAACAATATATTGTAAATTGTCAGTTTTCTGTTAGTTTTGTTCATGGCAGCCAGACAATGCATGGAGAAATTATAGCAAACTCATGAACTGGTTTAGATAAAGGCCTACAGATATTCATCGTGCCCCTCTGACAATGTCCACTTTCCTTTCAATTTATATTGTAGATATTGATGAGTGCTTGCGCAACATGGATAACTGCGACAGCAACGCTATGTGTACCAACACAGACGGCGGTTTCAATTGCACCTGCAACGGAGGCTACGAAGGCAGTGGAACAACCTGCACAAGTATGGAAAAATAAATTTGAATTTCTTGCACAACTAAATATTTTGCGGAATTGCTCGATTATTGTCCTAATTGCTCAGTCTACATGCACGAAATGTGATGTTTTTTTAAGTCCGTAAGTGATATATCCCACGTAGTTCGCAGGAATATTAAGTGGGAAAAAATGCTGCCAAAGTTTAATTCTTTTATTAATTTGTTTGGAGGTTTCTCTGAGGAAACTTGTATACGTGTCTCAAGTCGTTTGTACTTTGTTAAAACTCTGTGAATTTATAACAATTTTAATCTTAATTTCTCATTTTTTTCTTAGACATCAATGAGTGCATGCTGACTACTCCCTGCCACTCTCAGGCCACTTGTACCGACAGCGTAGGATCGTACAGCTGTGCCTGTAATACTGGATATCTTGGAGATGGAATTTCCTGCTTCGGTAAGGTTATACACAATGGATTTTGCCATTGTAACCATTAAAATGATCAAGTGGTTATCTGGAGGGGTTGAGTGGAAATATGTAGCACCCTTTGTTCGCCTCCAAATTCCACCCTTCCTTCACAAAGGAGAAGCCAAAAAAATGAGAGGCTGAAGTTAAAAATGACATGGACAGTGGTGCCGTTTGAACTTGTGGGCATACTCCTGAGGAACTATTGAGGAGATGTCAGAAGCATATTACCGCCAGTGGTTTTATTTAAAATGAACTGTCCATCGTCCTTATATTGTCTTTGTCATCAAACTTTCTTCAAAGACGAAGCGGGCTCAGTAAGTACAGCAGAGAGAAACATACATACACATTTCTAATTCTTCCCCCTCTTTTGGGAGATCTACTGTTTCATCCATCTTGATGTAACTCAACCAAAATGAAGCTGTGAAAGTATCAGGATAGATGTCTCCTTATTCATCAGTTTTGTCCTCGTCCCTTTTTCTTCTCCACAGATGTCGACGAGTGTGGAGTTTCAGACACCTGTGATGACAACGCGCAGTGTATGAACACACAAGGGTCGTACACCTGCATGTGCAACGGTGGTTACTCTGGTGACGGTACCACGTGCTCAGGTAACCTCAAATGGAAATATCGCAATCCGTACACTGCAAAAACTGCAGTGTTAAATTTACACCATTGGTATCTATATAGGACCAACTGGTGTTAAATTTTACTGGTGTTGTCCTATATAGATACCGAATGGTGTTAAATTAACACTACAGTTTTTGCAGTGTAATAATGCTTCGAGTCCTCAGCTTTATCCTTTATATGCTTTGATTGAACGGAAAGATTTTGACTTGATTCTAGTATTGGTCGTGACATTAGCAGAGAGAGTTTCAGTATCAAAACTATACCATGAAGTAAAAATAATAATATTCTATCTTTACGTGTATTTGGTACTGTCCCGGTGGGCTTGTAATTTTCTGTCTCCTACCTTTTTTCAGTGCGTTTCAGAGGTTTTGATAATGTTATATTATTCCAGCACTCGACTTTATAAATTCATTCAGATAAACAGTTATCTAATTGTCTTCTTCTTTTCCCCCTTTTTTTCTTGGGGGGGGGGGTATCATATACGAATGCAGACTAAGAATGATTATTGACAATCCCATTTTAAAATTAGCAGAATTGAAAGAAATCTGCAACCAACAAAACTGAATCAACCTAATTGTTCGACACTTTATTCCGCAACCCCGAATTTGATTTTCAAATTAAATGCCAAACCCAGGCTGTCATTGCCAAGCCATTGCATGACACTGTGGACCTATTCGCTTTCAAACCTCGCCACAATAAGAGACAACACCTATAGAACCTCGCTTTCGATGCTAATCTGAAGCTCATCCGCTAAGTCGTTTTCTCGTCCTTTCAGACATCGACGAGTGTGACACTCCGTCGAGCTGTGCGTCAAACAGCACTTGCACCAACACCGTAGGATCCTTCTACTGTGAATGTGATGCGGGTTATCGGGGCAATGCGAGGGTGGAATGCCCGAATATCGATGAGTGCTCCGAGCAAGCAGACAACTGTCACGCGGACGCTGTGTGCACCGATACCGACGGCAGCTTCACGTGCGCGTGCAATTCTGGCTACATGGGTGACGGAGTGACCTGCACAGGTACGCCCTCTCATGTTAAATAGTGCAGGGAAATAATAGAGTGCTTGCTTAGAGCGCCCTCGCTGTGGACAGGCTTTGTTATTCAAATTTAGCAACAGTGAAGTACAGAGTGTTTACCTGTGCGTATCACAGAGTAACAAAGACCAGACCACAATGAGGGCGCTCTGTACATGCTTACAAGAAACTGTTAGAGGGAAAATGAAAATCCATCCAATCTAAATATTGGAAGTGTCAGGTTATAATCAAGCAGTGCTGTGCCAGGAATGAAAAGGGGGACACAAATTAATTTCAATATTAAAAAAAAACAAGGATAGGAAGTGAATGTTATTAACCCTAAAAGGGCCGGGGCGGAATCCGCCCCCCCCCCCCTCGACTTTTTCAGTGTGTTTCAGAGGTTTTGATAATGTTATATTATTCTAGCGACTTTATAAATTCATTCAGATAAACAGTTATCTAATTGTCTTCTTCTTTCCCCCCTTTTTTTCTTGGGGTTATCATATATGATGGAGACTAAGAATGATTATTGACAATCCCATTTTAAAATTAGCAGAATTGAGAAAAATCTGCAACCAACAAAACTGAAACAACCCAATTGTTCGACACTTCATTCCGCAACCCCGAATTTGATTTTCAAATTAATCGCCAAACCGAGGCTGTTATTGCCAAGCCATTGCATGACACTGTGGACCTATTCTCTTTCAAACCTCGCCACAATAAGAGACAACACCTAGAACCTCGCTGTCGATGCTAATCTGAAGCTCATGCGCTAAGTCGTTTTCTCGTCCTTTCAGACATCGACGAGTGTGACACTCCGTCGAGCTGTGCGTCAAACAGCTCTTGCACCAACACCGTAGGATCCTTCTTCTGTGAATGTGATGCCGGTTATCGGGGCAATGCGAGGGTGGAATGCCCGAATATCGATGAGTGCTCCGAGCAAGCAGACAACTGTCACGCGGACGCTGTGTGCACCGATACCGACGGCAGCTTCACGTGCGCGTGCAATTCTGGCTACATGGGTGACGGAGTGACCTGCACAGGTACGCCCTCTCTTGTGTGAAATAGTGCAGGGAAATAATAGAGTGCTTGCTTAGAGCGCCCTCGCTGTGGACAGGCTTTGTTATTCAAATTTAGTAACAGTGAAGTACAGAGTGTTTACCTGTGCGTATCACAGAGTAACAAAGACCTGACCACAATGAGGGCGCTCTGTACATGCTTACAAGAAACTGTTAGAGGGAAAATGAAAATCCATCCAATCTAAATATACGAAGTGTCAGGTTATAATCAAGCAGTGCTGTGCCAGGAATGAAAAGGGGGACACAAATTAATTTCAATATTAAAAAAAGGAAGGAACGATAATGCTATTAACAGAAGCCGAAGTTCGAACTGACCAAAAGGTTTATTGAAATGAGGGAAATAAGGAATTCGATTGTTCAGTCATCAATTTCTGAACAAACGTTCGCTGCTGCTGATGTCATCTTAGAACTGTAACCTACAACCCCAAGCTTTGCTGACGGAAGTCTGATATCAAAGGAAATTCTTAAAGTTCTTATAAAATATTGTGCTAGTCAGCCTTGTGAGATAAGACAGACATGTGCATTAAAAGGGTACTATAGGTTTTCCCGGCTATTTTAAAAGACTTTTCACTCAAATTCACCAACTCTATCATTTAATTTCGTCCACGAAAAACGTCACACGCTTTTAACAAAACCAATTTAGTCATTTACCATTCAATTTCAAAGTTTGGTCATCCTCTTTAGTCACCGGGTCAGGAATATTCGTCATTACGGATCAACTATTCGTCTAAACTGTAGCCGAATCAAATTCGTCTTATGTAAATGAATTAGACGAATTTGATTTCTGATTAACACGATTTGGCGTAGACGAGACGAAATCGAATACTCCGGGTCGAGAACTTGTGCTCATTGTTTGAATTTGTTTTGACTAAATTTGAAATTGTCCGACAAAAGATTGGAAGTGCACTGAATCGATGTTGCCGGACGAATTTGAATATAAGAATCGGTAAATTCGAACGAAAAATGTATTAAAATAGCCGGGAAAACCTATATTAAGAGTGCGTACATTTGGGTAAATATTGTGTCCACAATATCCCTAACTGAATATTCTTTGCTCTGTTGTAGACATCGACGAATGCACAACCATGGATGCATCGCTCGACCACAATTGCGACAGTAACGCCGTGTGCTTTAATATACCCGGCTCTTTCACCTGTTCCTGCAACACTGGCTATATAGGCACCGGGCAGTTCTGCATAAGTAAGTTTGTATATAACAGGTTGATAATGAATTGAATACATTTATCGATAGGCTGAAATCTTTGGATTCAGCAAAACTGATTTGTTTAATTTTGAGAATTCTTGGAATTGCAAAGAGGAGAATATTTCGGAGGGAGTTTGGTGAGTCAGTGTCCTTTAAAAGTATCAGCAAATTAAGTGAAATAATACGACAATCGGTGCACTTTTGTAATTTTTCCTTAGGTGTATATTTTAATAAACATTTTCAAGTCATTACTTTGAAACGAAATAAGCTTGCCCACCCCTTAATTAAAAACTTCCTTTTAAGCCAACAACCAGTTGAAATCAATTATCAGATCTTGCAGTATATCACTGAGCCAATTTTCGTAGATAACGGATTTCTTTTTCAACTAATGTAATGCAATTTAAGATTAATTGCCCTTTTCTCCCCTAAGATAACGACGAATGTTTGACTAATACCCACATGTGCGACTCGCATGCAACCTGCACTGATACCGTAGGATCATACACGTGTGCCTGCGATACAGGATACATGGGAGACGGACGGACCTGTCAAGGTATGTGATTGTCTCAACTTTAAAAAAAAAAAATTAAATCACTAAAATTTAAACTTGATGGTAGACAAAGAAAATCACATTTCTTTTGCAAGGTTTTGCACAATTGCTCAAAGATAATGGAAATCCACCAAAAAAACTCAAAAAAAAAACCTGTTCTCATTTAATTAGTGCTGGACCTCTAGGATTGCTGACTATGCCTTCTTCCGACCAATGTAATTGTTTACATGACTAGGAAAACTCAAAAAGTTAGTCTACTGCAATATCGTCAAACAGTATTGCGAATCATGGTTTTATTGCAATAAGGTATTTTGGTCTCTGTATGTGTTGAGTTTAACACCCCAACACCGGATGAAAATATTTGATTAAAACACTCAGCCGCCCCTTTTAAAAACCATTGATCCGCCCCCTTCTCTTGTATCATCAAGTGCCTGATTTTCCTACCGTTATTTTACGTCTGCAGATATCGATGAGTGTTTCATCAACGCAGACAACTGCTCAGTGTCAGCTCATGAGAAATGCATTAACACTGTGGGTGGATTCACATGCGGATGTCAGACTAACTACTTCCGGGTCAACGGAGTTTGCATCGGTAAGTACAAACAGACAATCACAAGTCAATCACAAGGTGATCCGAAGTCAATCATAATGTGATCCCAAGTCAATCGCAAGGTGATAACAAGTCAATCGCAAGGTGATCACAAGTCAATCACAAGGTGATCACAAGTCATTCGCAAGGTGATCACAAGTCAATCACAAGGTGATCACAAGTCAATCACAAGGTGATCACAAGTCAATCACAAGGTGATCACAAGTCAATCACAAGGTGATCACAAGTCAATCATAAGTCAATCACAAGGTGATCAAGGTGATCACAAGTCAATCACAAGGTGATTCCAAGTCAATCTTAAGGTGATCTCAAGTCAATCGCAAGTCGATTGCAAATCTTTCACAAGTCACCGCAAGTCAAATAAACTGTGACACAACATTCGTTTTTCATTTGTTCATCGCCTTGGTACTTTTGACCGTGCCTTTGTGACTGACTTGTGATTTGATCTGTTACTGGACCTGACTTCAATGCTGTCTGCATCCACTGACATCAACTTTCAAAATCGGGACGGCGAAAATGGATTATATATGCATAATTCTACTTTGCAACGGGCAAACAAACCCCTGGCTATACGACTGCTAAGTGATGGCTGGGTATTGTTCTCGTTGTTTCCATTTGTTGTCTGGTGTTGTTGTCTTCTCCTACTTGATGATGTCATCCTTGAGAGCTATTTTTGTTTTCCTTGTTGTAATTTCAGGGACCGTGGCTCGTAATCTGGTGGTCGTTTTTGTCCAAATCAAGGGCGTACCCGCAGTGGATAACCTGGCTGTGGTTGATACCTCAGCGAACCGTATCGATCTTGCTGCCGATGTGAGTTGAACAAAAATCAATTTGTGTCAATTCAGATCAAATAAGCGAAGCTCCAAACATTGTTTATTCACTGTTAAGATTATCTGATAACTTTGTCGATTCGTTGTGGTTTGTTTTTTGGGTAATTTTGTCTTTTGTTTAAATTATCATTAAAGGTTAGTTATCACTTACGAGCGCTAGAGCAGTCTTTTCATTGTGGCATCGTCCATCCAAAACAAGAATTATTTTAACAATCTAAAGTGTAATTCAATATCGGAAAACTTGGGCTCTGAGCTCCACACGTAGGGGTTTGTTACTTACATGGGATTTTGCTAGGAAAAAGGTCAATATAGCTTCATTGACTTGTCAAAAGTAAAATCGGTTTTCAACCTGTAAACCGAGGGTTCAATCCTCAGTAGGGTTTTAAAATGTAGTTCAACAGGCCATCAATAAGTTTCAATCCACGAGGGTCAAGAGCTCATCCGTCTTATGTGTTCCTGAAAATGAGATGTTCCAAATCATTGCAGGTGTTCTCACTGTTGAATGCTTCGTCAAGCGTCCAGCCCGATCTCAAGGGAGTAGCCGTCTCGGCCATGGCCAACGTCACCGGCGGAACCTCCGTCACGTTCCTGGTTGACTTGGATTCGGGGACTGGCCTGACCGTGGCCCAGTTGTCGGAAGCCTTCGTGAACGGACTCCGGGGTAACGACAATGACACGGTGGAACCGGACAGCCGGATTCAAACCGGATCAACGCCAACAGTGGAAGAACCAGGTGCGAATAATTCTGCTGATGTCTTTTTAAAGACTCTCATCTGTGTGTTTTTTTTTAAAATATTTGGTGATCACATATTTTCTCAAGGTACAGAACTGACTTCCGAAACATTTCTTAATTGAGGCAAATGCTGGTATGACTTCTTTAAAAGTCGATTTATTGAACAAAATAAGAAAAAGAAACTGGGATAAATTGAATAAAAACTTACATAAACTTAAGAAAAAACCTGTCTGTTTTTTTTTTTCAATTAATAAGGAAGAGCAACATTTTTAATCGCAATTTTTTGGAAAACTAGTCCTTTAACTTTTCATGTTATTTTGCAGAACAGAAGGTGGAAAGTGCCCCACTGGCATTTTAGCTCTGGTAACTTCTGATCACTGTATTCACTTTAGGGTTACCAATAGTAACAGGCGTATTTCCTTCTCAACATAAAGCGTTCTACATTCCTGTCCCCTAATTTGTGTATAATCGCTTCAAGACATTGATTCTTTTGTATTTCTCTCTTTAATCTCAGATTAATAAAAAAAAGAAAAACAATAACCCCATTGTGATGCTCTTTCTTACTACGACAAATCGTCGCTTTCTTTCTTGATATCGTGCAGTCATCAACCCATGTGAGGAGACTACAGACAACTGCTATGACTTCAACTACGCCGAATGTGTCTTTGGAGGTGTCAGCAACGAGTTTAGTTGTCGAACATGTCGAACTGGTTACGCTGCACCCTCTGTTGCAGGCGAAGCCTGCACGGGTAAGGGGCACATTTTGTTATGTTTAAAAAAACACAACATCAAACTGGTCAGGTTATTTCTGTTGTTTTGTTGGTTGAGAGAAACGTTATTGGGAAACTTTAAGAACATAAACACTGTCAGCATTGGCATGCGTGGGAGATTGTCAATTGAACTATTATAACTTGGTAAAAGAAAAGAGATAATGCATAATGAGTTATTTGAAAATCTGATGAACAGTCCAACCAGGGTAGCAGATATGTAAACGGAGTAAAAGTTGTAAATGTGACTTCAGTGTGATCTGATTTAAGAGCAAAATAAATATGAACATATTTTTGTTGTGAAAAAAAAAGGCTCAGAGATACTGACAGAAAGGGATTCCTTTGAATGTTCGAATAAGTTTTTTGATTTCTATTTGTTGTTTTTTTCCCCCAGAAATCTTCCCGTGTCAGGTAGACCCGCAGAATTGCACCAACCAGGACTTCGTGGACTGTGTACATGACGGCCCAGGACAGTTTCATTGTGAGAATTGTCTGGGTGGATGGAGACTGGTGAACGGCCGGTGTCACAGTAAGTCAACGAATACGCATGATGTGCTCAACCATTTTCCAAATTCAAGTGTCCACTTGTTTCTTTTCATAACGAGAAATGGAACACTACTCTGGATGTGATTTGACAGAAACTATACTATGTAACATGAAGCCCACAACTGCATACAGCCAAGACTCGCATTCTGTTTGTTTTAAATGATATTGAGAGGCTTTATGTCAGTTTAGAGCAAGTCGGGAAAAAAAGGAGAAAATTTCAGACGCTGACTAGGTCATCGGCCCTTTATACTTGGAGCTGTTGGAGCTGTCCTGGTTTTTTTTTAAGGACAAACCCAAAACATTGTTCTACATTTTTTTTACAACAATTGGTATTTTTAAGAAATAAAAAATAACGATCATCTCTATAAAGCTACTTAGTAGCTATACTCAGACGTGAGTTTCTAAAATGCGTTTCTTGTAATGCATTTCTGTCCTTTTCACATATTTTAGCCTATTCTATTCAGAAAATATCCTTCTTTGTAATCATGTATATATAGTGCAGTGGTAACTGAAGTGTTGAACATTTTTTGTTGCAGGTGTTTGTACTGCAGATACAGTTATTAATCCGAAGACTGTTGTTTTTATTTTTTGTTCAAACTAAACGAGGGTGATTAAGTAGCCCTTCAAAGTTGTGCGCGCTTTTAGTAAGCATCTTCGAAAAATCTCACACGTGAATAAATTCTGATGTGAATATAGAGCTTTTTTTTTAATTTTTTTTTTTACATATCTGCTCTTTTCTGTTCACACCATCAAAACAGTAATATTGTTTTATTTTCGTTGTCTTTTTCTCCACAAACAGAGCTTGCTGAGTTTGTTGCAGTGACGTTAATCCAGGATGTCGCCGGAAGTCCAGTCCTGTACTTCGACGATCTTGCCAACAAATCTTCTCTTTTGTTTAACATCTATGAATCGGGCGCCTGCGGTGTGAGTTTAACTTAACGCTTAACCAAATCTTTTTAATCTGAGGTAGACAGAAGGGATATGACTATGGACATGTACAGTTTACTGGCTATAAAGTTTTGTTTTCTGCTGTCATTTTAATTAATAGAAAAAATATAGGCCCGATGGCTTAGAACTTCAGGTACACGTATTTCCACATTTCCTTCAATGTTGTGGGAAATTAATGTGGAAATATTTGTAAAAAACCTTTTGGTCCATGTCTCTCTGATTTCTCACACTAGTCTTGTGATAATGTAGCATTCAAGTCCATGATGATAAACAAACTAAGTGCTTTGATGGAAATGTTTGGATTTTTTTTTACAACTGCCGGAATCTGTTTTTATCACAGGTATTTTGAAATGTAAAAGCATGTACAAGAAAAAAATAAGAAAATATCCTGTTCTTAAGTATGGTCCTAACAGTTACGCTCTTAAACGCTCTAACTTATTTTTATGTGATACGTTCAAGTTTTCAAGTTGTGCGCATGCGCACTTCTAAATCCAATTTGGCTTATTTCATATGCAGCTTCACTTAATGCAAGCACCTTGTATTTCATTCTAGATCTTCATGTCAGCAACAAACGCCACTGATTGTGAGGTAAACAGCTTTTCCAATGGGAGCCTTATCGTGAACTACACGTTGTATTTCTTTGAGGCCGAAGGAAAAACGGAACAGGAAATCGTGGCTGACATCATTGCTGCAGACGATGCATCAACTGATTTAAATTTCTTGCAAAGTTCAATCATCGTAATGGGTAAGTCTGTCTGCGCTTTCATCCATGATTTCAGTTTAATAGCATATTTTGGACCGAAACATCACGCAGTGTCTGCCTTTTTACTCATTAAACGAATATTGGAGGAAGGTAATTGGAGGACGGTAATTGCCACGTCTTGCAATGTCTTACATCAATTTGTATCAGCTCAGTGTAGGACTTTACTCCCCATGGAGCTGAGATTGTCTTTGGAATGTTTCACTCATGACTGGCCCAAGCGAGCAGGGGTAATAATGATGTAGCGTCTTGAGCACCAATGCTGGATACGTGCGCTCTATAAATACACCGTATTACTTCTTTCCCGTAAATTAATCCCTATGTGTGCATAATCCCTATATTGAATTTACATCACCCCAACGCAAATACCATCTAATGAATAGTGTGTGATGTGTGTTACAAAAAAATAATACAATTTGACAGGTCTCTTCAATTGTGTACCAGTTGACTTTATGAAAGATCGGCCACAATCGTGCTCTCCCACTAGCAATTAATCTCATCAGTTATTTTTTAATCCTTTACAGCTATTCCGAGCGTTTTCTGCGAATTCTCATCTTGTTTAAACGGAGGAACATGTTCCGTCATCAACAGCCAGATCAGCTGCGCGTAAGTAGTCCAAACTTGTCCAACTTTATGTGATGAAGTTTGCCAATCCTCCCTCAGTGTTTTTTTTTTTAAATGGGTCCTTGCTCTATGGTGTAACCAAATGGTTCTTTATTTGAAAACAATCAGTCCCAAGTACTTGCACCAACTTCTAAATTAGTTTACTGCACTCTTCGTTAATATTTGTTCCCGTGACCGAGCACTTTTGCACCCAAGTACGACAATACTCCACTATGGAGGGATGTACTCAATGGAAGAAGAAGAAGAAGAAGAAGAAGAAGTCCCTCGTGGATGCTTTAAAGATTAGGTCATGTATAGCACATACCAACACGGCTCGGATATGATTTTTTGGTACATAGGCAAGTGATCATGAGCCTTAAAGTCGTAGATCATTGGCATTTATACAAAATATAACTTGCCGGATTATAATATCAAAAAGCTTACTTGGATTAAAGACCGTATACTGGTTCTAAACACCCCGTGAAAATAGTCCATCTTGCATGCTGTCATTTAGAAGAATCAAGAAATGTGGGTGGTTTCCAATAATGGTCAATAAAAAGTGCTATTTGACGAAATCATGTTTCGCGATCGAAATGTTTTGCAAGGCTTTTCACTGTTTTCTCTAGAAGTGTAAAATCCACTGAGCTAGAACTTCAACAGGTTTGGATCGTGAGTGGCGTCATTATTGGAAACGAACAAAATGCATGGAGGACAATTGATCCTATGTGCCTAGCCTTTGATTGTGCCCGTATTTGTCCCTTATTTCTTCAGCCCTTTACCCTGAATGGCTTCAGCCTTGTAATGACTGATTTCAATAACAAAAATGGCAAAAGCTTTTGCTTTATTTTATTCTTCAAAAAAACTTGCCCCACTTCTGCAGCGTAAACTTTAAATATTGTTGGACACGACTCTTACAGCAAGTGAGATGAAAATTTACTCAACAAGTTCTATCTCGCTAAAATAAAGTTTAGAAATACAAAATTGCAAAAAAGACTAGTTGTAACTGTTGCAATATAGTTGAATTATTGTCCTTCATTGTGTGTTGATTACAGGTGTGCAGCAGGCTACATAGGAGGCGACTGTAGTGCAGGTAAGACCGCGACTTAAAAAAAGAATTCAACAGCTATTTGCTGTTGATGAATCTGCGATGTTCTTTGTCCTGCGCTGTATGGTTTTGAACCAAAAAAAAAAAAGTTCCATTGGTCTCACGTTAAAGCAGAAAAACAACTGATATATTTTACCTGATTTTTTTTGTAACATAACTATCTTAATATCTCTTGAAGATTGTGGGCTGATAAATTTTTGGCAAGATAATTCGAAAGATTTGTAACTTCTTTTGTGTCAAAATAGGAATTACTTTACATATATAAATTGTTTGCCTCTACAGTTGAGTTTAATGGCAGTCGTGCGTTTTCCTGAGTCGTTCACTTCGTTCTTTCCTTATAGAGCAATCTGGGCACGCTATCAATTCTATCACGAAGGCCCCCTTCAGTGGCGAAAGCACTGTGCTAGCTATTGCTCAGATAATCCATCATGGTGTGTAGCTTTGCACAATAGGTCGCACAATGCTTTCGCCATTGAAGGGGGCCTTGTGTGTACACTGATCACGTACCCGGATATACATAGCAAATGCTTTACCGTGTTGCTTACATGTTTTTGGTTAACTCGTTGCAGTCCTTACAACCAGCGCACCGGACGTTGCCACCACCCCTGCCACCACCCCTGCCGGCGGATTGACCACGGGCCAAATCATCGGTATCGTCGTCGGAGCTGTCGTACTCCTGCTTATCATCATCATCATCATCGTCGTCATCTGCAAGGCTAAAGGGAGGGCCAAGGTGGGGACCTCCCGTGAAGAAATGGCCCTGACTGAACGACACGAAGAAGCCTCGATTTCTTAAGATGGAATTTTGCGTCGGGGTGATGTAAATCAAATTAGGTTTTGCCCTTCACCGACGTATAAACACTGTATACTCAGTGTGTTACCGATCCCGTTAGCTCGGTGGTCGAGTGGTAAGACATCTGCACTAGAAAGCAGGAGGTCGTGGGTTCGAGTCCCACCCGAGTGATTTTTTTTCCAACTTTCACTCGGGAGGTAATACACTGAGTATACAGTGTTTATACGTCGGTGAAGGCAAAACCTAATTTGAAAACCTCGATTTCTGTTTAAAGAGTTTTTGGGATTCTGAACCACAAAAATAGACACCCAATAACTTCAGGAATAACGGGAATACTGTTTTCTGATTTTGTCGTCAAATGTTTTGAGGAACTATTACAAAAATCTTTGTCCAAACGAATACTTTGGTTATTACTTGAAGTTCAAATCATAAGAAGAGTCGTTGGTGCTTGTTTGATTATTATAATAACATTAACTTTGACGTGAGCCAAAAACATAAATTAATCAATATCGTGCATTGTCTCAACACGTATGGTTTTACAGAACTGTACCGTCGCACTTGTGAGTAGGGACCAAGTCGGCTAGCAACTCATTCTGGGATAATTCAAATATTATAATAGTATTCTCGTATTCTCATATATTCATAAAATATTCAGCATTACTAAACAAAGATGTGAGCCAAACATCAAATTTCAGAAAGTTGTGAGCCAACGTTCATTCACTAAATTATCATTTTTGATTATCATTTCTAAAGATGTTTATATTATCATAACGTGTGTGTTTTGTATATATATTTTCTTATATAATTTGCAATGATGCTTGCGTGTGTATTCAAAATCTAACACTCATTTTTGTAAAAAGTTTAGGTGAAAATACTCTGGTGTAGAAACTTAATTGAGCCGTTATAAAATTATAAAACTTATGAATTACTATAGGACATATAACTAAATTTGATATTTGATAATCTTTAAGATTAAGATTGTCACAAACCAAACAAGTGAGCCATATTCGTTTTAGACATAACAGTCTGACGGAATTAAAGATGATTGTGTCATGTTCCTGTCATGGCTAAACAATGTAGTGCTGTATATTTGATAAATAGCAATAGAATACCGTATTATAGAATATATTTACTCGGGTAACAAATCCAAGACGTGAGCCATCGCAATTTGCTTGGAAAATGCAGTGTTGTTTTTTTTTAAATTCCTTTTCCATTTTAAATCCGGGTACTCAGATTATTTGATATCTTAGTTACATGTATGTAGAATGTTTTAATATCCAACTTCGCTGTATATAAAGTTAAACAAAAAAGCATTTGCGTGTTAATATTAATTCGTAAAAAATCGATTGTGGAGTTTTTTAAGAGACCGTGCGCTTCGGATTATGTTTCTTTCTCATGCGAATCCTTAAAATTGAAAACTTAATCTGTGCTTTGTTGGCTTTGACGCCCCCACAAAAAAAAAAATCGATTTCAGAATTGTTAATTTTGTAAGCATTACATTTGCTATGAATTTTCCAACGAGATATCTTACGATAAAAAGTAAACCAGTAATTCGTTGCAGATTTTTGGTTTTCTTTTAATTTATGAATTATGAGCACACGACGACCGTAGAAAGAGAGTTATTTCAAGGGCGGCTTTCCTGGAAATTCCACATCTGACTTGACACCTTCAGGTGGGATCACCGCCAGAAGTTAGAACAATGTAAATAACATTTTAATAATGAAGTATAGATAGCCCTTCGTAATTATTAGAATCTCTTTCTGGGATGGTGGATGGCCAAAAGGCTTTAAATATTTTTGAAACTGTCGCGTGCACATTTGGATCGCTAGAAAGGATAATGAAATTTTATCGGAATGGAGTCCTCTGCCCAGAGAATGATATTTGACGGTGTTTGGTTTAATTAAAACACAATAGTTTAGGTTCCGGTTTAAAAGAGGTCGATGAAACAAATTCAAAGAAATATTCACTTTTTTAGGAAATAGCGAACATGATGGTTTATGTTACACATTTAAGATTTTTTTTGTTTGTTTGTTTGTTAAATAATTCGACCAGGTGGATATTAAGAACCAACTGTACTTGTACTTTTACATGAACATCAGTAAAACTAAACACATATCCTTGCAATTGTATGACATAGGTATCAATGTAATTATTGTGCACAGTACAGGGGCAAATAGTTTCTAATTTATTCGGAAAGGTTTGGCGGTTAATTTTGGTGATGGGTATTTTTGTAATTTGTCAATTTTTAAAGTTTTTTAATTCGATTGCTTTTTTAGGGGTAAAACGTATAAAAGAAACCTTTTTGTAGTCATCTTGTCAGCTGAAACATGTTTGATGCGAGGCACTGTCAACAATGCAAATTTGAAGTAGATGTTAGCATAAAATGTTTGCTGTGAAAGTTACATGAGATTTTTTCAGCTTTTTGTAGTATCAGTATTACGATCTTCATAAACAGCATTATCCCAGTTAGCAGTATTAAGATCTGGCTGTGAGAGAGAAAAAAAGACGCAATGTTTAAAGTGAGCCGATAAACTTCTCATGGATTATAGAAAACGGATTGATTTTAAAGGAAATAAAAGCTTGATACGCTACAAAGTTGTGAGTGAACTTTAGTTGTTATGTTTGTCTACGGGTGTATGTTTAAACGGCCACAAAATGTCATGAAATGAATGGCAGGAAAGAGCGGGACATTGGATATTATTGGTGCACCAAAATTGGATTCTGTGTCGCCTCGCAAACTAGTGTCGGCCTTATGCCGGACTCGGCACTCTGCCGACACTGAGCACTGTTGACGCTCTGCCGTCACTTGGCACTCTCGAGACACTGCCAACAATGGGCACTCTCGGAATTCGGCAAATATTTGGCACTCTTGGCACTCCACCACCGACACTGGGCACTCTCGGCACTCCGCCGACATTTGGCACACTCGTCACTCCACTGACACTAGCACTGGACACTCTCGGCAATATGCAGACACTGGGCACTCTCGGCACTCCACCGACACTGGACACTCTCGGCAATATGCCGACATTGGGCACTCTCGGCCCTCCGCCGACATTGGGCACTCTCGGCACTCCATCGACACATGACACTCTCGGCACTCTGCCGACACTGGGCACTCTCGGGACTCTACCGACACTGGGCATTCTCGACATTCTGCCGACCCTGGGCCCTCTCTGGTTATAACAAAATGGAGAGATTGGTATTTTCTTTTTTTTATGCATGTGAAAAACTACCGATTGAATATTAAAGCAATGGACTCGTCTCATTTTATATAAATTGTATATTTTACTGCAAAATTCATAATGCATTGGACATTAGTGCCTCAATTTGATTCATTCAGTGTGAAATCTGCTCACAAATATTAGAGTTTTATTTTCAAACTTGACAGAACGCAGATGAAGAATAGGCGAAGAATATATTCAGTACCTGTATTAGCCTAAGTAGAACAGAAATAACTATCCAGTGTACTGAGGATTTATCCAGTTTCCAACAAATCTTAACTGAATCCGATGACATTGTTCTTTTTTAACATAACACAGTAAATTTCATTTCATAATTGTTACTTGAGCGTAATTTGAAATACAGCTCTTCGTTTCACATTGATGCTTTTCTTTATTGATTATATTTACTAATAATATTTTTTTTTTAATTTGGATATTAGGATGCGTCCATCTAAAATGTTAGTATATTAAGGGCAGGTGTCATAATCTAGTGTCATTAACAAAATAACCAAGGTTCTACTCGTGCTTTTTTGGGGAATTTCCCTACTTGATAGACAACCAGGGCAGTCCCTCTCTCTCAACCATTCGTCCCTCTCGAGCTATTGCCTCGAGAAAAGGGGGAACCTTTGCTCTTCGGTCATCTTGCCATATGGGCGGATTCCGTGCAGAGGATCTCACTTGGCCGGAGGGCCGGGCTTTCTGACGGCGCGACAGTCCACTAGCCAAGGCGATGATTTTATCTATTTCACTGAGCTCGCTTCCTGCAGCCCCTTGCTGAATCTGTTGTAGTGGCGGTTCTTGTGTAGGTTGTTCTTGTCGGAGTTGGGTTGTCTGTGATTGTTTCTGATCTGCCTGCGACGGTTCGGATTGTGTGGGTGATTGTTGAAGTGGCGGCGGTTGTGACTGTTGGTCTTGTTGCGACTGTGGTTGTGTTTGCTGCAGGTGGTCTTGTTGCAGAAGCTCACTTTCTTTGTGCTTGTCGTCTTGCTGCTGCTGCTGTTGCTCTCCGGAAATTACAGACACCTGGTCTTCCAGTGCTAGTGGTACCGTTTGAGTGCCTTGCCCTACACCATCATCTTGGTCTGGTACCGTAGGCATGACTATCTGATCCATGAAAGTTACCTGCATAATGTCCGTGTTCACCACAGCTTCATCAGGCACTGGCTGGGAAAGGAGCAAGCTGGCTGAATCCAGCCCGTGATTACTCATCAGTTCCTGCTCTATGCTGGTTATCTTGCCGTCGAGTTCAGATTCTGTGGACAGCCAGGAAAGAGCACCATTATTTGAAACCCAACCGATGCGATCTATTAAGTGGTAAAGTTCGCGTCATACAATTCCTTGTTACAAATTGAGATTAACATGGTAAACCACGAATAGATTTGTCAATCCTTAAAGAGGCATTGCCTTTCATAAAGAAGATATTTGCCTAAGAATTGTTTTATGCTAATATAATTAAGAATTTCCATGTCAAATACAATTTTTGTAATTTTCCGAACAATAAATTAACTTAATTCTCACTTCATCATTAATTACGGTTTGAATTACTTACGAATTTTCTCGAGTCTTGCTGTTGCAACTTCTAATGTCATTATCAAGTTCCATATCTTGTTGATGTCACTATGAGAATCTGAAAGAATAAACAAAGAAATGTATTTTCACGGATAGGTGTGTAATAAAACGAAATCAAAGATAACTGACATTTCTCTAGTAGACTCTTCGAATGGCAGCCATCTTTGGGGCACTGCTTTTGTTCTGCAGGCATAGGCCTGAGTAGACCCACCTGCACTACTCGTTACAATTTTTTTTCTAAGGAGAAGGATCCTTTTGAATTTGGATGTTGTATGCAAAGGGTCTATTAATATTTTTTTAAAACCTGTTTTTTACCAGACCTTATGCATGGCGGCCATATTTGAGGGCATATTTTGTTATTTTAATTTAGTATCAATAAATGCACAGGAGGTTCACTCATGTATATTCTTGGAAAACAAAGGTGACATTGCCTACTAAGATGGCTGCTACGCATGTGGTTTATTCAACAACCTTTTGCAATTAACACAATTTCCTATTTAGCATTTTTACTTTATTTATCTTAATTAATTATTATTTTCCACTTACCATGCTCCTCTTCATTTGAAAGACTTCTTGTCTCATATTGGTCTCTCTTTGCCTTCACGGAAAAATAACAAGAAAATGATAGGTATTAATCCTCTCGTCATAATCGTATCAAATATCATTGATATTTACTAAGTAGGGTTGTTGTTTTTTTTCTAATAAAAGTGACAATGTTTGTTATTTGAAAATTTCTTTTCCGGCATTGGACGTATTTCAATCAATTGATGAAAATATTAGTAGTGAATGCGTGAATAAAAATGGGCGTGAGCACTAAACATACCTGAACATTTGCAGAAAGTCTTGATCCTTGTGCCCGGGCGTCAACTGTGCCGTGTATCTGGCCGGTTATTACCGTTAATGTAAACAACAAACACATCCATTTTACTCCCATTTCGTTTATATTTTAGCAGACATCAAAAAGACCAAAATCGTAAAAAAGGAAAAAATAACTATCACTGTACCGTACGAATGACATAGGCCTACAGCTTGTAGGCCTACTCAAGAACATGTACGAGTGAGGAATGCGATATTATGTAACGATACACGCATTGCGCGTCATGACAAAGCTAAATAAGAACACACGGTGGGAGGGGACTGGAAAAAAACTCAAATAGTTCCGCAGTCAAGAAGTGATTTTTATCGTTGAACTGACGAAATCTCAGTTTAGTTTGTGTGTGTGTTTATAATATCCAAACATTGTTTCCTGTGTGAAATAAAAAACAATATTCTTTTAATAAGCAATCGTCACATACTTGTTGTTCATCGAAGTTTGGAGTCCCTTATGTCGAAAAGTTCACCGATCCGACACGATTCAGTGATCAAAAAAGAACATCGCTTTTGTACTTCAGTTAGGTTAGAGAGATGTGCGCATAGCAAACAGAAATTAGTTACGTCATTATGCGCATGCGGGGTGACTCTAGCACGTGAAGTTATGCGAAAGCTACACCCTTTTTGGTCAATGAAAAAGCTGGAGTGAAGGCCGCTTGACTGCTTTGCTGTTTCTGGAATTCAGTTTCCCTGAAGTGCATCGCATTGGGATCACCTCTTCATCATGGCTCGCCTTAATGTCGTCTTGCTCGTGGGTGTGTCACTGGCGATGCTGTCTGGCGTCCAGTCCACGCCGCAGAAAGTCACCAAACGTGTGCATCTTACGAATACACAACAGGTACGAGTCTAGCCCCATAAATGTGGCCAATTTACTGGACTACTTCCGTAAATAAAGGCCACACTTCCACCATGTACAAAAACATGTCGAATTTTGTCAAATTTTGATTTTCACATTTAGGCTTAGTTTGTAGTTTATTTTTGCTTTAGAAGCATACTCGCCCTCTTTATAGGCTAATCAGAAAGTGCTCCCTTTTTCAGATGTCCATTTCCCGTGAAATTTCCAGATTCGTTTGCACACGTTTGCGTATCAAAATTACAACATGAAATTTCACGAAAAATAGACATCTGAAAAAGGCAGCACTTTCTGATTAGCCTATAAAGAGGGTGAGTATGCTTCTAAAGCAAAAATAAACTACAAACTAAGCCAAAATGTGAAAATCACAATTTGACACAGTTTTACATGTTTTTGTACATGTCAAAGTGCGGCCGGGAAAAATTCCATACCCGATCACCACTTACCTGCCGCCAAACAAATAAATTTTCACCTCACCTTGTGATTTTAACCAAGAGGAATCCAGGAAACAGCGGACATGCGAAAAAAAATTAGTAAAATTGTTTTTAGAGCACATTTTGGATGCACATGTACAAGTAGTGCAGATCTGAGTTGAAGCAGCCGGTCAAAACTGAGTGAAGTGTCTGGAACAGCGGTACGTTATACGCATGACATCGATAACCATGACGTCGCATGAGCCGGCCAATGATAGTGCAATACGTCATTATTAATATTTATTTTCTCATGAATATTTAGTTTATTTCAATGGATACTTCAAATACGTACAAAGATTGATCATTGCAACAGCGATCTTGCGCGGCCTAGCGGTTAAGAGTCTCGTGTATCAAGCAAGCGTCCGAGGTTCGAATCTCAATGAAGTAAGTGACTGATTGATAAATAGAAATTCCCGTCAGAATTTGAAAAACGCAGCGCCTTTCGTTTCTACTTGGGTATAATGATCACATCTTGTCTTGGTACGTATGGCTTCATCGACAGAACAAAGGCAACAATAACGACAAGAATGTAATACACGCCGATTTGGTTGCGTGGAAAGTCTATGGGAGTCGAGGGAAACAATGCACGTCACTTTGATAGTTTTGCTCATTTTCTAGGTATTTTTAAAGAGAACAAAAAGGAAAGAATGTTGCAAGCTGACGCTACTTCTTTATAATCTCACTAAAGGTCAGTCATTGCAAAAATGTTGAAAAGACATGACTCTGGGACTGAGAAACATTTCCAATTTTGTTAGGAAATACTTACAAAATTTTCTTGACTCTCCATAGACTTTGTACACAACCGCTGAAGTGGCGGCGCGTCGTTTTTAGCCGCTTTCTTCTGTAAACCATTTTTACCTCAATTCGCTCTTTTAACGCTCCGCCATTGGGCATGCACAGCCTCGATCTGGCAACTTTACACAATAAAAATAGCCGGTTCAGTGATCTGAACCCCGACACGGGAATCACTGAAACGGCCGGCTATATCTATTGTGTACAGTTTCAAGATCGAGGCTCTGCAAGCCCATGGCGGAAGTGTGAAGAGGGCGAATTGAGGTAATAATGGTTTACAGAAGAAAGCGGCTAAAATGTGGCGTCATGATAATGCACTACTCAAAGCTTGTGTACCGTGTACGTAGACTTATCTGAATACGTAAGTTAACGTAATCATACCTCAAAACTTGCATCTAATTAGACAGTATCCACATTTGACATTTGTACTGCTTAAACACACACCCAATGTCACTTATGTGGATGCATGGTCACTATCTTCCACTTTCACTTTATTCAATCTTCCCCGACTTCTTTTTCAGGAAACGGACTCTACCAATGAACACGAAGTACAACCCGGTAAGTCTGAAACTTGATTCTCAAACTCTCAAAATGAATACCATGTCTAAGAAGATTTTTCTTTGTTTTCAAGTCATATGTTCCTCTTCTTATCCTTGTCTTCCTCACGCTTAGCCCCATAAATGTGGCCAATTTACTGGACTATCTCCGTAAAAAAAGGCCACACTTCCACCATTTACAAAAACATGTCGAACTTTGTCAAATTTTGATTTTCACATTTAGGCTTAGTTTGTAGTTTATTTTTGCTTAAGAGGCATACTCACCCTCTTTATAGGCTAATCAGAAAGTGCTGCCTTTTTCAGATGTCTATTTTTTTCGCGAAATTTCCAGATTCAACATGAAATCTCACGAAAATTAAACATCTGAAAAAGGCAGCACTTTCTGATTAGCCTACAAAGAGGGTGAGTATGCTTCTAAAGCAAAAATAAACTACAAACTAAGCCTAAATGTGAAAATCAAAATTTGACAAAGTTCGACATGTTTTTGTACATGGTGGCAGTGTGGCCTTTATTTATGGAGGTAGTCCAGTAAATTGGCCACATTTATGGGGCTACCTCACGCCTTTCTTCTTCCTGTAAATTATTATTCCAGACATCACCGATGCGATGCAATCAATTCAGAACACGCTTGCCAGTCTTGAACGGCGCATTCTTGCTCTTGAAACTAACGGTAAGCTTAGTCAATTTAATGCTGCTTCTAAATTGTGAGAAATAATAATTGTCGTATTCGCAGCGGTTTCTGTGGTATTATGGATAACAAGGTTATCACGATGACCAAAATGGAGGGCAGAAAGTTCATGTCAAATACTTCTTTTCTAGTGAACAGCACCATAAGTAGTTCACAATTAGCTTATATTCTCAGTATCATAACTTTTTATTGATTGTAGGCCCATGTAAACTAAATAAGTGAAAAGAATCTCAACTTTTCAGTCGGATGCCCCAGCCACAACAAACTGAGTGACTCGAACATGTTTTCATTTTTCTCAAGCCTGTCTTTCTAAAACTTTTAGCGATAATAATAAAGAAAAAAACTGTCATCCAAACTTTATTTCGCATTGTTCGGGCTTTGGTAGTTGACAAAATGATAATGATGATGATGATCGTTTTTATTTTACAGAGACGAGACTTTCAGACCGTTTGGCAGTCATCGTGGAAATGTTGACAATGGAGAAGACAGATCAGAAACTGCTGAATAATAGTAAGGTTTTTCCTTTAAAATCTTCTTTTCAATTTTTTGTTTTCCAAGACTTTAGATCTCCCATCCACTGAAATTTTGTTTAGTATAGGCCTAATGAAAACTGGTTCCCACACTTCTTCTGAATTGATACACTACCTTTTCATGTTCTCTTAATTTATTCACGTGTAGATGATGGAGTACCAACGATGACAACCCCACCCATGAGCGATACTCAGAACGAGGAGGGAGACAACACGGATGAGGACGGACACAACACGGATGAGGACGGACACAACACGGATGAGGACGGACACAACATGGCTGACGAGGAAAACGATGGAGCTGCTGGAGACCAAGGTTAGGCTTACTGGGAAATCAGTAGCATTTTCTTTGAATGAACTCTGCCGACCAAAATTCTTGTGTACACTCTTAAATTCGATTTAAAAAAAAAGCAGATTTCATATAAAAAAACCCAGTTCAGCTCAGTAGTGTACGTACAGAAGCTCAGCGCTACCTTCTTAGTTTGTAAAGGTTAAACATTTTCGAAAGAAGTACATTCCATTCATATTTCGAGGTCCAAAATCATGGAAGAAAACTATTTCTGAATAAAATACGGACAAGATTCACATATCTGGCCATCACTACATTTTCCCCTTCAGTGACCTATCAGCCATCAGAAAGTGTTAAGTCCTCAAAAGTCAAATTTAGCAGGGAAAATATTGAAGTATTTACTGAGAAAACACTTAGACATTTTCAGACCAGTCTCACACGGTTTGTGCACAGTGTGACAAGTGATGCCAGATTTGGAAATCTTTCCGAAATGCGTAGCCTACTCGGTGTACCATTTGGTTTTCAAAAACATTATTTGATCAGGTTTTTTTTGGAACGATAGAAGATTTATTTGCATTTTATGTTAAAGTAGTTCAGAGCAGGGCGCGCTTCATTTAAAGAAGAATCATTCCTGACGTATCGTTTAAAAATAAAAAATTCTGCTACTTATTGTTGTCCCTTTTATTCTCATAACGTGTCATTTTATAACATCTAAAAAATGATGGATTGTGGTGCCACAAAGAACAAAGTTAAAGACGAAAATGTCAATTCATTTCATGACACTGTCACCGCGAAATTCGTAATATCTGATTTTATTTCGTTTGTCATCATATTTCAGGTGGATCCCTTGAACAAGTACAAGAAACCTTAGACTTGCTTCAAGAAGCCGAGACGGCTATAGAGCAAGCCGAAGCAGTACTGTCCGGAAATCAGCAAGCTGCCCAGAGCACCCAAGCACCCATCGAAAAGCCAAACAAACCCAGTCAGGAACCCAGTCAGGAACCCAGTCAACCCAGTCAGGAACCTAGTCGGCCCAATCAGGAAAATAGTCAACCCGGTGAGGAGCCCAGTCAACCCAGTGAGGAGCCCAGTCAACCCAGTGAGGAGCCCAGTCGGCCCAATCAGGAAAACAGTCAACCCAGTCAGGAACCCAGTCAACCCAATCAGGAACCCATCCAAGACCCCAATATGCCTAGTGAGCCAACCCAGCCTGCCAATAAACCCAGCCCTCAGCCTAGTCCTCAGCACAGTCAAATAATCAACCCTGGCAATAACGGTGGCGTCGCAATTCACAATGGGGCACCCGCGAATCATGCCGCCAAGAATGAAGAGGGCAACGCACAAGGCGAAACAAACCCTGAAGGTGTTCCGATGGCTGGAGATGAGACTAGCAAGATTGACACCGAAGAAAGTGATGAGACGGACAATGAGACGGAAGAAGCGAACGAGAGCAGTGAGAAAACCAACAAAGAGGAACAACGAAGAAATGAATTGGATCAAGCACTCAGCCAGCGTCATTTTCGTGTCCGAAACCGCTTTTTACCTTCTCATGGGCGTGTCGGCAGCCATAGCGGCCGTTAGTCTTCTTGCACTCGGTTGTATGTGCTACTGTCACAGGAAACAATCGGCTCAACCCGATATGGAGCACTACAGATATTTGATAGCGCGTCGCAGACGGGCAGCGAATCCGATCACGTCTAGGCAGAGGCACCGTCGTGAACACTGAACATCTTCAACTTTTATATAGAAAATTGATTATGGATAGTCATTGATCGTCTTATATGAAATTATGAATTCGTAATTCTCTTTTACTTACGACGATTAAGTTCGTTGGCCTTTCATCTCCCCCCCTTTTTTTTTGGTCCCTTGGGCATTTTGTAACATGGTAATAATAAAGATGAATAAATATTACTTCAAAATCTGGCGATTTGAAAGAGGCAAATAAAATCGAAACATAAAAATTGCCATTGTCTAATATTAGTAATAAATTATTAAAAGTGATGATTTTTTTACAAAAAGAGTCCTGAATCCTCCAATTGTACTACTTTTTTCTCACACCCTTGGCAGTTGCAGTTAAACTTCTGAACCTATTCCGTCATAATTAAAAAAAAAACCTGCAAATTTGTCATAATTTGTAGCTAATGTCATCAACAAAAGTACTGAAAGCAGCAAAAATATCCTGTAAAATTACGTTCATTTCACACGTGACCGACTGGCTGGTTCTGTCATCCATTCATCCAGCCCACGCCCACCCCAGGCCCACCCCACCCCAACCACACGCCCACCCCACCCCAAGCCCACCCCACCCCTCCCCCACGCCCACCCTACCCCACGCCCACCCCACCCCACCACACGCCCACCCCGCCCCAACCACACGCCCACCCCATCCCGCCCCAACCCTACTTAGTATTTTGAGCAATTCTTTTGCTTCAAACGAAAACATTATCAGAAATGCAAATGATCTGACCTTCTTGGTGTAAAAATGGCGCAAAACGTTTTCATGTCGGACTCGAGCGTTTGGATTGATCCCATATTAAAATTGCGGTGATCGAGTTTAAAATATAAATTCAGCTTTGCAAGTGCAACATTTCACTCGCGAACATTGCAAATTTCTGTTTGAACCACGATGAATTCCTTTGACAGTAAGTAAGGGTCAACTGCCTTTTTTTCCCTCACTGTTTTCCTCTCCCAAATGGTACTGATGGATTCCACAAAAATGTTTGACACTTTCGCTGCGTGCGGAACGCTCATTTTATGTAGAGATCGATAGTGAACCAGTCTAGTCCTTTCCAATGGCCACCGCATGGGGGCGCTACCATATAGGAACAAGTTACCTTCACGACAGCGACGCTTTTGCCGAACGAAGTCCAAATTTCTGATCAGAAATCTGTCCCAAACAGGTTTGTTGTCCTCCTTCTTTTCCTATTAAATGTAAAGGGTGCAGTAAACAACCGTCCAATGTACGTTAGCGTTTCGAATTAGGCATTTAATTAGTTCACACTTACCTTTTTTTTCGTGTAAGAATAATGTGAAAAATTAGGTCAAGCAATATTCATAGAACCGTGCGGTACATGTAGGCCTATGATGAAGTACCAGCTGATCTACCCAGTCATGGATCAGGTATGCCGTATTTGAAACTCGCAATTATTGTTGTGAAAGTACGTTACATACAAAACAGCAATATATAAGATAGTGGATATATTGCCGGCGGCAATCCATCACCAGATAGCGCTGTAGTTGTACTCTCTAAGATAGGGCTGAATTATAAGACTAAGACTTTTGAGATACCACGAACAGTTGTGTAGCACCTGTGGCCTAGTGGATAAGCAACGGATCTCATGAGCGGGAAGATCCGGGCTCGATCCCCGCTGGCGAAATTTTTAAGTTTTTTTTTCCCCATCCCGAAAAAATAAGAGTATTCTTCTTTTAATATTTTAACATGTCTCAAACATTTTATTGCTGAGTATTGCATTTTCTTTTTTTTCAGATTTGTGGCTCTGGAGGATTTTTTTTCAAAGGGAAATAAAGTCAGAAATTATAAAATGGTCTGATTCCCATCTTGTGAATACGAAGTTACAATGATAATGCTGGCATGGAGCCAGACTAAAATTTGTTACCGGAAAATGTCTTAAGTACCAAAAAAACCTGTAACTGCGCATGTTCAGTGCATATCCGGCAAGCTAGCGTTTACTAAAGGTTCGCCGTCTCCGGCTAAATATCCACTGCCTTATTATAATGTGCAGGAGTGAGATGAATTGAAATTAGATTTGTGAGGAAATATATGACAAGTCGAAAGTGCAATGCCAATGAGTGTAAAAACTGTAAATAGTGGCACTTGACTTTGTTTGTGTGAATGTGAGATGTGGATGTAGCAAAACCGTTTAGGCTCTAAGGCCCCCCAAAAAAATACCTCGGTCTCTGGTCAGCGCGCGCGTCGATTTTAATCATGTGCGTCAACCTTTTTTTTTTTCTTCAAATTAACACGGAAGCTACAACAGCGCCCTCTATTGCCGCACCTCCTCAAATTTTTGTACCAAGGAGCACCAAGGAATGGGGAAATTGCACCAAGGCAAATGATAAAGGGCACCAAGGCAAATTATGGAGGACACCAATGTATAATGAGGACACAAAAAAGCAAAATAGTACCCACCTTGTCCTTACAATTCAAGCTTGAAAAAAAAAAAAACACCAAAAAAAAAAAAAGCTGCGTCGCCGCATCAATTCCGGAACTTCGGTCTGACCAGAGACCGATTATTATTTTTTTTGGCCTAACATGCGATATATCACTGTTTTGGGTGCAAGGTCTGTGGTGAGTGTTCTGAATCGTGACATGTTGTACACATGATGTATGGTCAAGAATACATCCAGAATACATCCTTAAACTTTGGTGTTATCATGGACAAATGATGGAGGAATAAGTTCTTATTCCTCCATGGTGCCTATGGGCCAGCCCATGTGATAATACAGATGTGTTTGAAATTAATTTAAATGAATTTTATGGAGAGTACACATATGATTTGAAATATCAACTGGAATGCATCGAATCACTATACAATTCAACTGAACTGCTCAGAAATAATAACTTGTAAAATCATTTTGAGGTAATTACAAATGTAGGTAAGTAATGTGTACAGGGGCGGGTTTAGCTTTCAGGAAACGGGGGTGTTGATTTGCCCCCTGGAAAATGTTGGAATGTACGATGCTTTCTCCTGCATTCTAAGGCAAGTTTGAGAATAAACTTAGCATTCCAATTAATATTTTTGGCCCCATTTTACGAGTATCGTAACGTTAATCTGCGGCAGATTGGGGGGGGGGGGGGGAGGAGGTTTGCCAACCACCCCCCCCCCCCTACACTCACTCTAGATCCGTCACTGGTACATGTACTTTTAAACTTTGCATGGTCTTAGTAACGACTGATGTCCAGCAAAATGATTGCAGTTTGTTATGTGCGCTTTTTAACTCTCGCCAATAATCACACCATCATGGTCTGTTTGTTTTTATTCACAGTGTCTGACTGAGCCGTCACAGCATGCACGTACATGTATGGAAGCCTATATCACCTTGGTTTTCTGCACTAGGCTTTCCCATGCTCCCTTCCGGCTGAGCCCAAACTATTTCTAGTTTGGCAGTGTTTGTCGGCTTGTTGTGAAACGAGACAGTCATTTTCATCTACCTAGCCTAGTGTGTCTGGCTTTGATAAAAAAAAAAAGATGCAGACAGTCTGACAATATCTCTTGTGTGAACACGCAAAATTTTAATGATACAACTTTCAGGCTCACTGTAGAATTCATTTGTTTCTCTGTTGCTGCCCTTGTGATTATCCACAATGAGCCCTGTACCATCAAAAGCTTTTGACAAAAGAGAAAGATGGAATTCAGCTTCGTGATGTTTATACATGAATCAAAGATTTCAGGCTGCGGATGAGATGAAATATGCCGTAGTACTCGTTGAAAACTGCAGCAAAGATGGGCTGAATTTAGCGACTGCTTGTCGATTCTATTCCATCCGGTTCCGTCTTGTATAATCCAATGTAAAATGTCATCATCGTCGAATGGTGGGCGTGGTTTGCCTTCCATCAACTCTTCCCGCGGCCCCAGACCAAGCAATGACAAGACCACGGAGAGGCGATCAAAGAATTTGCCTGGGAGAAGTTTGTCTCCTCAGAGGGGTGTTAACATCTCACAGACAACACCAAGAGCCAAAAAGAATCTCAGTTCCAGACTACCACCTCAACAAGAGTCACTCGGTGAAAACAGGCATCGGCCGTCTATCCACAACAGGACGGGCCGAAGCTTTTCCACTGGCATCGAAGACGTCGATCCGTCGAGAAATTGGAATTCAGAAGGAGGAAGACCAAAGAGAGAAAGGACATTCAGTGAGAAAAGTAACTCCCGGAGGTTACTGCAGCGCTCCTCCATCAATTCTTCGGGAGAGCTGATACCATTTCAGCGAGCTCCCAGGGATGGTAGTTATGAATCACACCTACCTGTTAGTAAAAAAACCACACCACAAAATCTGACGAGACAAAGTAGCCTTTATTCCTTAACAGATCGCGAGGAGAGGCTCTCTGCTCGTTTACAAGAAAGTCCAGAGAGTAATGAAGAGCAGAGCAACAACTCGTTGATCGAGAATGCAAGTAAAAGCCAGAGCCTGTCTTACGATGAAAGGAAGAAACAGCGTGGCAAAGTAAAAGTTGCAAACAAAAGCATAGACAGCAGGAGAGAAGGATCAAGGATTATGAGAAAGATGAGTAGCCAAGAAGTTGGTCATGGGATTAGGAAAGCCCCATCAGAAAGCGCACCGAGAGGACGTGCCCAAAGTGATGTGACGAGTCCGGGTTTACCGTCACTGAGGAAGACGGAACAATCAACAAATTATAAAAGTGAAAAAGCTGAACAGAATAAACCTGCTGGCATACTGGTCCCTGGTCTTGAAGAAAATAGAGAGATAACAAATTATGTCGAAGAAAATAACCTGGAACCAGACTTAAGGCCAGATGAATCCAGTAGTCAGTCTGTAGGATCATCTAATGAACCGCCCATCGATAATGTTTTTGACGAAGGTGACGTGACGTTGGCTGGTAATGTCCATGTCATGTTGCCCTCTGCTGAGTTTAAAGCAGCAGCACAATCGGAAGATTCAACAAGCACTGTCACAAATTCTGCCAATCATACTGTGCTTCAAAATACAAGTGAATCCAATTTACCTGCAGGTTGTGATGAGTCTGACATCAGAATCAACGAGCAACTCAGTGGGAGTCAGCAGCCGAACAGTGTCATCCGTCGACGATTGAACTCTGTTGGAACAGGGGACACTAGTCAAATTCAGTCAAGTCAAGTTTTGGTATCGCCATCGGTGTTGAGTAATAGACAGAGCTCAAGAAGTCAAAATGTTTCCCACAGCGATGATCATGCTTCATCTGGTGAACGTCCTGAGTTGTCAACTGAGAGTGGGTCAGTCAATCAACAGCAGCCTTCTCCAGGAGTTACTGATAACACTGTTAGTCCAAGGTCAATGCTTGCACAACCTCCTCCAATCAGCAACTCCACACCCTCAGCTGGCTCAACCTCGCAGCAAGCTAGACTCAACCGTTTTGGTCGGAGGATAAGAATACCATCATCAGACTCGGTAGTCACTGGAGAAAGCAACCAACCAGACGAACAGGAAGCTCGGACTGTTTCTGAGCAATCAGCGGAGGAACAATTCGAAGGAACAAATCGCCAAAGATACCAATTCTTCTCGCTATCAAGGGACATATCTGGGACCGATCGGGAGATCCAGATACCCATTACCCCAAATCGAGACCTCCTCTATGGTCAACCGCCTTCACCACCTCTTCTCAGAAGACACCACAGAACCCACTTTGGCTCAGGCACATCGAACTTGCGACAGTCCTCTGAAGAACAAGGAACGTCAACCAGCATTCAAAGTAGTCTTGGGTCTTCAATCAGCAATGATGACCTTGATTTACATGAAGACTCGTTCCGCACTGCATCAGGCACCGCGGCAAACTTCGCTCCTCTGCTCCACTCCGGACCAGTGCTAGACAGCTCCTCATCAACACCTCATCAAAGAGGGAGGTTGCATGAAGTAGGTCCTACCTCAAGCATGGCAACTCTTGGCAGCTTTAGCTCCAGTAACAGCAACTCTCCGAGACAGCTCCATCTACAGTCCTCTGCTCAATCTATTGACAATGTCTCTGACATTGAGAGATCCTCGGACTATGATCAGGACAACTTGACGTTTTCGGTGGAGGAGGGACGTCTCAGCCGGGATGCAAGGAGGAGGTATCAAAGCGATCGCAGTGAAGCTATCCCACGCTTGCTGTCTCAGAGAGGTCGTCAGCCACCGAGGGAACTATCTAGAGGGGCAGAAGTCATGGAGGATGTGTTTGGATCATCTCGGGACGGCATTTCTCAAAGGTAAAGAGCTCACAGAGTTACATGTGTAGTCAAGTCCAAACAATTCCTCGTATAAATTTAATAACAAGCCAAGCTGTCCCAAGTAAAATCACAAGTTGTTCAAATGAACTGTTCACTGCTCATACCCTCTTCCGTTTGATTCTACGGGCTACAGGTCTGAGAGCTTTTAAAACAAAGAGAGTACACGTTAAAATTACATTGAAGTTTAAGAGTTGAGAGTTGTTTTTTGTAAGGCCAAAAAAAAATAGTTCTGGTTCCGATTACATGGCATTTGAAAATAGGGTAGGTACATGTAGGTAGGGAATTTTTTTTTTTTTGCCAATTTGTTTTGTGTACGATCATATGGAGGTGTCTGCGTGTAGTCAAAGGTAAATGGTAGAAATTTATGGTTTTGGGTGTTTTTTCTCATTTTCCCATAAAAAAATTAGGGTAGGGGCTGTCAGAATAGGGTAGGTAGGGAAACCGGAAGCAGAACTATTTTTTGTTTTGTTGGCCAAATCATACAATGGTATGTTGATTAATCCTTTTCTGCCAGATATCGGCCATTAGATAGAATTTCAAACAAAATTCTTTGGAAGTGAGCTATCAAAACAGAACAGTCGGTGTAACCTTTAGCAAACAGATTGAACTTCATTCATCATTAGTTGTTTAAGCTTTCAATCAAAGTGGCAAATATTAACAGGTTTCAGTGTTCTAATTAGTCTGCTGCCAACAAAGAGCACTTACTTTGCAGAAGGGGTTGAGATTAAGCAGGCTCTTCTATTGAGCTACATAATTGCAAAAGAGATCAAAAGTCGGACAGTTCATATCCGCTTATTGATAAATTTTTTAAAAATCTTCAAATCTTATGCTGTGGAATCAATCTTGCCTTGCCCTCTTTAAAGGGAATACACAACATTTGTTTTTGCTCTAATTTTCAGAAATAAATGGATTTGGAGGATTAGTATGCTATAGCAAATATTGTTAAACTGACTTACTTAGCGTTTTGGGGTTGTAGATGCTGGAAAAACCAAGAAAACGAACCATGTTCTTGTAGTCTGGTTCCCTGACCCCACGTAAGATGAAACATTGCAATTTGTAGACTTTGGGGGATTAAGGTCAGAGAATCAGTCTAGCAGGCTTGTACCCCTTCACAGGTGTGTAATCAGTTGCAAAGAAAATGCGGAATAACTAAATATGAAAAATTAGGAGCAATTTTTGAAAAAAGCCAGTTTTCTCCAACGATGGTCGGCTGACCAGCGTTGGAAAAATACAAGTTTTTCTTGAAAATGTCAGCACACCAGGAGCCACGATTTTACAGAATGCTTTAGAATGTGATCACTAACAATCCAGTAAGATATTTTGTGATAATTTGATCATTTCGTTTTTTGATGTTTGCAAATGTTTTATCTTCCCTTTAAGGGGCTCCAATGAATCTCCTCTGAGAGACGCTACCCTGGAGCTTCAGATCCCTCTGCTGAGCTCCCCGCTCTTCTCCCCACTCGGCATCGCCCCAGGAATGCTCCTCAGTCTCCTCATCAGGACACGCAGAGAGTTTGGTCAAGAGTTCATGGAACTTCTCCTTGAGGTAAGAAAAAGGTCTCTCTGATGGTGTATCATCATCCGCGCTTGGATTTGAGCATGGAGATACAAAAAAAAAACAGTCTCTGGTTTTTGTAACATTGTTTCCTTTCATCGTTATAAAGGGATGACCGATGGTTAATTTTGACACTGTTTTTTTGTGCAAAGTGCCCCCCCCCCCCAAAAAAATTGTTTTTGTTATTCCAGTTTTAGTGATAATGGGCACTAGAAATTGAGTGTCCACTCGTGCATATTACAGAGGAATAAAAGACCTGTCTTCAGTTGGTTTTTGGTGTAGATGCGTGCATTGAAACCCTGCAGACTAAAATTTTGGGAAAATCACAGCTGTTGGGACTTGCAACCCAATCTACATGTCTTCTGAAATGGCCAACAAGTATAAGGCCCCCCCCCCCAAAAGTCTCCGGTTTCTGATATGGAGCTTGCCCCAAAAGTGGTGCAGTGACACGTTTCCCCCCCCCCCCCCTATTTTTTCTTCTTCAAATGTCGGCTGACTATGATCTCCTTAAAACTCTCAAAAATATCCTGCAGGGTTGAGCTTGAGGTGACCTCAGTGCCATAAGGCTTGAGAATTCTGCACCCTTATGATCTCGACCGACGCGAACATTCTTCGGGAAATTTGGATAAGTCAAGAGAAAAATCAGAGAAAACTGTAACGTCGGATCATACACTACAGCGACATCGACATCGTGCATGCTGGACACAATGAGAGGGCGCTTTTTGGGATAGATAAACGCTTTTGTATTTACTCAAATTTACCAACCTTATGCCCGCCTTCCGTGACCGCCTTACTTCAAAAAGACTCCTGATGAACATATTGTTATGTGATTCTGAAACATAACTTGTCATCTTGACTATTGGCATTGATTTCTCCGTAGAACATGATGCTGAATGTCTTGGCCCATCATCTCTTTGTGGGCGATCAAGGAGGCAATGAAGATGGCATCACCGGTGCACCGCCTCCGGCGACCCAAGATATCATCGATAATCTCAACGAGATACCAGCGCTAGAATCACACATAGGTTTGTGTTTAAGGATTTAACCACTTCATTAAACGTAATGGACACCATTTGCAAAAAAAAATGGTGTTTCTGCTGATTCAAGGAACAACAATACCAGAAATCTGATGCAGGTTATTAAATAAACTAACCTTTAGCTCAGTAGATACACGTTTGAGAAAACTATGGAAATTCATCTTCATCTTTCTCGGCGCAAAGCATGATGGTTTGGTCCTAACCATCACAAGGAAATGATGGTGATTCTTTTTTCCTTGAAATTGACGGCAAACTAGGCACAATGATTTCCCAGGATGCTTGATCCTATTATTTACTCACAATCAAGTAGGTTATTTCATGTTATCTTCAAGCAAACTTGTATCCTCGATCCTGATTGGACGATCCATGGCAACAACAGTGTGATATGAGGCTGTATTGCACGGTCCATATCGCACCCTGCGTATCGCGCTATTCAAAGATGCGAGCGACATTCCAACGGCATGCGCTAAACTGCTAAAAGGTTCGTGTAAAGCTATGGTCCAACTTTACTGCGCGTCAAGTTTGCTTGAAGATAAATTCGTTATCACGCTCGGGCTCATGGAACATGGAAAATGTAGTGCGTCTGTGTCCCACATACCACTCGGCCTTCGGCCTCGTGGTATGTGGGACACAGACGCACTACATTATTCCGTGTTCCACTCGCGCTCGCGGGATAACTAATAATAGTTTGACAATTCATGATTATTTATCCAAAATATCCATGCTGGATCCCTGTCAAACATTTCCCATTTGAGGATTAAGATGTTCTATCTGCTTTCTTTGGCTTGCAAGCTAGAGTTAGGCAGTTTGAGGAAATGAATAAATGATCATTCTCATGCCTCTTTATTTCCAGTCTCCTTTCGAAAAGAATGAATAGGTCTTCACTCTGATTACGGTTAGGGGGACAATGGTGCCAAAAACAGCAAATTTGAAACACAAGGCATGAAAAATGCAACACTGTTGAATATGTTAAAGGAAATGTACATCATTGGCTTTTGCTGTAATTTTCAGAAATGAACTATTTGAAGGGGGAGTATAATAGATCAAATTTTGTTACACTGACATGTTTGAAGTTTTTTGTTCGAAAATGCTGGAAAAACCAAGATAAACAAAAATGTTCAAGTAGTCTGGTTCCCTGACTTCACTAAAGATAAAATGGATCAATTTCCAGATGCCGGAAAATTGTAAGGTAAGGGAACAAGTCTAGCTGGCCTGCACCCGTTCATGAATAGGTATAACCAATAGCAAACAAATTGAACTGAATAAAAAAATGGTAAATTTGGAGCAGTAGGTTTTTCCAACGGTGGTCGGCCGACCACCGCTGGAAACGTATACAAAAATACAATTTTCTTGAAAATGACTTCACACCAGGTGCCATAACTTTACAGGATGCTTTTGACTGTCATTTACCAACATCCTAGTAAGGTATTTCGTAAAAACTTGGTAGTTTTATTTTTCGATGTTTGCAAATGTTGTATATTCCCTTTAAGGGGCAAAATTCTTTTTTGGCAGATAGCCTATTCTTGTTTACAGAAAACTTACAACAGACCCCATACGTAGAGAGCCCTCTACGAGTACAGGTTTTGGTATTTAAATTCATTGCCAATGAAAATGAAGAGTTTCTGCTCATGTGTAGAAGAAGTCTATTGGTTTGCGACAGCTGACGAATGATTTATAAATGTTCTGTTCAACAGAAAAGGAGATGAAATGTGCCATATGTCACAGCGAGTACGAGCTGTATGAGACACTATCTGAGCTACCTTGCCAGCACTTCTTTCATCCTACGTGTGTGGCAATCTGGCTTAAGAAGGTAATTATGTATTCATAAGATGGGATTTTTTTGCGTCGGGGTGATGTAAATCAAATTAGGTTTTGCCCTGCACCGACGTATAGACGCTGTATACTCAGTGTGTTACCTCCCGAGTGAAAGTTGGAAAAAATCACTCGGATGGGACTCGAACCCACGACCTCCTGCTTTCTAGTGCAGTTGTCTTACCACTCGACCACCGAGCTAACGGGATCGGTTGGCTGGTTCGAATCTGATGTACATAGCAGCGGGTACCGCATTAACTATTCATAAGATGGGATTTTTGTGTGTGTCAAGGAGATGTAAATCAAATTAGGTTTTGCCCTTCTAGGTAATTATGTTTATTCCATTTCATGTAAAAACATGTATTCTGTCCTCATGGTAAAAATGTTGCTGTCAAGTCCATCACACAGTGGAGTTCAGACATGTCCTTACACACGTACTGTTACAGTATTCCACGTGCAACTGATGATGCAAGCAATGAATGTTGGCCTATACACATCCCGTGATTATTGAACTGGACATGATTTCTGTGCCTGCGCTGTAAGCGCAGAATTGTGAGCATCAGAACAGAAGCATGAAATTGGTTACAGAGCCATGAAATTGGGCCGAGGCCTCCCTAACATAACAATTCAACATTCACTAGACCCATTACATCTGATGTCCCAATTGAGGGCAGGTATTTGTTCCTGTGTGGTACGCATGGGTAACTACATTCCAAGTCCTGTATCATGGCGGGGGAGGGGGGGGGGGGATAATATGTATGTATTTCCCCCCCCCCCCCCCTGCTTTTTGACCATGGGGGCATTGGCCATTGGATCTTCCCCCTTCTCCCCCTCCCCATATTTTGTTGTAAGAAAAATAAAATGTTGATTTTGGGGTTTTCTTTTAACTTGCCAAAAGTCCATATATATGCAGAGAACAAGTATGTAAGCTTTAAATGCACCGTTTTGCTGTAAGGGCCCTGTCACACTTCTGCGTATCCTAATTCCTTATGAGTTGCGCATTGACATTTTTTTCATACGCAGTCGTACGCATAATACGCACCTCATATGCATCTCTATCGTTTTGTGTAAGCTTTATGTACGCAGGCATACGCATGGTACGGCCCAGTACGCCGGATAGTTTTGGGCATGCACAAAACTACGCTGCGTACGCTGTTACGCAGGTCATAAGTTATAAATACGCAGCATATCGGTCCCGCATCGGTCGAGCACGGTACGAGTACGCTATGTGTTCGTGGGGGATAAGCGGTTCATACGCGGTAATACGCTGACCTCCCGGCACGCACCCCGTCAGCATATGAGCCGCCTATATTGGACGTATACATAGCGTACTTGCAGCGCAGATACAACACACTCTGAACGAACTCATAGCGAATGCCGACGTATTGCGTCAGGCATGTGGTCGGCATAAGTCGGGTGCGTCCGGAATACGCTCAGCATGCGCACTGCATACTGACCTATTCGCAGCCCGAAAAATAATGTTGTGCACTGCATACGCAACTCATACGCATCCCATACGCAATGGATGCGCTGAATTCGGTACTTGTTCGTTAGATGTGCGTCGCACATAAGTCGCATAAAATTTTGATAAGGAACTCATAAGGAATTAGGATACGCGAAAGTGTGACAGGGGCTTTAGGTTAGGGGACGTAAGCACACAACTCTGCACGTACTTTTATGTACATTTGTAACTTGAACAGCAGTGCCCCCCTAGTGTCGTGGTTTCCAGCCCCTCCCCCCTCCCCCCTTTCAAATTTCTCCAGCCGGCCAATTATAGGATATGCCACTGGCTATACATGTATTGTGCTTTCATGGCCTCTGAATTCAAATAACAAAACACTGTGAGGGTTCCCCTTGCAAGCTGGGTCTGTGGCCTTGTACATGTACAAGCAATTAAACTACCACCCCCCCCCCCCACCTCCCCCCCCCCACCTCCCCCCCCCCACCTCCCCCCCCCCCACCTCCCCCCCCCCTTGTTATTGATTGCCTGCGCACCAATAATTATTCCCTGTTCAGTAGAGCGTTATATTTGTGGAACAACTGTTTGTTTGATGAATTGGCTTTTTTTATCATTCTTATGATAAAAATGTGCCCTCCAATCTATAATGAGCCGGCCCTGTTCTTATTATTTTTGATTTTGTACTCATTATTTTTGTGTTCATTATTTTACAGTCGGGAACCTGCCCTGTTTGTCGTTTCCAATTGCTGTCGCCTGCTCGTTAGTAATTGCAGGAGATGCTAGGCTTCTCATTGCCATGGCAACAAAGATAAGTCATTAGTGTCTTTTTCATTAGGGATTGAACATCCTGTATATGCTCTTATGGGGCACCGGGAACGTAGTAAAGAAAAAGTAACAACAGGGACGATGGGACCTCGCAAGTCAGTCTTATGAAATCTAAGTAGCCCACAAGGGAAACGCTATGGAGTTTGAGATTTCAGTAGAAACAAAGGAGAACAATACAGGGTGAGTTAAAAAAAAAAACGAAACCCAAATGTCGGGACCATTGTTTTAGTGAAGTTCTGCATGTAGCACTTTCAAAATATAGGATATAAAAGCCCAATTCATAAGTGTTCTTCTAGTACAAGAATCATTCAAATCACTTATGTACTTTTGAAGTTTCTGAATTTTAAACACAACCACCGTTTCAAAGTTCTGTCCACGGATCAACAGAAAGTAAGTGTTCTTTCAGCAAAACGAAATCAAATCACATGTGTGTGAATTGTTTGGTTATGCTGCAAGAAAGCACACCATTTTTGTGATCCGTGGACAGAACTTTATAACGGTGGTTGTGTTTTAAAATCCCATAACTTGAAAAGTACATTGAGTGATTTGAATGATTCTTGCACTAAAAGAAAGCTTATGAATTGAGCTTTCATATCCTAGATTTTGATAGTGCTACATGCAGATCTTCACTAAAGAGAAGTCCCAACATTTGGGTTTCACTTTTTTTGACTCGCCCTGTAGTAGGGAAATAAAGATGGTAGTAACCCGTGGCAAGATGCGTGCGTTCACAGTTTGCTCACAAGATGATCGCCTGCAGAGGGGATGAAGCGGCAATGTCACGTCTCGCGGAGCTGCCTCTCATCCTCGAAGCGGGCGGGGCGGTGAAGCTGCCTATCCCGCGAAGCAGGTGGGGTGAAGCCGCGTAGATAGATGCATTTGGTAATTGATAAAAAAATAGGTATTGTATTGTTTTGCTACTTGGGAGAAAATTATTTATCTTTATTAATGCACGTATGAGCATATATTGTTTATACTATCACAGTGTGACTGAGAATGGATGTTACTGCTAAGCAGTTCGACGGTATGTACTTAGAAGATTGGTGTTTCATAAGAAACTGTCTTTGTTGATGTGACTGAATAAAATTGGTTGTGGATTTTTTTTCTTTTTGAGAAAATATTCAAGAGTAAACCTTCTTAAAAAAGCCTGAAATATATATATTTTTGAATACCATAAGAAGTTCTAGGACTTCTCGATTATTGTGATTGTGAAATTTTTAAACAAGATATAGAAATGTATTTTAAGCAGATATATGCCCGTGTTTGCACTCATTGTCCTATGGACTACGTGTGTGAACATTAGAGGGCGGTACACACTGCGTGCACACACTGGTCCGTGCGCGTAGGCGCGAAGTACGCATGACTAATATTTATTCTGAGTGTGCAGAAAACCCATAGCATCTTCTCCTGAGCGTTGGGCACTGACGGTAATGCGTTTAAATGTCTCTCCCATTGGTCTCCCCCAACTCTCCCTATTTTTAGACCTTTTTGTTGAGGGGTTACTGGAGCATGGAGCCCATATGGTTGTAGCATAGAGCAAGGACCCAAGAAGTCAGAACTCTTGCGCGATTTACATTTTGACCATTAACATACCAATCCCTCGGGAATGTCTATAGCTACAGCACTGTGACCGCAAGCCTCGACCATTCAAAGCGTCCCTTGAACACGATGATCGTCGCCGCCTTTTTAGTTGGTAACCAACAACCTCCCTATATGTTGCATAATAAGTCATGTCACGTCGCTGCTCTTTTTTGAAAAATATATTTTACGACAAGATAGGTTTTTACAACTGCGCAGTTGTTAGATGTGAGTTATGAACTCAAGTTAGCAATGTGCAGTTGTTGGTGCTTAAAAGCGTTATCTGTCCCTGTAATTTGGAGATAAATTGGATTTCTTTCAGATAAGTTTTCATGTATTTTCAGACATTTTAATTGGCAATATATAATTGATGAAATGTGTTTGTTTGGAAAATTTCACAAGTTTTCACACTAAAGGTACAGAGCATTTCGTTCTACATGAAATGATTGTTTCAGTGATGTTGACCACATTGTTAGCCAGTATTAGTCAACTCCGAACAAACACTTCAAAATCATTCATTTTTAGCGATGTATGACAACTGCGCATGCGTATATACCACGGTACTGTCTACGAAGCCATGCAAACTCCTTTTTTTGGCATTAGTGAGCGCGGATCTCTATTGTGTCGAGATTAGCGTAGTGAGCAACTGAGCAAGCTGACGCCAGGTGCTTCCTATTGTAGCTTTCGAGCGCGGCAACCATCACTATCATTTTACTTTTGAAGTCTTGGAGTACGAACTCCTTGGGTCCTTGCTCTATGGTTGTAGTAGTCAGGTATCATGTGTGTGATTTAATGGTTTATGTTTATGCAAGAAAACCAGGTGTTATACATACATGTGTGTGTGTGTGATATTTATAAAGCTGTTTTAGAGTGCTAAGAACCGTCCATGTAGTTTAATTTGTATTGCCTCACTTGTAGGTGGTATTTCCCGAACACATACATCAACTAATTAACATTTGCACATTTTTGTATATAGCGTAAATCTTGGTATATTTTAGAGGGGAAAAAAAGGTCAGCAGCGACAATAAAATCCATTAAGACATCTTGATCTGGAGGGTACCTGATCAATTAAAGTATGGCCGATTAGAGCTGACGTCTTTTATAAAAGACTTCATATTAAATTATTTTATTATAGATTAGAAGATTTATAAATGAAAAATTGTATGGACTGTTTCAGCACACGAAGCGAAACAGCTGGTTGTAATTGAAATTTTAATAGTAAATCAAATTAAAAAAACAATAATAGATCGATTGCATGCAGCAGCCATCTTAATGTTTAGTTGTTTACTATGTTAGGTCTCAACAATGTATGCCCAAGAGGTCTACTCAAGCGTACCCCTGTTGAACTAAGGCACAGACCTCCAAGATGGTTGCACTGCAAACGATCTATAGGTGTTTGTGGGTGTTTTGTATGTGTTAGTTGAAGTTCACACACATTACTTCCGCATTCGTCATTGAAAAATGTGTCAGGAGTAGTGTTGTAGTTGAGTGCTTTTCTACGAGTACGAGTACTTTTCCATGAGTACAAGTACTTTTCCATGAGTACGAGTTCTTTTCCACGAGTATGAGTACTTTTCCACGAGTACGAGTGCTTTTCCATGAGTACGAGTACTTTTCCACAAGTATGAGTGCTTTTCCACGATTACGAGTGCTTTTCCACGAGTACAAGTACTTTTCCATGAGTACGAGTGCTTTTCCACGAGTACGAGTACTTTTCCACGATTACGAGTGCTTTTCCACGAGTACAAGTACTTTTCCATGAGTACGAGTGCTTTTCCACGAGTACGAGTACTTTTCCACGAGTACAAGTACTTTTTCATGAGTACGAGTGCTTTTCCACGAGTACAAGTACTTTTCCCCGATTACAAGTACTTTTTCATGAGTACGAGTACTTTTACATGAGTACAAGTACTTTTTCATGAGTATGAGTACTTTTCCACGAGTACGAGTACTTTTCCACGATTACGAGTGCTTTTCCATGAGTACGAGTACTTTTCCACGAGTACGAATACTTTTCCATTAGTACGAGTGCTTTACCATGAGTACGAGTACGAGTTATTTGCCACGAGTATATGAGTACTTTGCCCAAGTACAAGTACGGATAATTTTTTTCTTGCAAGTATGAGTACGGGTATGAGCACATTTCCACGAGTCCGAGTACGGAAAAAGTACCGGAATACGAGGACGAGTACTACAACACTGGTCAGGAGCATTTTTTGTGTGAAAGCATTACAATATATAGGTCTATTTGTGAAATGATTAAATGCAACTGCCGAGATTTTAAGGAATTTTTTAAAAAGTTTTTAAAATCGGCAATACTGACTTAACGATTTTAAAGTCATGGTGTCGAGCCACGATCTGGCAGCTGACGTGGAAATGTTTTGTGTTTTAATTTAGGATATAAACTTAACAAAGTATCAGAGTGGCAAGTAAATTAAATTAAATTGAACAGTTATAAATTGTTATCTTGTGAAGATTTGTGTATATATTTACGAGTGTAAAGGTCATAATATATTGCCCCAGGCACTAGACGCCCTGTATTTTGGAATGGTGAGGATGCCTGTATCTGACGGCCATCGATCTCTTGCCGCGCCAAGTATCTTGGCATGTACAATGGACAATTGTTGAACCATTCCCCTATGCACGGTTATCAGAGCAGTAGAAGATGCTGTGCTTAATGGCGAATTCGAATGCCCAAACAGACACAACTGGAAGCACCGACGAATTCGATTGCCCATCGTGAATTAGTTTTAATTTCACTGCATATTTATTTAAATTGCATCATTGAAAAGTGAAATGGCGTGCTTTTACATTTAAATTGGAAGATATATTTAGTTAATCTGAACGTGCATTCAAATTCGTGCGAAAGTGGGTGAGTCTTCATCAATTTGGCTGCCAAATCTATTAAATTTCCGGGGGAGATATATAAATTGATACGTTTCCACGTCTTTCAAAAGAAATTTTATAGCATTTGTCACCTCAGCCCTGCTTTACACCATGTTTCGACATTGAAATCAGGCATGCGATTTTTTCGTGGATCAGCTTATCCCCCAACTTTCTTGTATGCCATTAAAAAAAAAAACCTGAGAACCCGTGCAGAGAGGAATTGACTTCTCAGTTGCACGCCATAGATTTTGGAAGCTTCGGTGAGGAGGGAGTTGCGTTGCCAACTATAATTTCTTCCCCAAGAGATTTACAACAAGGTTCTTTTCAATAACGTCGTCCGTGTCCGTTGGTCGGACTGAAAGATGACAACCTTCCATCAACACAGGTTTTTGAACAAAGTGTCAAACGGCCAAGTCTGACCCCACCCCCCTTATGTTCCATTTCATGGCCGGTGATTTCTTGAAACATCCAAGCAAACCCCTGATTAGGACACACATTTCGTCCGTAAGAGGATTTTCCCGATTCGAAACAGGAAATTCAAACTGGCACTGAAACCTGTGCTGCCTTTTGTTGAGAGGATTAAAAAAAAACAGTAAAGGTCCTCAATTCATACAAATGGCTTTGAGCTGAGATCCTCGGTTCCAATGCTACTTTAGGAGACTCCGCATTTGGCTGTCCACCCTCTGGGCGCTGACCTTACACACGACAGATTATTAATTTGAAAATCTCGTTGATGCGGACGCAAAATGCGAGGATTTTATTTATAAATATGATTTTTTTTTTGCTTTGACGATGGACTCCCGAGGACAAACACATAACCTTTGTTTCCTTTTATAGGGGACACCCATACTGGACGGCTACCGCTCGATAGTCCGAAGGACCGATAGTCCGAAGGTTCATTGGTCCGAAGGTTCGATAGCCCGAAGGTTCATTAGTCTGAAGGTTCGATAGTCCGAAGGTTCATTAGTCTGAAGGTTCGATAGTCCGAAGGTTCGATAATGACTCTGAAGGTTCTGGCGTATCCAGAGGGTGGGGCAGGGGGCACCTTGCGGTCCCCCCCCCCCCCTCCGGCGGATGTTTTTGACAAATATTTTTAAATATTTTTCAGTCGGTATTTACATAAATGGTTAGAGTTGTGACATCAACCCATAAAAAGAAAACCAGCTCAAAAACCATAACAATGCCCCGTGAAAATCGGCATATATTTTTTCTCAGTGTGCATAATAATGGTCAGTTTTGAAGAGCGCCCCCATTGGGAAGATGGGTACCGCCCCCCCCCCCTCCCCTCCTGCTTTTTTATTTTACGGAGGCCAAGTGTCCGGAGAAAAAAAAACATGTCTACATTTCGGCGCGGTCGGGCGGTTGACCCCCCCCCCCACCCCCCACCTTGACATCAAAGGCTGGATACGCTAGGTTCATCAATCCGAAGTTCGTTAGTCCGTAGTGTTGATTCGTCCGGAAATAGAGTAAGGATAAATAATCCAAAGGTTCGACGGTGCGAATGGACGACAAAGTTCGATAGTCCGAATCGCAAGGTTATACATTTTCAGTGGTTAAGCCCGGTTTATACTTCATGCAAATGCGAAGTGAATTTGACGTCATGAAACGTTCGCTGCGAAATTCGCCCGAGTTGAAAATTTTATATGTTCAACTTTTACGAATTCGCAGCGCGAATACTTGCCACGACGTCACAAATTCGCATTCGTTTCGCTTTCGCGCCGAGTATGATACGGGCTTACCAATAGTGTGACGCCATGGCAAAGGTTTAATTAATCCCTGGAGAGCCCGAATGCCCTTTATGCTTGGGATGTATGGACTGATAGCAGGAAGGATAGTCAGCTTAGGAGCTTATTAAATTATCTCTAAATTATCTAGAGTGTTTTCAGAGAAATAATACTGCAATTGAGCTGCACTTTCGTGATTGAACATGCATACAATGCCAAAAGGCAGTTAATTTCCTTAACTTCATTGTCAAGATCCATTAAGAGACCTCTCCGCGGTATAAGATCTTGCATGATTTGTCATATTCTTTTTTTTCCAAAATTTGAATCGTCATTTCATACGAGAGTTCGGACTTCCGCACTATATGCCCGTGCACTTTTGAGGAAAATGATCAGAATAGCTTCAGAACAAAATAATTTAATGAAATATCAATCCAGGCCGATCGCACATACAAAAATACAATCAAACCTGTTTGACAAGTAATATTCACTACTACTCCACTAGATTACCAAGATAACCAAAGAATTCATCTGACCTTGCAGTGAAAAGAAAACGGCTCGGGTCGGATGTTTAATATAGGTTTTTTTGGCCAATTTCCTAAACTGTTCATTCACTTCTGAAAATCGGTCATTCGTTTTCCTTTGAATTTGCACGTCTTTATTTCCATTTTAAAGCAACGAAAGTTCAATCGTTTTCATTGTCCGTGCATTCAGTTTTGAGCAACAGACAGCCAATTACGTTACGCAAGCATACCTTTTTCGCGCAGAGTTCTGGAATATAATTTCGCGAATGTGTAATCAAAAGTACGTTTTTCTCATTCAAAATAGCAGATCACAATCACATCACATTACATCACACAAACTAAAAGTGAAATAGAATATAGTCAAAGTTTGAAATAGCCCTCTAAAAGCGAAAAAGAAGTCTTGTTAACGAATCTGATTGAACATAAACGAGAGGTGCTGCTCAATCACTTATAATTATTGATTGAACTGAAATGGAATCGAATGCTGTGGTAGCGAAAATGAAACGCGTGTTCAGACCGATTCTGAAATTCAGACGAAAATGAATGACCGATTTTCGGAAGTGAATGAACATTTTAGGAAATTGGCCGGGAAAACCTATAATCGAACACCAACTTTGATTTTATTCTCCCTAGATGCAAATGCATCGGTGAAATTAATTTGCTATGTTTTCCCCTAGCTGGTTATTATGAAATTCATAATCGCGTCACGCAATTAATGACGCCGTGCATGCTGCAGCTTTTCGACTATTATTCTTGACATTGGGTCGTATTACTATGAAAAACAACTAGCAAATACAATACTAGGACGTTTGAGCAAAAAGAAAAAGCATTGACTTTGGAGTAAAACCATTAAGGAAAACCAAATGCTTGATTCCGTATGAATAAAACTTTTCCTTTACTGTTCAGCATTTACTAAACAACAGGTATAGCAAGTGCTTCTTACTGTTGGATTGTTTTAAATGAAAATCATTAGAAGCTGATCAGTCATGAATGTTCCAAACGAAGCATTGCACACAAAAATGGCCGCGAGAAAAGTGATTTTCAAAACTGGAAGTAGGTCCCCTCCTTGCTTCTTTTTTTTAGGGGGGGGGTGGCACAATTTTTGTTGGGGGGGATCAGAAAGAGTATTGTCTTGAAGTGTGTTTCTTCGATATTTTTTGTCAACAAAGAGGAATCAGTGGAATGGATTATTTTCAGTGGATCATTGATATTACAATTTTGTAGTGCTTTACATAAACTTTAAGGTGACAAGTGCATCACATAACATCAAGACACTCAAGAGTTCTACTGAAGTGACGAAAATGCCTGTAACGTGCATGTATACGTTTCAGCTACTTTCGGGCCATGTCTAACGATACGAGCCATTGACCTTTTTTAGGTTAAATATATTTCAAATAATTATTTTAACAATTTGGTTAACATACAGATAATTAGAGTCAATGAACCATATTTGTTTTCATAATTGACGTTTGACTGAGCTATTTTATACATTGTTGGAGGCTGTTTTGCTTTAGCGTTCTGGGTGAAATTTGAATAAATAAAATATAGTCTTCCTTATTGAAAATCTTAGTTACATAGGCCTATTAAAACATGTACTACTTTTAGTTGTTACGGCACATTTTACAGGACGCCAACTTGTGCCGTGTTCATACAGACGGAAAAGACAACACCAGGATTGATGACGTGCCGTGAAATTCGGAATTTGTGCGAGGTGCGGTGCGACAGTATGTACTGCCCAGGTTTACTCGGCTATAGAGTCAAGTCAGAGTAAAGTTAGGAAAGAATTCAGCCTTGGGTAGAGGACATCCCAAGCACGACTTCGTCAGCGTTAGAGCGCACACCGAACATGTAGAGAACCCCGTGACGGAACTGTCTGTACTTGAGAGCGTAGATGATGGGATTGACGGCCGAGTTGGAGACTACCAGGGCCACTGAGATGACATACAGAGCTCCTTGGAAATCAAGAGGCCAGCCAAAGTTGAACATGAAGAAGATGATCTTGTTCGGTGTCCAGCAGACCACGAAGGAGCAGAAGACGATGAAGAGTGTCTTCAAGACGTTCTTGCGTGCACGGACCAGAGACTCTGCCTGACCCTCCCCACGACCAGCCGCCTGGCGCTCCGCTGAACTCCCCGTGCCGTTTCCTCCCATCACACCGACTCTTCGAGCTTTCCTCTTCAACACCACTATGATGTGAATGTAGGCGTACAACATGACAGTGACTGGAATCAAGTACTCGAAGCAGAAGAGGAGAACTCCAACAAGCTGGGAGCCGCCAACGTTGACAGACTCACAGGATCCGATGCCATTGAACCTTTTGATGGCTATGTTGTACGCGGAGCAAGCACACCCAGTCAGCCAAACGGCGATAACGACCAGAATAGCGGCACGTCGGGTGAATCGTGTCTGGTAGGTAAACGGAAACAAGATAGCAAGGTACCTCTCAAGAGTCAGTGCGGTCAGACTGAAGGTAGAGGCGGCAAAGAACGCCCAATTGAGAAATTTGGAGAACCACAAACGACAGTAAAGTTCACCGGTGGGGCCGTCAGGCACGGGATCCAGTTTGCCCACATTGGCGCTGATCAGCGTGACCAGTGACCCAAGTAAGTCGATGGCGGCCTGATTAAGAATCAAACCATTGGTGAGGGTGTGCATAGACTGCACTCGGCAGATGACTATGCAGACTAGGGTGTTTCCCAACACACCGATGACTCCTGCGCAATTTTGGACAACTTGTAGTGTGATTGCAGCACCCATCTCGCATGCAGTGATTCTTGCAGCCCAGTAACTTATTTAAGGCGAGTTGTGGCAAAGGTGAATCCTGCACTAGAGTCCGCACTCGACTAGGTCTTGTTACGAATGCGTAAAAGGTCCAGAATGCGATACACTACTGTGTGTCGGTTATTAAAAAAAAGTCCATCCGCCAGCAACCGAAAAACACGTGATGAATTACGTCATCGTGACGACAGCAATGCAGCGCTGAGGATACACATAATAAACTGCAGTTGGCTTGGTGTTAATTAGTTATTTGCCTACGCTTTGGGATGTCGTCTTTTTTTCCCCAGTGGAATGTTCCAAAAGTGAAATGTTGTATAAAGACATAAGGTGGCCTAATAATGGTACTTTTCTCCTTTCAATTTTACAGCATCACTCAATCATTGCAGGAATCATTGACATTGGTACCTGCAATGATTCCTGCAAGTGAATGTTTGGACATTTATGTATGCATTTAAAAGAAGTTGTGCACAATTCATCTTGCCGAATGTACCCACAGATGCAGCACTGTGTTATTCTGCGTGCAAATCTTTGTAGCCATTAAGGGTTACAAAGATGAAATCATGCAATTCTTCTTGTAGCCGATTTGCCACCTTCGTCATTTGAAAGATTCCATCTCAATCATTCCTTAAGGTACAATATAAATAAAAATTACAACGTGAACAGGTTTATTATCATCGACTATCAACGATCTATTTCACATGGTTCTGATGTGAAGATGATGCACCTTACCGTAATATTGGGATCCACCGTAAAATTGGCGCCCACCTAAATACTCACGTACATGTATCAAAAAACACCCCCAAGTAAACAATACACTAAAAGATGGTCATTGTTGTGTGTAATATTTCATAAGGTGCTCATCTTTGGGTCGATTCAAACATGCCAATAGGAGAGCTCTCAGCTCCCAATATCTGACACAGCTTGCTTCTCATTTGGTTTTTCAGCAAATGGTTTTTTTTTCAGCAAGTGTACTGTTCTATATTTTATCCGTAAGTTTTCATGCTTAGGTCTTGGTCCAACTGTCCGTGTGTGTGCGTGTTCTTGTTTCTGTTTTGTGTCAGTCCACCCAAGCAGCGGCGGTGGAACGGTTTTCAAACTGGGGGGCATCACCAAAAAGGGCCACTTGCTCAGTAAAAGGTATCTTCCGTTGGTGCAGCAGCGTATCCAGCTTTTTTTTTTTTTTTGGGCACATCCGTGCTGAAATGTCGACCATTGTAGTACCATCTTCCCAAATAGGGGGCGCTCTTCAAAACCGGCCATTATGCAAACTGCGCATTATGTTAGGGTTTTGGGGCTTGGTTTTCATATTCCTCGTTCATAATATAAGAACTCTCTGTACTATTTTGGGAAATGGTTACTGAATGCATTATTTTCTGCAATTTTAGGGCCAGTTTTGTGTCATCTCGAGGAGGCACATTTGTGCTCGAGGGGGGCACTTTTATGTCCACAAGAGGAGCACTTGGGTAAATATGGTGCCCCCTGCCCCCTGCCCCCCCCCCCCCCCGTTCCGCCGCCCCTGCGCCCAAGGCATCTCGACACAAGGCTTCTAGATGATGCCTCCATACCTATATTTTCGCCTCTTTTACACCTTCTGGCAATTCCACTTTCTTATTCGTTCACTTATTCGTGTATTCTCTGCTTATATTTCATTTTGGTATGGAGATAAATGTGAGTTTGAATTGAATTGAACTGAAAGGGAATGAACCCAGAAAGAAGCTGTCAATCGTGCTTTGTTCTGCTACTCACGGATCCTAGACACCAGGATAAACGACTGTTCTGGGCTCCAGTACAAAAAGCACTGAGCGGACTTGCCTTAATTGGTTAGACGCGTGATAACGGGCATTAATACCCGTTGGCGCGTAATCGCGAATTGTTCAGGTGTCCTATTGTGTTGGGTTTTTGCAAGACATCTAAAACGGAAATATTCATAAAACTGTAAGCAAAACAACTCCTTATTTAAGATTTAATTGTTCCAAAATTGTTTAAAAATAAATACGTCAGGGTATAAGGCCAAAAAAGTCTCCGGTTTCTGGTATGCATATGGAGCTTGCCCAAAAAGTGGTGCGGCGACGCGGCTTTTTTTTTTTACCTGATTTTTGGGCTTCAAATGTCGGCTGATGACTGCAAATGGTGCACGACTAAACTTAGTGCAAATATATAGGAGTCCAGCGAGGCCACATAAACCTTATTCTCGACCATAACCCAATCTAAAAACACGTTTATTGTGCAGCAGCAGGATTCCAGTCAAACCAGTGAGTTTGGCGGTTTTGAGACATCATCTTTCATTGAAAAAAAAACTTTTTCATTTTGCCGACGCGCATGGCTACGGCGACGCGCGCGCATACCAGATACCGGAGACTTTTTTCTTGTTGGCCTAACAGATGGTATTGTGCAGTTTTTGTCGTCCGATAGATGAAGTATTTACCCGGGAAATAAACGTCAAATTTCGAGGAGAACACCATTTACCAAAATTTCGTTTTTAATTAGGCTATATTGACAGACTTCGAGACCAGATCGGGCGCAGAGCCTTGCAAATCTGAAAGCCACCGCGCGCAGTGGTCTTTGTTGAAAAGTATTCATGGTTATTTGCCACCAGTACGGGCCATTATAACGCGTCTAACCAGGAGTTGGGCCGAGTCGTTAATCCTTGTGTGTGGGATCCGTCTGCTACTATACTCAAGAATAAGTGGCGATCTGCCAATCATAATTAATAGCCTTCGCTGTCTGTATATAGCATTGCCACCTGCTGCTCATTGTATGTAACAAGGTGCTTCATAGCTCCCGCAGACCGACCTTGCAGACATTCGCAATGCATTCTGTTTATATCAATGACTAACAAAGGCCAGTACAGCTCATGTATTTCCTCCTAATAATTCACACACATTTTGGTCACGTACACATATAATGATGCTCTAAAAAGGACACATTTCCGTAGTGATTATTATTTCCAAAACGCCGAAAAATTGAACTGCGGCATTAAAGTAAACCACAACGTTAGAAAAATTGTAAACCTCGGTCGGTACATGGTGGTGGTCAAAATATAAGTCAAGTGAACCGCGATGTTACAAAAGAAATCATGCTGTCTATACATGGAGGTAGACGGCAACTTGTCCTTTGTAGATCACCAGCCGGTCTCACCGGTCTCAACGTGAACACCACACCCGAATATCTTTAGACAGTGCTTTCTATGACCAACCCAAATTTCATTTGAATGTGAACACCACACCCGACTATCTTCAGACAGTGCTTTCTGTTACTAACACAAATATCATTCGAATGTGAACACCACACCTGAATATCTTCAGACAGTGCTTTCGTACTAACACAAATCTCATTTGATGAACACCGCATCCGAATATCTTCAGACAGTGCTTTCTGTTACTAACACAAATATCATTTGAATGTGAACGCCACACCCGAATATCTTCAGACAGTGCTTTCTGTTACTAACACAAATCTCATTTGATGAACACCGCATCCGAATATCTTCAGACAGTGCTTTCTGTTACTAACACAAATCTCATTTGAATGTGAACACCGCACCCGAATATCTTCAGACAGTGCTTTCTGTTACTAACACAAATCTCATTTGAATGTGAACACCACACCCGAATATCTTCAGACAGTGCTTTCTGTTACTAACACAAATCTCATTTGATGAACACCGCATCCGAATATCTTCAGACAGTGCTTTCTGTTACTAACACAAATCTCATTTGAATGTGAACACCGCACCCGAATATCTTCAGACAGTGCTTTCTGTTACTAACACAAATCTCATTTGAATGTGAACACCACACCCGAATATCTTCAGACAGTGCTTTCTGTAACTAACACAAATCTCATTTGAATGTGAACACCACACCCGAATATCTTCAGACAGTGCTTTCTGTTACTAACACAAATCTCATTTGATGAACACCGCATCCGAATATCTTCAGACAGTGCTTTCTGTTACTAACACAAATCTCATTTGAATGTGAACACCGCACCCGAATATCTTCAGACAGTGCTTTCTGTTACTAACACAAATCTCATTTGAATGTGAACACCACACCCGAATATCTTCAGACAGTGCTTTCTGTTACTAACACAAATCTCATTCGAATGTGAACACCACATCCGAATATCTTCAGACAGTGCTTTCTGTTACTAACACAAATATCATTTGAATGTGAACACCACACCCGAATACCTTCAGACAGAGCTTTCTATGACCAACCCAAATCTCATTGGAAATATATGCACAAAAAGCACCTTATTGATGATAACCAGGTTTGCTGTTTAAATTCAAATAAGATCTTTGGGCATCGTGTCAGACAGCCGCCAGACACCCGAGCCCCTGCTATGCATGACCAGTTTGCCCTCTCCAAATGCTCAAGAATATACATGCTCATGATTATCAAATTCACCTGCTATGAAAAAGACAAAATTACAGAGGCCAAGGAATCACTTTTTAATGTTATATTTATTATGTAAATGTTGGGTTTTTTACTCCTTGTTTCCGACAAATATCTTCACATTCCACATTTGCAGATGTCTGCACTAGAAAGCAGGAGGTCGTGGGTTCGAGTCCCACCCGAGTGATTTTTTCCAACTTTCACTCGCGAGGTAACACACTGAGTATACAGTGTTCAAAAAACGTCGGTGAAGGGCAAAACGTAATTTGATTTATATCACCCCGACGCAAAATGCCATCTTATAATAATGAATATTTATGATGTTCAACAGAGACACCGGTCACAGTTGGGTAGAGCGCATGTTAGTCGTGGCTCCAGAGGTTTTTTTAAGGGAATACAACATCACAACGACATTCAGCGTGGAACCAGACTAGGCAACAAGGCTACGAATAACGCGCAGTAAAACGAAGGAGTATTTGAACCTTGGCTACCACACTCTCATATGATTGTGAACGCCTCGCTGAACCAAGCACGGATCTGTACGCTAAAAGCAGTAACATTGACGATGCATTACGAGGACATTTTGCACAAAATCGGCCATTTTGGCAAATACCAAAAGTTTCTTGTAATTGTCGTTTCCATGACGCAACTTCCCGGGGCATGTCAGTTCCTAGCTCAGGTTTTTCTAGCGGCCGACACCGACCATTGGTGCCTGATCCCTGCCAGCCAGGCCGTCAACTGCAGCCTGCTCCAGCTGGACTCGGTGTCTGCCTGTCAGGAAGCGCAGAAGAACCAGAGTATCCCGTACGAGTTGGACTCCCAGGGAAGTCGAGTTTACTCCTCGTGTGAGCGGTACGTGTTCGAAGATGAGGAAGACGGCGACCAAACTACCAACTCGACGGATGTCATCGACTGTGATGCTGGCTGGGATTTCGACCGATTGCGCTACAAATCCACTATCAATGAAGAGGTATTGGTCACTTTAGTCCCACTCCCCCCCCCCCCCCCAAATTAAATCCAAATAAGGAACGGGTGCAATAATTAACACTTTGTACCCTATTTGTCCACACAAAACTGGCGTTTGCAAACTTTATCATCTGGAGCCCCCGCCCGCGGTGCTTTTTTATCGGCGATCGTGTATCTTCGCGCCCGGTTCCTATAAGGGAACAAAATCCACTTTTAAATTATTTGACCTACCAAACTAGTTGGCGACATTTAAGAACATGCAGGTATATCATAGATAAAGGGCAGGGTTTTGAAGATTTGAGGAAAATTTGGGGGTAAAATGACGATGAGAACGACAAAACGCAACGCAAAAATAAAGATTGCGATCAAAGTGCAGTGTACCGAGAACGCGCAAGGCGCGCTGAATCGCACGGCACAAACCGTGGATAGAATTCCATATACGTACGCCCCTAGTTTTTCCCTTCAATGACTCAATTACCAGCACAGAGGGATAGATTACATTTTCTAAAAAGTAAAATTTAGCAGGGAAAATATTGTAGCAGTTAGTTGGGAAACACTTAGCCCCATAAATGTGGCCAATGTACTGGACTACCTCCGTAAATAAAGGCCACACTTCCACCATGTACAAAAACATGTCGAACTTTGTCAAATTTAGATTTTCACATTTAGGCTTAGTTTGTAGTTTATTTTTGCTTAAGAAGCATACTCACCCTCTTTATAGGCTAATCAGAAAGTGCTGCCTTTTTCAGATGTCTATTTTTTTGTCAGTGAAATTTCCAGATTCGTTTACACACGTTTGCGTATCAAAATTTCAACATGAAATTTCACGAAAATTGAACATCTGACAAAGGCAGCACTTTCTGATTAGCCTATAAAGAGGGTGAGTATGCTTCTAAAGCAAAAATAAAGTACAAACTAAGCCTAAATGTGAAAATCAGAATTTGACAAAGTTCGACATGTTTTTGTACATGGTGGAAGTGTGGCCTTTATTTACGGAGGTAGTTCAGTGAATTGGCCACATTTATGGGGCTAGGAAACACTTTCTTTCCCCCGTGCCAACAAGGTCCAGTCCCATCCCTGCTTGAAATGGTGAAACCTTTTCTTTTTCGGTATTATGGAGGTTTTTTCGGGGAGGGGAAGTAATTTCATTGTTGTGCTTTTCCCTTCACTGACTTTCAATGACGACGGTTGAATAAGGGCTATATATAACCATGGAGGAATAAAAACCACACGTCGGCCAAACTCGTTTGTGGCGCCATAATGATTAGTGATATGATATAGCAACACTTAGTGGCATTTATGCATGACTGATCATTCTATCACATGGTGAGCTAGCTGTTCCTGGCGTATATAATAATACACAATACAGGGAAAGCCCATAATCCCATTCAGTACGTGGTTATATCATAGAGAAAGGATATGGATTTTGTTTGAGGGAAATTGTAAACCTAACGAGACTGATAAAAATCCCATTGTACTCTGTATTGATTGCTCACCGCTCAAACTGCACAACTAAACTTCAACAAACATACATCGCTCATTATTCACTCTAATGTCCTCTTGTACATGTAACCCGGAAAATAGCACATTATGGGGGAACTCGCAAAAACTAAAAATTCAATGGGGATTAACTAACGAAGATAAACTAGACCCGCTGCATGCACTGTTATTTCGGTTGTGTAAAAATCAAACGGTTGTGTACTATATGAACCTAGCAACCCGTTGTGTAAACTGTTGTTTTACGCAACTTGTGTAACATATTAATATTACACAACTTGTTCATTTTTTTTACACAACTGGTTGCTATGGAACGCCAAAGAGGCATTTAATGTGATCATCGAATCGGTGATGCACTTTTGCAATCGGTGATGCATATTCACGATCGGTGACAGACTTTGCAATCGGTGATAGACTAAATTTGCAATCGTGGACGGTTCACCGGTCGATGATCACCGGTCGCAAAAGTCCATCACCGATTGCAAAGTTGATCGCCGATCACGAAAGTCCATCACCGATTGCCAAGTTGATCACCGGTCGTGCAAGTCCATTACCGATTGAATAAGTCCTTCACTGATCGCGAAGTCCCTCACCGATCACGAAAGTCCATCACCGCTCGTGAATATGCATCACCAGTAAAAGTTGATCACCGGTCGCAGAAGTCCATCACCGATCGTGAATATGCATCACCGATTGCAAAAGTGCATCACCGATTCGACGATCACATTTAATGCCTTTTTGGCGTTCCATACTTGTGTAACATATTACACAACTTGTTCAATTTTTTTACACAATCTCGACATGTCTGTAGACTATAAATAAGGAGGTCATGGACATGAAACATATGTTGTATACATAGTCTGAGGTCAAGTCGTGGACTTGCTACCCGCAAGTGCATGAGTGACCTTGTTTTGTGCACGTGTATATGGGCAGCCCAGGTTGTCAGGCTCAGATATGCCTGACGCGGGGTCACACACTAAAGGTGACTGCATATATCCGTAGAGGGTGTCTCTGGCTAGGATTAGATGGAAGATCACCAGAATTGGTTTGCAATTTTTTTTTATTAAGGTAATTAACCTAATTGGGTCCCCCCAAAAACCTGAAAGCTTAAACCAACACAGTGTGAATTAATGGATCTTAGAATACACTTTGACGAAAATCTATAAACAACGAAAGAGAAGTAAAGAACATAATAAGAAACAGTAAACAAGGAAAAAACGAAGTCAAGCTATATACTAGGGCTAAGTAATTTAAGCAATGAAATAATATGTGGAAAACCACTCCTCTTGGCTTTATGATGTACATAGTAAAAAAAAGCTAGAAAAAAATCCTGGCGACGCCCATGCATGGCCAGGGGGGGGGGGGGGGGCGAAATAACAAGACTTATTTTAGTCCATACACTTCTCTTTTTTCGCCATAACTGATTGCAATAGTACCTCACCAGTTTTCATACCAAAATACAGAAGTTTCAACAGTACGTACAATGTAGCCACGATCGAACCATTCCTTCGTTAGCTGAGAGCAACATTTTATTATGCCCTGCAAAAACAAGAAAGCCATTAATAAAAGCATTCTTTTCTTTTTTAGATAATAAGCATATGTTACATGAACTCCAAGGACGAGGCTCCGTCAAACTCCAAATTGAAGTCTACCGACACTGTTTCTGTTTTTGAGTAGTCAATATGTGAACCCCCAAAAAAGTAGATCTCGTCTCCAATATTAGGCAGCTTTTTTTCTGCTTTGACTGAATGGCTGGCTTTTGTTGGAAATGAGAGGGGTGAAATTATTGTCCATTTGTCTTTGATGAAAACTGGTTCTTCCTCGTTTCTACTCGTGAATATTAATTTGTGATGACAAATTTCAGTCAAAGTATAGAAAGCAGAAAAAACTGCCTAATATTCGAGTCGGACATTTTTTTTGGTTCGCATTATGACTACTCGAAAACAGACACAGTGTCGGTAGACTTCAATTTGGAGTTCGACGGAGCCTCAGTCCTTGAGTTTATGTTCATGTAACATATGCTTATCATCTAAAAAAACATGTTTTTAATATATGGCTTTCTTGTTTTGCAGGGCATAATAAAATGTTGCTCTGAGCTAATGAAGGAATGGTTCGAGGCCACATTGTACGAACTGTTGAAACTTCTGCATTTAGGTATGAAAACTGGTGAGGTTCTATTGCAATCAGTTATGGCGAAAAAAAGTGTATGGACTAAAATAAGTCTTGTTATTTCGCCCTCCCCCCCCCCCCCTCCCTCCCTGGCCATGCATGGGCGTCGCCAGGATTTTTGTTGTAGCAGGGGGCAAAGCAATTTGTTCCCCTAAAATCCTTTTATTTAATGATCGTTAACTTGGTTATCGTTAAGATCGGAGTAAACCTAAAGTTTACACAACCTAGATATACCTCACGGTATACCAAACGTTAAACATTTTGGACATTTTATGTCACCGTAGCGCCAGATTATGTTGGTAAAAATCGCGCACATGCGAAGACTAGTGGATGTCTCACACTGCGCATGTGCAGTAAGTAAGCCCATATAGGTAGCAGACCAGTAAATAAACTTCCATAGACCCCAATGGTAAATGCTCCCACTTCAAAATTCGGGAAAAATACCCACAACTCTCCAAGGTATTCGAGACACACATCAAATTAAAGCTTATTTCATCATCTTTCATTTTCTTTTCAATTTTCGGGGGGTCAACTGATGACTTTTAGGAGAAATTTCCATCTGAAGATGATCACCCCTGAAAATAGTCCTGAAGCCCATCGCCATTTTGAAAAACGATGCCTACACTCCATTGCAAAATAGAGCGCTTTTAGGGTCCAAATTACATCCAAATTACACAGAACTGCAAGCTCCCAGTCCTGTGCACGGCTTCCACCCATATTTTTTACAATCCCTCAAGTTCATGGCCCACAGCATGCTCAAATACCGAAGATTTTGAGGGCATGCAAATCGTGATTTGGCCGGCGCAGGCAATTTCGGACCGATTTACTGGTCTGCACCCTGATAGGACTCGGTGGCGGATTTACCGGGGATGGAGGTCTGGTACCCCCCCCCCCCCAAAAAAAGAAATAGTATAATGCAGAAAAAAGTAGATCATGACTGTCCCCCTCCCCACCCGAACCCCATCCGAGCCACACCTGAATGCCAATGGGTCGGGTTAACCTGTTTTGCTTGAGGATATTATGACAAAATAGCATGTGAACGCTCAGAAACTTTCTTTTGAAAAATATAATAAAAGAGTCCAAACAAACATATCGGTTATTCTGAGCCATCCATGAAACTTGTAATTACAGAATGGTAAAAAAATGTCATGGCAATTTTATTATGTATCTTTGCTTCTACAGTTTCGTCTTGTGTGCGAGAGAGAAGATTTTGTGGGTCTCGCCCAGTCAGTCTGGTTTGCTGGTGTACTGACGGGCTCCTTAGTCTGGGGTTCGGTGGGTGATTGGTAAGTGCCGAGCTTTTCAAGATGTTGTTGTTTTCGAAACATTTTTTTCTTATAAAGCCCTTTTGACAGAGTCTACGTTTCCTGTGAAAGGAGTACATGACTGTGCCTGTTAGGAATTTCTTTAAGTTTATTTTTTGGTTATTCGATTTTTTGGTTATTCGGTTTGGGTATTCGATCACAGTGAGTTTTTCCCCAAATTAATTCGATCTCTTTGGACAATGCAACAATACGCGGACTCAATATCCAGGAAGGGAATGCCTAACCTTTTCATGTTTCATCCAGTGAAATATCTGTAGATAATCTACCTTGCTTACCCTCTTTGGGGTATTTCTCCTCCTTTGCTGTCCTCCCATTTTAATTTACCCCTTATCAAACTCTTAGTTCCTTCATCATCAATCATCAGTCATCAGTCATCAGTCCTCAGTCCATCAATCCATCAATCCATTAACCAACAATCCATCAATCCATCAATCCATCGATTCATAGTCCTCAATCCATCAATCCATCAATCCATCAATCCATTAATCCAATTATCCATCAATCCATCAATCTATCAATCCATCAATCCATCAATCCATCAATCCATCAATCCATCAATCCATTAATCCAACTATCCATCTATCAATCCATCGATCCATCAATCCATCATCCATCGATCCATCAATCCATCAATCCATCAATCCATCAGTCCTCAATCCATCAATCCATCAACCCATCAACCATCCATCCGACATCATGCATCATCATGATGCCGAAAGCCTTTTGGCCCGTAGGCTCCCGCTTCAATACGGAATGGCGGTGCCAAGAGTTGTTGGATTCTCCGCGATCCGCAGTCCCTTGGCCTTTAGTTCACGAGAGACCCTCCACCTCATCAAGTTGTCCACCCATCGAGCATGAGGTCGACCGCTTCCTCTCCTTGCATGCGCCGGAAGCCCCCCCCCCCCCCCCATCACCGCCGCCGAGAGACCGCTACATCTCTCTCACACGTAACCGCACGAGCTTGCCTTGCGCTCAAATACTGTCAGATCATAGAGAAAGGACACGAACAGCGGCCTCCAATGCGTCTTTCCAGTTCCTCATTATTTTGTCACCACGTCTTGCCAAGAGAGGCCGAGAAGGCATCGCGATATGTTCACTATCAAGCGCATCTGTGCGTTTGGTTTCAGCTGCCTTACGGTGAAGGCGGCTTTTAATTCTCCCTGCCTAATCACCTCCCATTAAACCCCCCCCCCCTTATCTAACACTTCATGCACTGCCATCTCCTCTGTTCCTCCTCAAGCATCACCCCCTCCCTTCTCAACCCCCGCCACACTCCTTGTCCTCCCTTTTTAATTCCTCTAGGTGTTTTTCCTCCTAACCATGCATGTTTTTATGTCCATATACCTGGTTCTTTCTGACGTTCTGTACCACTGTAAATTTCCTTTGTGAAAAATTATGTAAGGTACGAACTGTTTTTGTACCTTTTGTTTACCGATTTTGTTGAAGGCCTACTTGAGTTTTACGACGTTTACATACTCGGTACTAGGGAGTGAGTCCTTCAATAATAATTCAAAGTCCTGTTTTCTCGATTTCCAGGCTCGGAAGAAGGAAAACTTTCATCCTAAGCCTCATCTTCGTCTCCATCTCATCCATTGCGACGACTTTTGCTCCCAACTTCTTGGCTTATATGGCATTGCGTTTCGTCACGGCCGCTTGTGCATATGGAATTATGCTCATTATTTCCATCTTACGTAATCATAAACATGATCATATTTTATTATCATTAATGCCAGAAAGGGGGGGGGCGGGAGGGGCTCAAGCAGCCAGAGTGTACTGAAGAACCTCTGAGCAATCAAGCATGATCATAAGAATCATTGTCTGATAAGTGATTGATTCGTGACGTATGTTGTGCATGCATACTATTAAATTACATACAGACTTCGTGGGCGGAGTCGGTGGGCAATGCTTTTGTGTCGCTTGGATATGCATGAGTGAAACTTTTGTGTATCCATTTTTGGCAAATTAAAATGACAAAGATCAGCCTCCGAGATATCCGCAACGCATATAGGGTCTATATTCCACGTTGTTATAGTTGCCAGCTCTCTGTGCTCTTCAACAAGCCGTGGGTGAATGCAACGCTCTGAGAGAACAAGCTTGAAAGGATCTCGGAAGCATGCGGCCTAACTGTAGACCTGCTGTAGCCTATAAGTCAATGTACATGATGTAAAAGTCTGTTCTTATCATGACAACCACTCACGTGGTCGTGACTGTCAATTGACAAGGATTCCCATTATTTTGTTGAACGTCAGTTGGTGCATGGAGCGGCTGCCGCAGCGGCAGCGTTTGTGGAACACCCAATTTGGGTGCAGTACAGTGCTAGCCCCAATGCGAGTAACCTCGTGACCCAATTGTCCACGACTGCAGTAGCTGGTCAGTGGAGACCTGAAGCATGCACGTGTTGTTGCGAGGGCCTAGGGGACAACGTGATTGATTGCCAAAAACGCATGTGCTCAAGTTTGTTACTAACGAACGGAGAGATGCGATCATTTCTTGAGCTTCTTTCCGCAGCTAAAAAGGTTCTTTGGTTTGCTTCTCGGCAACTCTAATGTACAAACAAACCGCCAGAACTTTTATCAGACTTCAAGTAATTCGAAATCGGGGAGTGATTATTGTGTTTTCTTAAATTGTAGGATGAGATTTATCTCACTAGTTAAGTATGTTTCCGCTCCTCCATTAGCTACCGAGATCGTCGGCCCAAAGGACCGTGTAAAAGTCGGCACAGTGTCTGCAATATTCTTTGCTCTTGGCTATCTGCTCCTGTCCTTTTGTGCCTACTTTATACGGGATTGGCGTCACCTGCAGCTGGTCATTTCGCTCCCTTATCTCCTCTGTTTTCTGATGCTTATGTGAGTATTGGACTCTGGCATGGTTGATCCTTTTATTTCTCATACCAGATTCTCTTGTTGTATTTCTCGCCAGAGAATTAATTAAGGATTCGTAACTAAAAAGGAGACATTTCGTGCTGGAACTTTAACCTGCTAACATTAAAAAGTCAAGAAATTATAATTATCAAATGACACATTCAAACGTAAGTTAGAAGTTCTGTTAGAACACATAACAGTTTTTTAAGGGAATAAATGTGTGCTTGGGAGGTTTTAAACACTCTGTTTAAGACCGGTGGGAGTGCTGATAATTACCCTCGCATTGGGCTCGGGTAATTATCAGCATCCAGACTCCAACCGGTCCAAACCATAGTGTTTAATACCGACCAAGTACAAATATTCCCATTCATAAATATCTTTTCGGCAGTGTTGTAGGACTCGAGTCCAGGACTCGAGTCGGACTCGAGTCACATTTTTCGTGACTCGGACTTGACTCGAGTCACATTGGAAAATGACTCGGACTCAGACTCGGACTCGACCATGATGACTTGGACTCGAGCTTGGTGACTCGTGACTCGAGTCACGTATTGTCATCAAGGAGAAACCTTTTTTTTTTTTTACTCCATATACAAAATACGGCGCCGCTGAAAATCGTTTTTGTGAATTAACGTTCAACAAATAAAATGGTAAAAGGCACTGGATTTCATAAGAGTCCGAATTTTATATGACACTGAAAAGTATTTAAGACCAGCCAGCCTTTATCGTCCGTTTAAGGCCGGCCACGTGACGGGCTCTCCACCAATAAGAATGGGTAAACTGTCTTAGGTATTTATGAATAGTTTTATTTTACCGTTATTGAAATTAAAAATGGACAGGTATAAAAGATCGACGCAAGGAGTATCTGACCAAGTTCAACTCGTTGAAGTTCATTTCATTTTATAGGTCTAGCATTAAGACTTTGTGTATTTTTAGAATTCTGCCCGAGTCTCCGCGATGGCTGATATCCAAGGGTCGCTTCAAGGAAGCCAAGAAAATCATCACAAAGATCGCCAAGGTGAACGGCACCAAGGTCCCGGACAATCTCCTTGGGACACTTGAGAGTCTACGGGAGGAGGTGACTGGAATAGTTATCATTAAGGAAAAATGTGAATTATTTTGTAAAAATTTCATTAAATATAATCAAAATTACGTTGTTCATTATTAACTCCCACTTTTACAGAGATCAATTTATTCTATTCCACACAAAAAAATGCAAGTTCAAACTTTGTTTAAAAATAAAGCTGCATTTTACACAAGTCAACTCATTCTTTACCATTAATTTACCCGTTTACAACTTCAAACTTTCAAAATATGTTTTGAAATAACACTATAATTGATTGAATAAGAATTTATGTTTTACTCGCAGGATGAGAAGTCGAGTCCGGTACGTCGGACTACGATACTTGATCTTTTTAGGACTCCAAACATCCGTAAGAAGACTCTCATTATGTTTTACGCCTGGTGAGTAAAAAAAAATAAAAGTGAAGTTGAGTATGCTAGTGGATTTAACATCGATAATCGATGTCACGTTGGTTGTGGTCGTCTGTAGACGATCGTACTGAAAGAATCCGTTTGTGGTAGGTTTCGGATAATAGACCATTATCATGTTGCGGCCATCTTTAGTTTGTTCCCATTCGAATATGCGTAGCCAAATCAAGGCTGGAAGAAAATAATTATAGTCTGGTTCATTAATTGTGTGCACAAAAACATGACCATTCAGAACTGTTATTGGATATAGGGAACATGACTGCAATGGTGGCAGCAAAGGTGTATTATATCTGAGCTACAATGTATTTCAGAAACAGTCCCAAGGAAATTATAAATATTATAGATCATAACGAGACTTGAAAAGTTATACGCAAGACATACGGAGTCAGGCTGACGTCACAGAACTTTTTTCGAGGGGGGGGGGCGGTTCTTGGAAACTCGCTTGCCAAATATGACACTTTTTAATTGCCACGTGATCTTCAGCGGATGAGTTGTGAAAAGGATACTGCTATACCCTTTTCCTACAGGTTTGTGGCAAGTATGGTTTACTATGGGCTATCTCTCAGCACCTCATCTCTAGGGATAGACGACTACGTGGCTGCCTTCGTATCGGGAGCATTGGAGATTCCTAGCTATCTGATGTGCTGGTTCGTCATGGAGAAATACGGAAGGCGATTCACCATGTTCGCATTCTTTATGTTCGGAGGCCTGTTTTGCCTCGCAACCATCTTTGTTCGTAAGTTTGTTTGTGTGTTTTTGTTTGTCTACCTGACAAAATATTGGTCCAAAAGTGTACCGACAACGTCGTCCGTCCATTGGACGAACTTGTGCGATTATCTTCATCAGCTGCTCTACAGGAATTGTTGACTGTGGGTTCGGGCCAATACGCCCCAAAACAAAATGGGTGTTACTTTTTGCTCAACGTCTTTTTCAACGCTGGTCAAAATATCAACTACACCCGCACTTCCCAAATTTGATTAATAAGAAAAATTATACTCGAATAACTTCACATGCACAAGAACTAGCATTCACACCTTTTACAATGTAACTAATTATCGACCCAAAATGGTAGAGTTTGAGTTTATTCACTTTGGCCGTCTTCCTTTTACAAATGGTCGAGCAAATCTTCAAATTTTCGGTTTGCCCCTCCATAGGGAGTCGGGTTGGTTACTTTCCTCCCCTCCTACCGCTGTGGCCCGGGTTTGATTCCTGCCCGGACCACATTATGGATTGGGTTTTCAGTCCCTACCTGATTCCGTGGGTTTTATCCATCATATTTTTCTGGGGTTTTCCTCTGACCTTAAAAAAACTGTAACTTCTTTTCATTGTCTCCTCTCTACAGGTTTCTAATTCTTCCGAGCTACAGAGCCTAGGGCACTTATGAGGAATGAATCCGTAGTTTCATTACCACCAGAAAGAACTAAAATTGATAAATAAAACAATTGGCATTCATATCAAGTACTGGCTCTGCAGGTGCTTTTGCCCCGTCACTAACCTAACAAAAATGTATAGTTGTAACTGGAAGCCACTTGTTTTACCACTGGTAATAGAGCTCTGATGATTGTTTTCAGCTCTCGGGGCGGGCAGGGTGGCGGTAGCCATGACGGGCAAGTTCGCCATCACTGCTGCATTCAACCACATCTACATCTATACGTGTGAAATCCACCCAACCGTCGTAAGGTATAAAATGTTGTTGTAAACATATTAGAGAACTGTTTTCTTAATATTGGGTTTTGCCCTTCACCAACGTAATATTAATAAGCACTGTGTGATCAGTGGTGTACGAGAGCTTGCGAGAAAAAGATCAATACCTTGCTAGGGTGGGAATCGAACCCACGACTACTTCCTGCTTTCTAGTGCAGACGTCTTAACCACTCGACCACCGAGCATGTCATTAGACAACAACTTTTCACTTGGTGGCAGCAGTTATATACATTGCTCCTCTTTCATTTTATGCATCTAAACCGAGCTGAACGCCATGCAATGTTTTTCGTATTATATTATTAATAGGAAAACACCATCGGTTGTCATCAATGATTTGTTCTCCCTTTTGGAGTTCGAGGACATTACAATCAGTACAATGTTCTACATTTTATAAAAAAAGACAGAAAAAGGCTTGATTTTCAATTCACAAAAGATGTATTGTTCCAAACTAACTTACTTGTCAATATATTAAGACGGTCATAGGTAATTTAGAAAAAAAAAATGCAATTATGACATCTCGTAATTGGCAGGAGTATTGGCCTGGGAGCATCTTCCATGGCAGCCCGCGTGAGTGGGGTTCTGTGCCCCATCATCTTGATCCTAGGCAAGTACTGGCAACCACTGCCTCTCTGTGTCTTCGGAGGCAGCTCCGTGCTGGCCGGGATGCTGTCTCTGATGCTGCCGGAGACCTTGGGTCGTGACATGCCGGACACTCTTCAGGACGGAGAGAAAGTTGCCAGTGAGTGCTAGGCCAGTTTTTTGGGGGTTTTGTGTAAGCGAATGAGGGCGCTATTCCTTCCGTGATTTAAGCGTATCAAGGGAGGGTCCTTCGACTGACCAATGCTAATGTACTTTATGGAAAATATCCCAAGAGAAATACACTCTACGGCCCGTAAGGTCATTCTGGATTGCAGATCATAATGAAGTGCTTCGGGTCTTTCGACTGACCAATGCTGATTATTTATATAATGGATCTCGCACATTAAACTCCCTGGTAACGTCCTTCAATATCGCAAATCTTGATTACTCGGGCCTTTTGTCTTTGTACGCCTCGTCCGACACACATGTCCTAAAATTTGCTTCAATACGCGTGATATGTCTACTGTTGGCACCCAAAATAATATGTGGCATGGTAAACGTAACAGGGCCGCCATTCGCCAGCGGCGGAACTAGAAATTGGGCGGGGGTTCCATTTGCCGAAAAATACGGTCTTTTGAGTTGTTAAATGCCAGGTTTTCCAAAACCAATGATTTATGCAAGCTTTTCAAAGCAGCTTTGATTTTATGGTCATACCAACTGGTTTGTTTCCTCTTTCGTAGTGGGTTGGAGCCCGGGATGCTGTAAGACGGATTCCTTTGACAGCAGTGACTCGTCTAAACTTCCTGCAGACTTCCTTCTACTGTCTTCAACTGATAAATCTACAACTGAACCAGCGGTAGTCTGAAGTCTGAATCCAAGTTACAAATTCAATTTTCTGTCTAAAGGCTCATTTTCTGTGATTACGGCCATTTTCTTCCTTAAGTTGTTGGTGATAGGTTATTGGTATGTTTAATTTCGTCAGTATTCGGATATGGAGAATGAAGTCTTTGTTAATGTGGACACTTTTTTGGGGGTGCTACAAAATGTTATGGGTAATTCTACATTAAAAACGTCATGTCAAACTCTGTCGTTGGTAATTGGCTTTTCATTTGGTGTACTGCAAATCTGAAGAAAGGGGATTTAATTCTCCAAAGAACATTGCAAGTTTTCATTTTCTTTTCTTATTTCTTATTTTGATGCTGTAATCGAACGCTTATTAAGTTTTTTTTACGACTTCAAGTTTCAATTAGTTGGTTGAGGGGTGTTTTGGGATAATTAAGGGCTTATTTTAGATAAATTATTTGGTTTAAGAGAGAATGAATTTTTTTCTTCAAAGCATGGCATTTTGGAGATTTAATCATCTTTGCTGTGGGATATTACGGTTGAAACTTGCTCTAGCCGTTCTCTTCCGACAAATTTTCCTTTCCTTTTTTTTTATTGAGACAGAACAAGTTACTGGTTGGTTTTTTTTTTTTTTTTTTTTTTTTTTACTTTTTAACCCTCTAAAAAATACACTTTACGACGAGTTGTTTTGCGCCCATAACGCACAAAAAGATATACTCCTTCATTAATATCGGACCGCAAATAATTCGGAATTTGTAAAGTAAAAATGGCATAAGTAAACATGCATGGCGGATATTTTTTATTTGATGTTTCATTCAAAAGTGCACAACTGTTGTATTGCTATAAAAATAGCAATTTATAAACAAAATCTGTACACAGATAATTTTAAATGCAGTATAGGAAGAAGATAAGCAAAGACTGTGAAAATAAGTGAAATTATTATTTCGTGTTACTAAGAACATTCTGTTCACATTTTGAATCAAAATCCTTGTCTACATGATGAAAAGTGACAATAAAAGTTCACATCAGTAATAAAAATAGGCCTACGGCCTTTGCATTTTTTGTTAACATCCTTCTTGATTTAATTAAACAAAAAATAACACATGCCATCCCTTCAAGGCTATACGAATGTAAACATTATATAAAGGTACAAGTTTCCACATCATCAGCGTGGGAATTTTTACGGTTGGTAGTGGCTGTCAGTATAATAATCTGCACATCACCCTCGGAGTGGCAAGGCGTGTTATAGAGTAATATATCAACATTAAAGTGATTGTTCCATCATGTTGACAGATTATTGATGACTGTGTAATGTGTATGTTTCTCCTCGCAGCACTCAACGTCGCAACTACCACTTTGAATGGAGGTACACCTACATGTAGTGCGGCAACACGAAGACTTGTTTCACATACCTAGTGTGGACTTTCCTTTCTTTTCGTGTAGTTAAGGAACACCAGTGGAAAAACTCATTTTTCTCAAACTGTGAAAACTCTTACAACCCAATTTTTTTTCAATGATTCCCTTTAGTGTTTCTCTTCATTCTGCTACAGATAAACCTAACCCAAAAATGCCTCTAAACCTGTTTTCCAGAAATGGGGAAACACTGTGTGGACGTGGGCAAGTCCACACTTCGTCGCTGCTACCTACATTATGTGGACGTCTTTTGTTCGGAAGTCCACACTGCGTATGTAAGACAAGCTCACATTTACCGACAGACCATCCGTGCTAAACGGTGGAAAGTCTGTGTGTGTGTGTGGGGGGGGGGGGGGGGGGGTGACACAGGGTGCGCTGTTCTAAGCATACGATCATGGGCACTATTGGACGACACTAGAAGTGCCTGAAAGTACATGTAAAAAGTCACGTGGCGAGCTTCCGGCCCCTCGCGCGGCCCAGGCCGCTTATGGGGATTTTACACTAGGGTTGCACTTTCTCTTGCTATACCGTACTTTTTGACAAAATAATTTCTCTAACCCTGATCATCCCAAGAAACGTTCATGTTAGAATTTTATCTTGGTATTCCTCGATAAAAAGGTGATGAGAAATCGATTTTGTCGACCCCCCCCCCCCAAAAAAAAGACTAAAGGAAGGATGGCACCCCCCCCCCCTCGGTGAAACCCGTGTCTCTCCTTCATGATATGCCATAAAAAAATAAAAAAATTGCAATAAAATCTTAAACTTCTCAAACCCCGCCGCGCGGCCAAAGTCATTCAAAGACATTTAACAGATACCGACAGAGGGCGCTGTTTCACTTTGGCAAAAGCTAACCGAGTCGAGTCGCGCGCTTGCCAAGTTCACGTTGTTTTCTTCACTAACCAATATTTTGTTTCAGCTCAGGCAGCCCAAAATGTCTTTGCAACCTCAGCAACAGACCTTCCTCCGCAATTTCATCAAGTTTACGTCATACACAGAAGGACGGGACAAGCTATACAGGTTAGTTTTTTTCAATACCAAAATGAATACAAACATGACAAAGATGTAGGCCTAGGCCTAGTCCGAACATTTGGGACTCTCAGTCTCAATACTGTGTTTATACTTTAGCTCCATGGTATGAGAGTCCCAAAACTTAAAGGGAATATACATCATTTGCTTTTGCTGTAATTTTCAGAAATGGATGGAATTGGGGGGTTGGAAATATATAGCAAATATAGTTACACTGACTTTTTTGAGGTTTTGGGTTCGAAAATGCTATAAAAACCAAGAAAAACGATCATTTTCCTGTAGTCTGGTTCCCTGACTCCATATAAGAAGAAACAGATCAGTTTACATACATTGGGGAATTGTAAGGTCAGGGAACCAGTCTAGCTGGCTCGTACCCGTTCATAGGTTTGTAATCGATTGCAAACAAGTGCGATGGTCAATTGGGGCCAGTATTTGAAAAAAAAAGACAGTTGTTTCCAACGCTGATCGGCCGATCAGCGTTGGAAATTGATACAAAAATACCACTTTTCTTGAAAATGACAGTATACCAGGTGCCATGATTTTACAGGATGCTTTACACTGTCATTCACTAACAGTCCAGCAAGGTATTTCCAAATGATTTGGTAGTTTTATTTTTTGATGTTTGCAAATGTTGTATTTTCCCTTTAAGGTATTAAAAACTTGCAAAACAAGAAAATAGACTGGCACCTAAAATAACCAGTCCAACACAGCTTCAGTACCGTCACCGTACTGCATCAATCAGCCATGCCAAAAGAATTTAAGAAACATGTGGCATGAAGCTAGTCCGAGTAACTTGGACCCAACTTATCGCCTTTTTTAACATTTGGACATGGTCTGGCGATAGTGGGGTCCAAGCTAATACCGCGACCTGGACAACATCATCCTGTCACTGTCCCAAAAATCAACATTTTCCAACAAAAAACATCAGATTTCACCTTCAAAACGGCCTCCAAATTACTAGATATGCCACCTGAGGTACAAGTAGACATCGATAATTAAGATGGTTGTACTGATGTTTACTTACGATCCTGAAAAAAAGTGAAATTTTCCGTTCATTTCGGAGAGCTCCCCTCGCGATCTTGAACACGTTAAATTTCCGATCGTGTTTAATGTTTGAACGACGCGATTTCTTCTACATGCCCAGCGTACATTCGATGGTCCCCGTATACCGAGTGCGATTCCGTTACCGAGCGCGCGCGATGCATCGATTATGATAATGAGTAGACTGGATCACGTTTGTAAACACATGTGCATTTCAAACGATAATAGGGAGTCGGGAACTAGCGCAGCTTTTATGGCGGGTACCAGTTCAAGCTGGTTCCCGATTCCCTTTTACAGTTCGAAATGCACATGTACAGTGTATGTGTTTACAAACGTGACTCATTATCATAATCGATGCATCGCGCGCGCTCGGTAACGGAATGGCACTCGGGATACGGGGACCATCGAATGTACGCTGGGCATGTAGAAGAAATCGCGTCGTTCAAACATTAAACACGATCGGAAATTTAACGTGTTCAAGATCACGAGGGGAGCTCTCCGAAATGAACGAAAAATTTCACTTTTTTCCGAATCGTAAGTAAACTTCAGTACAACCATCTTAATTATCGATGTCTACTTGTACCTCAGGTGGCATATCTAGTAATTTGGAGGCCGTTTTGAAGGTGAAATCTGATGTTTTTTGTTGGAAAATGTTGATTTTTGGGACAGTGACAGGATGATGTTGTCAAGGTCGCGGTATTAGCTTGGACCCCACTATCGCCAGACCATGTCCAAATGTTAAAAAAGGCGATAAGTTGGGTCCAAGTTACTCGGACTAGCATGAAGCGGGAACTAGTCTCGATTTACTACGCATTTCTCCATTGTAAAGCCACCAGACTATTGACACTGATATGAAGAGGTCAGTCTTTCCAAATAGTTGAACCATGGTTGGGCATGTACCAGTCTAGTCTTTAGCCCCATTTTGGAATCACTTGACTTCCTTCTCATGTGCAAAATGTTGAAGAAAAGTCTCCTTTAAAAATTGAATTCAGTCTGCGAACTTGGTTGGTAAAATACTGAGGACATTTTCTTTGCCCCAGTGGAATTTTTGGAGAAATTTGCTGGCTAAACTGTGAGTAAAGTGGACCTGATTTAGTTTTGCACGTTTCAGAGCACTCCAGAGCCTAGTCCGAAAATTTGGGACTCTCAATACTAGTGTATGAGAGTCCCAAAACTTAAGGTATCCATATCGTGCAAAACTTTGTGCTGCATGATAAAACCAGTGTGAATCAAATTTGCAAGCTTCTTACTCACTACAGTTTCTTCAATAATCCCCGAAACTTCTGCCTAGCAAAGTTGCTGTTGTGAGCATTGCATCACCAAAACTTCAGCTTTTAATTCTAATTTTGCAGAGAGTTATCGAAATCCATACGTGAAACATCACGTTGATGTGTACTGCAATGCATTGTGCAAAAAGACTCCTCAGCTATAACATTTTCATCGTGTAGATAAAACAGCGCCCTCTTGTTGATCTGAGTGAATGCAAAATGTTTCATTTTTTAGAAAAAATATGTCGGTGACTTGCTTACCTTACCTCACAGATTCGCTCGTACCCCCCGCCCTGCGAACAGGACGCTGGGATACTCTGATGAGCTTCACAGAATCTTGTGAAGGAAATGGCCTATGACCTATGTATAAAGCATCTGGCTGCAGCTATTCAAGACCGCAGTTAAACAATGTGCGCAAATGCTATCCGAAAACTTCCCAAAGAAATGCGCACATTCCATACCGGATGTGATTTCTGTTTCATGACATTGTGGACCATGTGGACAACATTTTGACGGAGCCTGACCAAGTGACGGGAATTGTTAATTTACAACACAGATAAGTTTCACAGAATTTCCTCCATTATTACGCTTTTCAACGAAAAATTTTTTTCTCTAAACTGGATAAACTGGAATAAAAGGGTAATGAATCAGTCTTAACGGCCGTTTCAAACCTTGCATAGTCATGACCGTGATGACGCGCAGGTCACTGGTCACGCAAAATCCAACCAATCAGAGCGTGAATTCATCAGAGTTTCCCAGCGTCCTGTTTGCAGGGCGGGGGGTACGAGTGAAACCTCACAGACAGCCTGAACATTTGCGGGTCAATCCAGGTCAATTCCCGATCGGACCATCTATTTTTAAACCGATCGACATTGCGCGCGGCCGATATGTAATCTGATACGTTCCCACGCCACGGCCAGGCACTATGCATACATACTGCATACAAATGCGTGTACGTGTATGTACATGCATTGGATGATCCAGGGGATCGGGGAGCTTCAATTCAAATTTTTCAAAATGGAGTTACAAATAAGACTCGATCCTTGCTTCATTTTATTTTTGACCAAAATGCAATTGGATTATATTCCAAGTTACATACAGCAAACACGAAAGACCGTATAGATTCCTACATTTGTTGTGAATTAGCCACTGGAAAACACAGTACAAAATAGCCTTATTTAAGTTAAATAGCTTTTCAAATCTGAACCTGTGGTTTTTACAACGATGGAAAATAAAAAAAGTTTACAACCTGCAAAAGCAATCCAGAAATGTATTATCATCGAACTCCCAACTTCTTGCAG